TTACCAAACTTTGGGATATTTTCAAAGTTTTGATTGGGAATATATTCTCATTTCTCCAACGGTTTCAAATCATGAGATTGATATTAAATACGGTTCTTCAAATCGTGAGCAGTAACAATGTTTTTTACTCGCCACATTGATGTTTAGGAGTACTTGTTCATGTCTTTTAGGAAAATGTTAAATATCTACTTTTCTTAAAGATGTGGTTGTTCGCAGATTTATTCTATAGAAAACTACTGCATTTTAAATTATGAGACGTCCAATGGGAAGTCGCATCTGCCTACGTGCTTATTTATCTGCATTATATTTTTTCAAGTTGACACACTTGCACCGTCAGATTTATAATGCTCCTTGACTTGGGCAATGTTACAACAAATACTGGTGGTCTGCAATTTTTTCATTATGGATCACTCCACGGAAATATTCTGGGAACGTGTATATGCATTTACCAGCTTTTCTTGATCTATTATTTCTGTTCAGATAAATTTAAACGTTAAAATTCGGAGTTAAAATATGTGAGGTTTTATTTCTGGTGTTTGATGGTATATTATCATATTATCTCACAATACACTTACTTTGTCTAACACTGATTACGTCGTAATAATTAAGATTAAGATCCTTCAAGAGTTGGAAGAGGTTCAGCTGGAAGGTGTCTTTGAAAGGTTGAAACTTTGATTCTGACCTTCATTTGATAAAACTTACCTTTTATAGTTATCTATAAACTGAAGGATGAAGAAGTTAAAATTAAAATAATATTGATAACACCATGAAATTTGTATAGTTTTGAGATGTTGGTGGACTTTGTCCACTCTCCAATAAAGCAGCAGTGGAAACTACAGTATTCAATAGCTTTTAGAATCCTAATTGACATGGATTATAATTGCTGTAATACGTTCTGATCATCATCTACTTGTTAGGCCGAAAGGGATTCTTTATGCAGTTGTACTTGTAATCTATACACTGATGTGGGCTTAGTGTTTGGGCTGCTGTAATGTCATACAGAAAAATATGAACACACCTGAACATAGAATGCTTGGGTGGATGTGTGGGAAAACGGAATTATATCATTGACTTTATTAGGGTTGAAACTAGCGAAAGACCTTTTAGATGACATAAACAGGTGTAAGACAGATCGACGGAGGCAGTTGTTAAAAGATATAGAAATGATTTTTATGCAAGTATTGAAATGAAAAGAGGATCAAAAAGAAGAATAACTTAAATGGGTGTAGCTATTAGAGATATCATCAGAGCCTAATGGATATTTCCTTAGAATTGGGAGAATTTCCCTTGTTCATTATCTGTGTTTATGGATCTTGGTACGATGATGCCCTTGTGTGAAGCTTATTACATGGCGTACCACAGAGAATATTCAATAATGTGCCATGTAGTTCAACTTAGTACTTATCTTCGCGTTTGGGCAGTGTTCATCACTCGTATTTCTCATATGTGCGTACATTTTCTTTTATTTCGGGACTTGCAGTAGTCCGAGCAAATCGTTATCTCATTTGTCGTCTTCGGCATCCTTAAGTCGTCGGAAATGGCCGCGCAATGGCGGGGGAAGGCCTGACGGCGTCACCGGCGGCCGCGCAACTCGTGACACGACCTTGTGGCCTCTGGAGGTCATGCACCATCGCGGCATCGCCTGAGGGCGTTGCGGCGCCTGCCGACATTTCCGGCGATTGCCGGATCGCACTCGGGTGTCGCTGCACAGCGCCTCCCATCGTCTGTTGGACCCTGGTCCTGGGCGCTCACTGGTGCAGCCCACTGGGTCTGTCCAGCGATATGGGCTCAAGTCTGGCATCGGCCAACTAGGCTGCTCGGCCTATGTGCGAGCTGGCCCCTTTTTTTGGCGCGGCCCACCAGGCGCAGCCCACTAGGCCTGCCGTGCCAGGCACGGCCCACAAGGCCGCCCTGCCAAGTCCAACCCAACATGGGTTTTAAAGGGACATTTTAATATTGTCTCATTACTATTTTGGCAATTTAATTTATTAATTCACTTTATTGTCAATTTATATAATATTTGTTTTATAAATTTTTTGAGTATTTACCAACATTTTAATTCAATCAAATTGTGTCATGATAGTACATTATTAAAATAGAATATGGCATTATATTGGTTTATATGTCATAAAATCATATGCATTAAATTTATGCGAACATTTTTTTTGCCCAAAGGAAAATATATGTTTAGCCGAATTTAATGTATGCATGGCAATTCAAATATATGTATTTGTCAAGCATTTTATTTTAAATGAACTTTAGTAATCAATATGTTCATATATCAACCTCTATTGTTAAAAGTTTCTATTTCAAAATACTATGATGACTATGTGATATTATTTATGAAAAAACTTGTTGGCCCAAAGGAAAATAAGTGTTTGGCCAAATAATAATCACATCAATGCTATTAAACTTTACAATTATTGATTTAGATGAAAAGAAACACTAAGTTAGCCCAAAGGAAGACTTATTGTTTGTCATCTTTTACTATTTAACTGTTTTGACAAGCATGCCAATATAATCACTTAAAAATTAATATATCATCCAAAGATGAGTATTAATGTTGTGTTGTATCTCTTGAGATGGAAAATAAAATATATATATCATTATTAAAAAAATTATTTTAAAATTTTACTCATGTGAGTTATTTATTCTTTACATCAGGTCAAAAAAGGTTTTAGATATCTGCACAAATTTGAATTTCATTCTAATGCTAAGTGGTACAAACTTTAAGAAATAGAAGAAATTTATATCACTATACTTGGGTGCTTCAAATCTTGATTATGCTTTGCGGAATGATCAACATGAGGTCATTAAGGATTCTTCTTTCATTGAGGAAAAGAAGGCCTATGAAAATTGAGAGAGATCAAATCGCATGTGATTAATGATCAAGTGCATAATTTCTAATACCCTAAGGGATACCTTAGTCAAAAAAACTACTGATGCCAAAGTTCTCCTCTAAGAAAGAGAAGAGGTATCATAAAGAGGATAAAGTTGAGACTAGTACTCTCATGTATCATCTTATTAACATGAAGTATAAAAAAAAGTGTATATAAGAAAGTATATAATGGAAATATCTCACATTCGTTCCAGATTAAAGGTATTAAACTTGCAACTTCTAGAAAAGTCGATTATTTACATGGCTTTGAACTCTCTTCCTGCACAATTCAATCAGTTTAAAGCGAGCTATAATTGTTAAAAGGACCCTTGATCTTTTAATGAGCTCATTTTGGATTGTGTGCAAGAAGAGGAGAGGTTAAAATCAAAACAAAGTGAAAGTGCTTATCCCACTCAAATTGTTGGTGATCCACATAGTAAGAGAAAAAGTTCTTTATCATATTTGAAACATTGAGGAGGTGGCAACTTATCTCCTAATGAATCATCATATTCTCAATGACACTACATTTGTTGATCCATTAAAGATTATTTTCTTTAAGAATTTATAATTTTATATTTAAAATCTTTGATCAATTGCTAATGATAATCTATAAATAATATTAATGAAATTTCTTGATGATCGAGTGATTTCAAGGGTTAGATCATTGACCAATGATAAATAAATATGATTTAATTAGATAAAAATATAAATTTTGGCTTTAGTGAGATTTGAATCTATGTGAGAGAGATAATGATAATTACTTATGATGTTTCCTTCTTATAAGTTAAGGATATGTTTATTATAAAATATTAGAAATCTATCAACAAGCAATGACATGGTTTTAGTCCTACACTGTCTATTTTTTGATGTTGGAGACATATATATCAATATGTCTTTTTGTTATCAATGTACTCTCACATATACAAGTGTGTACAACCACTCTTTACCTTATGTCTCACTAGGCATTAGTGACATGGAAAGTGAGTGATGCACATGTGTCTTAATTGGTTTCTAGCCACACAAGCCCCCAATTCATGGCTCTAAGTGTGCCTAGTTGGCTAGTGCGTCTTACCTTTTCTACTTTTTATTTTTTTTTTATTCTTTATTTTTTATTTTTATTTTATTTCATAAATATAGTTATAAAAATTATATAAATTCACATAAAATCAACTAAAATATATTTTATTAATTTAACATAAAGATAAGTCTATTTATCCTAAATTAAGGCTTAAATTATATTATTAATTAAATATTAACTTATATTTTAATAAAGACTTATTAATACCCAAAAAAGAAGTATTGATGAGAAATTAGAAACGATCGTGTAGAAAAATGTAAAGCCATTAAAAATACCTAGGTAGACATTTACGAAGAACATGCCGATACGTAATTAGCAACCAGTCAATATTTTGCTAGTGACATACTTGATCTTTCTCTCTCTCTCTCTCTCTCTCTCTCTCTCTCTCTCTCTCTCTCTCTCTCTCTCTCTCTCTCTCTCTCTCCCTGTTTTACTCTCCCGCAGACCAAGAGAATTAGATAACTTCCCCTCTTTCGCAACTTCTGCCAAAATGGTAAAAGTTATTAGGAGAACAAGAACAGTAACCCATCGTTCCTCAATTCCCGACTAGCTGACGTAGGAATTCGTAAACACAGAACTTTCACGTATTACATGCAATGATAGATTCAGAATGACACAGCATCGGGCGAAGGTGGGAGGGAGAACGGGAGAGGACAGCTTGCCCGCAGGAAACAAACCTCGCGCGCAAGTCCAGTCGTCAGGACCCAGCTCCTTGTCTGGGAAGCTGAAGCTAGACACCAGGAAGGAGCTTTGCGGCCATGGCTCCTGCTCGCAGGCGCAGTACTCCACCAGCAGAAGTCACGATGAAGGAAAGAGAACGAACATGGGGTGGAGCTGATTTGTGGGTCCCACTTTCAAACCATATCCAATTAATTTGTTTATTTCCAATTAATTCCTCATACAAGTACTCATATTCAATGAGCAGTTGATCGATGTCTTGGAGCCGACCCATAAGGAATCTAGACGCGCTTCGTAGTATTTGAAAGGTCTGAGAGGTCCGCAGAGCAAACTCCCGGATCAGAGGACACCTGCGGCATGGCCGCAATGCGGGGACGAAGAGCAGTCTCCACCTCGAGGCTCCTGCAGAGATGGTGGTGCTGCCGTCCCCCGATGGCCCCCTCCAACAGTTCCTCCTTCCTCAGAGGATCCGCCAAACAAGCATCGGGGCCCTCGCGGGCTGCAGGTAGGTGGAATATAGAGTGAATATGTGTGGACGGATTCCTGTATTTGTGAATCTCGTTGGCAGATCGATTGAAATTGTCCAAATGTTGTCTTTCTTGTTTACGGAGTTAATAGCGCGCTGGTTAGTGACCTGAAAAGAGTAGTAAACTACAACCGTTGATTAATGCCAAATTAGGAGAGTATCATTACAAAGGGCCAGAAATTTGCGTGCGAGATGACAAGTAGTCTAAACATTAAGTCTCGACTCTATGCAATCTTTAGTTCACAAAATATAGCCTTGATCTACGAAAATGTTGATGATACACTGGACTGGTGTTGATGGTCGAGATGTTCAGGAATATCGAAAATGTCAATGAAAAAAATTAAAAAGGATGTTTGTTGCAGATAAGTTATAAACTAGCAAAGAATGCTACCGTAGATGAAGAAAAAAAATCAAAATGTGGGCTCAATAATTTCAACACTGATCTTCCTGCAATTAATTTTCTCGTTTTAAATAATTAAGGAAGTCGAAAAGAGAAGAGGTTTTATGCAGAGCTATCTTCATTTTATAGTTTCATGCTAGTGTCAACGAGGCCTTATTTCTCGGGTTCAGAGAGATGGTTTGGACAAAGAACATGTGAGAAGAGGCAATACGAACACAGATTAAAATCTTAGAGTTTGTCCTTGAAAGAAACTCTGGCGGGAAATATTGGGAAAACAAAAATTTATGAACGAGAAGTTACAACATAGGTCCATATCCCTTAGAGTATATTTTATTCATCTCGTATGATTTTTGACATTTATTGATTCATTTTTTTATGTGAATGCATAAATTTTAATGGGATAATAATCTTAAGATCTCTTTTTTAATAATCTGTTTTAGACGAAATTTTAGATATTCTGAGTATCTTTGAACATTTATTAATTCAATGACACCATCTCACAAATGTAGTCCACCAAGAAGTTGAACCTCTGAGTGAGCTCGCCAATAGAAGTTCAACGTTTCATCAAAATTTGAAGCAAGAGGCATCCAATTCACAGCTGAATAGCAGAGATTTTCGATCTTCTGAGTTTGCTACTCTCAGGGGAACGCTTAGTCTCAACTGTAGATCATTTGGTTCAGCAGCCACAAAGTTTCCCCGGAGTCCAGCATTTTCAAGGATAACATCCGAGGATATTTACCATTTCAAAGAGATTTTAGGTGAAAAAAATGTCATCCAGGATGAGGATAGATTGTCTACTGCAAATTCGGATTGGATGAAGAAGTACAGAGGTTCAAGTCAGCTTTTACTTGCTCCAGGGAGCACTGAGGAGGTACCCATTTTCCTATCCTAAAGTGATTCTCTTGAAATATTGATCGTATCTTTAGTAGAGTCTGTGATTTTTACTTAAAAGGTAGTCTTATGACCGTGTTGGAACTTGTTAAACCTTCTATGAAGGACGAATTATTCCTGGATTTACACATATTTCACGTGTTATTCCCAGTTTTTATCCAGATACTGCATGCTTAAGAATCATGAATGGAGCCAAAGTTTTTTTTCCTTTAAAGTTTGGAAATTATTGCATGTAGTTAACTACGTTTATTTTGATTTCATTTTTCTTACTTGTGAATATGTTTCATTCTGTAGGTATCTCAGATTCTTCATTATTGTGACTCTAGATATCTAGCAGTTGTCCCACAAGGTGGTAACACTGGTCTTGTTGGGGGTAGTGTACCCGTTTATGATGAGGTAAAATTATTTCTTAGCGTTTTTTACGACTGATATTCTTGTATGGTACATAGTTTAATAATTTGCAACCATTTTTCGTTGACACAATGCTTCTTATCAAACTTTACATCTCTGCTGGATGAGAAGGTTATTGGCATCCTTGGAGCTTGTTTAAAATCAATTTGTTTCTGTCCAATTTCCATTCCTGGAAGGATATGCAGAATGATTGTATAGTTATTTCATGGAATGCATTTGGATAAATCTGATCGTGTATCTTAAACTAAATAATCTTTGCAGACATCCTTGTTTTGTATTTACGACAAATGCTGGCAAGAAGCTTGTGTTATATTTACATAAATGGGCACAATACGACGCATTAGATTTCTTATTTTTATCTAAAGATGTCATTGAACTGCCTTTCAATGTTTAATTTAAGATCCTTCCTCCACAAATGTTGTTGTCAAACTATTTCAGGTTATTGTCAACATGAACCGTATGGACAAAATTGTTTCCTTTGACCAGGTAAATTGTTTATATTTTTAACTCTGGACTACTTTTTTACCATTTTCTTTCTATTGTTAAGCATGTTGACATTACTGTAAGCTGATATATGTCGTCAATTGCGAAGATCTGCTTGATAGTGCTAACAAAAGCTGTCTGTACCTCTGAATAGGTTTTCTTTAAAAGTAAACTCCCAAGAACATTTTATTGTGCTACCTGCATTTTCTGTTACATGGAGTTTAAATCTTTCATCTTGGCTTCTAATAAATCTACTTGAGAAAATTACTTTTTTATTGCTATTCTCAGATCAGTGGTATACTGGTGTGTGAGGCCGGATGCATCTTGGAAAATGTTGGTGCTTTCTTAGCAAACGAAGGGTATGCAGTTCAGAGTAGTATCTTTTAGTTTCCTTTGGCTTTCTACGAGTTAAACGTCAGCAGAGAATAATTCAGTCTTTCCATAAAAATGTTTGATGTTCAGTTTTTCTGTTTATAAGCATCATAAAAATATGGACGTTCAGGAGCATAATGGTTCTCCTTAGCCCGGTAGGAAACTGAATTCTCTAGCGTCATTTGGCATCTAATGGTCCTCTGGCATGTTTTTCTCACAAGCACTTTTATAGTACAAGTTCAGTACCAATTGTGCTGACGCATCCATTTCCTTTCTCAGAATGTTTTGAATTTTAGGATTGCAGTTGACTCTTATTACCTTTCTATAACTACCCATGTCACCACACATTTCTGTTATTTGACTTCTGTGCATGCTGTGATGCCAACAGTGGACCAAACCTGTCATCACGCACGATTTGATGCCACATTAGAAATACACATATATGAGTGTTCAATGAATGACGCGAGATGATCACGAATTATTTTATCCAACTTTGCATATCAAATTCTCAGTTAACTGTAGTTATCCATAAATCTCTGATAGGAAAATGTATCATAAATAGCGAACTAAATCTAATGTCGCTGTAAAACACAACTGTTTTGCTTCATGGGCTTTCCTCACCAGTAACAGTAGGGCATGACTCTCTTCCTCATGGGGATCATAAACTCTGTTGGGCCATAATCATTCATGAAAATGGATCAAGGATGTATTTGGAAGACCCTTCATCACGAGTCATGGAAAATGTTGTGTTCAGAGCCATAATCTTATGATCTTCAAATATTGTGATATCATGTTATATTCATAATCCATCAGTAGCCATATTCACTTTATTATCAACATAATCAACAAGCATTGTGATGCATCATGGGGTTAAAAATCACGGGAAAGTTATAGATCATGTCATTTAGATTTTTTAAAAACAACTTACAATGCATGAAAAACATTCTGGATTGTTTTGGTGATAACTCCATCAGAAGTTGTTTCAGAAATAAAGAACTTTATACCCTCGAATTTTCCTAAGCTCATGATGAGTTGCCTTAGTGGTAGGGTCTCATTTTGAATATTTAAATATCTTGAGTTCTCATGTAAATATTTGTTACAGAACTTTGAAATATTTTCAAATTTTATGTTGGGAATATGCTCTCCTTTCTCCAACGGATCCAGATCATGAAATGGATATTTAATACGGTTCTATTTATTACGCAATACGATCCAGTGGTAATAATGTTTTTCAATCACCAAACGGATGTTTATGAGTACTTGTTCATGTCTTTTAGGAAAATGTATTTGGATCGTCTAACTATGTTTATATCTACTTTTCTTAAAGATGTGGTTGTTTGCAGATTTGTTCTTTAGAAAACTACTGCATTTTAAATTATGATATGTCCAATGGGAAATCAGATCTACCTATGTGCTTATTCATCTGCATTATATTTTTTCAAATTGACACTTTCACCTTCAGATTTATAATGCCCCTTGACCTGGGTGCAAAGGGAAGCTGTCAAATTGGTGGCAATGTTTCAACAAATGCTGGTGGTCTGCGGTTTCTCCGGTATGGATCACTCCATGGAAATATTTTGGGTAGGTGTATATGCCATTATCAACGTTTTTTGGTCTATTATTTCTGTTAAATATCAATTCAAACGTTAAAATTTCGGGATTAAAATGTGTGAAGTTTTGCTTTTGGTGTTAGCTTGTATATTATCATACTAACCTCAAAATACACTGTCTTACACTGATTACGTCATATGGCTTAAAATTAAATCTTCTAAGAGTTGGAATAGAATAAGCGGATGTTGTCTTTGAAAGGTTGAAACTTTGATTCTGACCTTCATTTGCTACAAGATGACTTCTCTAGTTATCTAGAAACAGAAGGAAGCTGAAGTCAAAATTACACTGATAATACCATGAAATTTTTGTAGTTTTGAGACGTCTGATGGACTTTGTCCACTCTCCAATAAAGCAGTCGTGGAAACTACAGTATTCAATAGCCTTTATAATCCTAGTAGCATGCAGTCGTGGATTATAGTTTCTGTAATACGTTCTGATCATCATCTATTGTTAGGCTGAAAGGGATTTTTTATGGAGTTGTAGTTATAATCTATGTACCTATGTGGGTCAGTGTTTGGGCTACTGTAAAGGTCATATTCAAAATTTGAACACACCTGAACATAATAATGCTTTAATGGAAGGTGGATCTGTGGGAAATGGAAGATAATATATCAATGACTTTATTAGGGTTGATGGAAGTAGTGATACTAGTGGATGAAACTAGTGAAAGACCTTTTAGATGACATAAACAAGTGTAAGACAGATTGACGGAGGATTTTATGTGCACTAAAATGAAAAGAAAAAGAATTAGAATAACTTAAATGTGTATAGCTACTAGAAATATGATCAGAGCCTTATGCAAATTTCCTTAGAATTGGGAGGATTTACCTTAGTTGATTATTTTTGTGTATGGATCTTGGTTCAATGATGTCCTCGTTTGAAGCTAATCACTTGGCTAACCACATTTAATATTGAATATTGTGCCTTGTAGTTTAAATTGTCTTTGTACTTGTCTTCTTCTCTTGGACAGAGTTCATCACTCGCATTTCTCATATGCATACATTTATTTTTATTTCAGGACTTGAAGTAGTCCTAGCAAATGGCTCAGTCCTGGATATGCTTGGAACTTTACGCAAAGACAATACTGGCTATGACTTGAAACACTTGTTTATTGGTACTCATCCGGTAGTTTAATTTATGCTTGACAAAACAATGAAAGCGCCTGAATGTTCCCGTTATTGTAGGAAGTGAAGGTACTTTGGGAATTGTAACCAAGGTTTCTGTGCTCACTCCTCCCCAGTTGGCATCAACGAATCTTGCGCTTCTTGCGTGTAGAGATTATTTTAGTTGTCAAGTATGTCACTTCCTGTATTTTCCAATATAACTTCATCTGATGATGCAATCACATGTTTACATATCAACCCTTGATGATGAGAACATTAGGCTTTAGCCACATGTTTTGTGGTATTCATACTCTGAGGATTATGGGCATGCCAATTATTCATTTTTATTGATCATGATGTGGTTGACCAAGTTATGCCAGTAACAATTAACACATTGTGTCACTATATATGTCTGGGTCTCTGGATTTACGAGCAACTATGCATGGTTTGCCGACCTAATTTGACTTGGACTGATTTATGGTCTGGCTTAGTTAATCTGTTTTCTGCTAAATTTTAATGTTTCGTACTAAAATTTCAAAGCCCTAGCAGAAGGAAACGTCTACCTGTAAAGAAGACCATCTAGCTTTAGAACTCCTAAGAATATGATGGCATTAAATGGGTATAACCTTAACACTTTGAGAAAGCATGGGAATCTAGTCGTGGGAGGAAAAATCCATCTCTAATAAATATGCGTTTAGGGAGTATTGGAAGACCCGTGTGACTGTCATGGGTACAGACTAATAGTACATATTTTTTGAGTTTATTGAGTCAGACACAGAGCTTGAGTTGGTGAAAGTCCTAGTTATAAAAGTTCACTCACAATATAATTTGACAAAGCTTGCATAAAAATATAAATATTTTATCTTTCAGAATGCTAGGGTATCGCTCTTTTCCTAATTGAAAATTTTGGAAAATGTCTTGTTGAAACTTCACTGAAATTTTAATATCGGAATATCATCTTTTAACGAATTATTTATGAAAGTGGACCTATGTAGAGTTGAACATTTATTCGTTCACCTTTATTAAGAAAGAAGTAAACGTAGATAGCAGATAACGCGACAACCAGATTTAGCATTAGTAATGCTGGTCAGTTTTCTCTCTAGAGTAATACAATACTATCAGGTTGTGTACGTGCAGAACACAGTTAAGTGCCCTCATAAAAGAGTATTTTTCGTGGATACACTTCTGTAATTGAATTTCCACCGTACAAACTGTTATTGGCTGTTGACCGTATATTGTGAACTAGACGGTTATGCTTTTTTATGCATTTGTGCACCCTTTTGATTGAACTGTCTTTTTGTTAGCGTTCTCATGTCTAACTTTATTTATTTTCTCCTCGAATCTAGAAATTACTATTTGAAGCAAGGAGAGCCCTGGGCGAGATTATTTCTGCATTTGAATTCATGGATTGCCATTCCATGGAGATGGTATAAGCTTTGGTGCATCTCTTTTTAACGCACCTTTATATAAACATCCCTCCCTGAATCAAAGTTTACTGCTTTTTTTTCAGCCTTGATATTTCAGGTGAAATAAATAATTCAGTTTATCAAGTTTACCTGATTTTCGTCCAATATAAATGGCAAGTAGTTCAGGCTCATGTATCCACAGAGTTGCAGGTGGGGTAATTACTGTAAACATTTTTCTCAATACTCCAAGTAGTACTCAGCTCAGTTGACCTTCTGAGCTTTCCTTCGCTGCCATTCCATCAATTATCCGTTTAGGCAGTTCCATCAATGCAGTGGATATTATGATGTCCACTGACTATCAGAAGTATGGAGTCATCTGGAAAGGATTCCTATGCATTACATTCCAAGATTTTGATGATGAACACCTGACAGTTGGAGCAGCATGAGTATCCACTCAAAAATGGCAAATTCTCTCCAGTCCAGGAGGGGAAAGATGGAGATTGATGACTCTAATAGAGGATATACTAGTTTGGCGATTATAGAATGCAATAGTGTCATAGATTTTCAATAGTTTTATTTGGTTCGATTACTTTTTTTTCACTTTATTTAGGAGTTACTTTCAAAGGAGTCAGGCTATCCAAAAATCCTGACTTGATTTTTCTGACTTTGGGTTCCAAAATCAAGCTCAAGAGTAAATATAAGCCACTACTTGTAGACAAGCCAGGCTGGGCCCGAAATGAGATTTAGCTGAAACCCACTGTTTTGCCGCCACCACTTCGTAGTTTCCCTTTCTCCCTCATCTGGCATTCACCCTCTTCCTTAGTAGTGCCGCCCCCATTCCTCACACTCCCCCCTCCCCCCCCAACCACCTGCAACCCTCTTTTCCTCTCCACCCTTGGCAGTAGCCACATTCCACCTCCAATTGAGAAACTTTTTCTTTCTTGTTCTGCATATCAATTAAACGTTTCAAGAGTTGAGATGTAAAGCCTGATGTAATTTTTTCTTTATTTTTCTTGTCGAATAGTAGTTTTAAGCCTTTCTTATGTGATACATAATTATTTATACTGGGATTGGAAACGCAATGCTGTGAACCAACTGTCACAGGGTTTCACTGATTTTAATTTCTTCCATTTTTCTGTTACGTTGTTCAAGTTTTTCATGAGAAATTTCTCTTTTAACCATCAGAATGGTCGAATGATAGCCGCAGGCTAAACAGAGACACTGTAAATGTTATTTATATGAGAACTCGACACAATGAACTTTTTTGAAGTATAGGTTTTATTTCCCTAGTTGCCGCAATGAATTATGAGCGGTTGAGATAAGAATCTTCCTCTTCCCTTTTAAGCCATGAACGCGGAAAAACACGAGTCCTTATTCCGTGTGCAATGTGTCGTGGGGAAGCAAAGGGAGAAACGATCCTTTAATATTTCTTAATTTAGCGTGAACGCTGAACAGTTTACATACATACACCTTCAGTTAGGTACAATTGTGCATCAAAGCGAAGTCATGTCAGTAAGTCTCAAGTCCCATCTATATGAAAGATGCACTTACTCATGTAGTACAACTCCTACCTCTTTCCTTTCTTCTTGATCATGGCTCCATTAAGCTGTAAGCATTGACGAGACACGTTATGAATCATTTTTAAACTGACATAATCAAATTATTCGCAGTTAAATTTTCTTATGATTAGTTTGGATGTTTCAGGTTTTGAAGTACTTGGAGGGTGTCCGCAATCCATTCTCATCATCAATGTACGATTTTTATGTTCTCATTGAAACAACAGGTAGTGACGAAGCTTCTGACAAGTAAGTTCTGTTCACTACTTATTTATGGATTTGGACCTTACGCTTCAGATATTTGTCTGTAGACCTGTTATTCCTTAAAATGTGTGACGACATCTGTGATGAGATTTTATCTTTCTATGCTAAATAATTGTTTTAGAAACCTTGTGAAAGCGGTCTGTTTTCATAAACAGACTTTCTGAACCTACGTCTACTTTTCCTTACTCTAATATCTAAGACTGATCGGCTTATCAGCCAAGTCTTTCCCGTTGTTCTTGATTGGTCCACCAGTGTTTCACTTGTTTATTTTGATCTGTTATTGTGGTTATCATATGTTTTTCGATCATCTCAGACTGTCCTGAGGCAGAGTTTTCTTACAAACCGCTCTGCATTTACCTCATTAGATAAACTGTGTTGGTGTCCTGACCCATTATTTTGTATGAGTTCATATGACCCTCGCGCAATCCATATGACTGCTGAATAACTGCTGGACTTGAGCTTTGTGCCATGGTGTTCTAATCCAAAAGAATACGTTCAAATAATCATTATAAAAAATATCTTCTCTTGACAGTTAAAAGAGTGTATGATGTTCGGATTTTATTTTATTTTATTTTGTTTTATTTTTGGTAATCTTTAGGTCTAAATTGGAGGCTTTCCTTGGCCGTTCGATGGAAAATGGTATCATTGACGATGGTGTGATTGCTCAAGACATGAGCCAGACAATGTCTTTTTGGCGCATGCGTGAGGTCTGATATTTCACTGTTTTTATTGGCATACGGTATTTGCCTAGTTCCAAGGGTTCTGGCATCAGCTACTCAACGATCAGTGTCTTCTCCTGTTTAGTCCCAAAGTAAAAGAATCTGGACTGGTCTCTTCTCCCATTTTATTTTCCAGAAAAAAAGTGGGATGTAGAACAAACTGAGCAAAGATGTCATCTCAGTTTATATCTTCAAAACCCAGTTCTTCTTAAAATATCAATCCTGAAATTCTTACTTGCAGGGAATAACAGAAGCATTAGTCAAAGCCGGAGCTGTCTACAAGTATGACTTATCAATCCCTGTCGACAAGCTCTATGATATCGTTGAAGAAATGAGATCCCGCCTTGGTACCTTATTTTCTTCCTCTCTTTTCTATATTTAATATATACACAATGAATTTTTGTCCAAGTCCTCTAGAGAAAAAAATAAAAGAAGCAGGACAAGGTGGTAGGATTTCTTCGTTGGAGTTCTAACTTCTCTGACTGTTCATCAGGCCACTCTGCAAAGGTATTGGGGTATGGCCACCTTGGTGACAGTAACTTGCACCTAAATATCTCTACAGCTACATATGATGAAGACGTAGGTGCTCCGGATCAAATCATTTCTGTTTTTCTGTTTTGGGTAGCATAACATCGTGGAATAAATTTTACAATTCAACAGATCTTTGCCAAGATTGAACCTTTTGTGTACGAATGGACTGCTAAGAACAAAGGAAGCATCAGCGCAGAGCACGGCCTTGGACTGATGAAAGCGGATAAAATTTACTACAGCAAGACTCCAGAAGCTGTGAGTGGATCTGATGCCCCCCTTCATCGTAATGTGCCAACCTTGTTCAGTGGGATAGAGGGCTTCTGTTTCTTACCAATATTTATTCAGAAGAAATCCCCTCAAATATTGACTGGTTGTTTGAGTCCAGAAAAATTAAATGATCCATTCTTGAATGGCACTGATAGTAGTATGCTTTTTCTATCTACAGAAAAAAAAAAAAAAAAACGCTTTGAGTCATATCATAATGCAGGAATTCTTCTGATTGATATTCTCATGTTTGTCTCTAAGTCTGTGCTAAATATTTTTTTCTTTAGGAGGAAATCTTTCTTTCTCACCTACGTTTCTATGGAAATTCATTGACAATTAACATGCTGGCCGGTTTCAGCAGCGTCCTGTTTTATGCTTATTTTCCTGTTTTCGCCCATGTGGCAACAGGTGAATTTAATGGCCTCTATCAAGAGATTACTGGATCCGAAGGGAATATTAAACCCGTACAAGGTCCTGCCGCCCTCGCTGATTCTCCCAAATTGAGGTAACCGGTGGGAATTCGAACTGTTTTTATGGATTTCTCTGCTTATCATTTTACCCAGAAGGTTGGATTTTTTGAAGAATTATATATCTTCACTAATTAACTATCGTCCTTCGAGTAATACGATAGGATCATCTTGCAGAGGACTTGATCACCCACATCATTCCTTGCTTTCAGGACTTGATCGGCCCCTCGATCATCCATTCCCTTGTGATCATCTTGCAGAGGACTTCACTCACTGCCCACAGCGTCCAGGGAAACTGAGAGGATAGTTAATTCATGGCCCCATCCACACAAGACTCCGGTCATCGTCTCCGCCCGGTGTTGTCGAAGGGTGTGAAGGAACTAGAAGGACGACAACCCGATTCCATCTTTTTCATGCTCGCATTCCCAAGATATGATTCTCCTCTGTGAGTGTTGCTGTCTCCGTCTCTGAGATTGGGTGGTGGGTCTCCGACCGCCACCCCTGGGGGTGGTGGCGCCGCCGGCGGGCCAGGATGCCTAGCCCTCGCGTGTGGCTACGGCGGCCTGCCGTGCTACCTCGCCACTATCCGCAACAAGCGCGACGGTTGGCTACGTGGACCGGCACGGGCCGGCACGCGGCGGCGTCCTGCATCCCCGTGCCTGACGTGCCGGCAGCCACCACGCGGCTGCCGACCGTGCGTGGCCCACTGGACCACCTCCCACCGCCCCAGCTGAGAAAGCTGAAGAGCGCCAAACGCTGTCGGGAGGGCGTCGCTCTCCTACGCACCAGTTAGATTCTACTCCTTTACGGGACGGGGCCACCTGGAAGTCGATACGTCGTTGCAACCCGTCGGGGAACACGTGCCCCCATCAGAAAACCCACCTCTGGCCGTAGTTACACCCCACGTATTCTTTGAAGCTCGCTCATCTATCTCTTCACGACGACTTCATCTGTGCCCACGTAAATAACCTCGTTCCAGCAATCAGGCAACTCTGCCATGGAGACAAGAGTGAGAGCTTCTTGCCATGTGATCTGAAAAAGAGAGCCTTTTCCGAGCTCCAAGCAACCTATGAGGTCGTAGTCGTGATTGGCTGTTTTCCCTTTCAGCGAAGATTAGCTCTCATTCTTCCAAGATGGCCTCGAGATACCGGCAATCTGTCCCATAAAGCTCCACAGAAACCACCAGAGAGAAGAACAACACATCAGACAAGAAATAGAACGAGAGATAGAGCGAGAGATAGAGAGAGAGAGAGAGGGAGAGAGAGTGGAGGAGGAGGGAGTCCATAATTGAGGCGATACGTGATGGAACTACCAGGAGTTGGGGGGGCGTTTTCTTCTCAGAGGCACAGCCTGCGAGGGCATTCTTTATCAGCAGGCACGCTCACCAAGTGTATATAGATGGATTAGTTTAGGTTCTGGATCAGTAAAGAGCCGAGTACTGAGAGTTGGATGAGAGATAGACCCAGCAGGGCCGAGTTTTGGAGATACTAAATGAAGGCTATCCATTATATGCGACCTTGACCGAGTCAGGACCGTAGAAAATACCTACGAAGAGGAAGAGGAAGAGGAAGAGTTCGACCCGAATCGTGCCGAACTCGGTCGCAGTGTTGGGCGATTCGGGCTGGATCACGCCGACTTGTTTCGAGGTTATGAGCGAGAAACTAAAGATATATTGGATTCTCCCTCTGGAACTCCGTACCCAGAAAACTCGCCGTTTGGTTGATCAAATGAGCACTTGTAGATCTCTCTCTCTCTCGCTCTCTCTCCATCTTTCTACCTGGGCATGTGGCACCATGTGAGACGGGCACCAGCTGTCATCTTCTCCCCGTCGAGGGGTGCAAGAGGGAGACAGGTGGGGGAAAAGAGATACGGCGGTGATTCGGCGAGAGAGCCCACCCCGCCTCCCTTTCATCTTCTCTTTGACCGGGAAAGCCTCGACAACAAGGCAGGTCGCCCACCCTCCAACCACAGCGGGATATAAACTAGCAAGATCTCCCCACAGCTGAGAAAGAGAAAGAGAGCGAGAGAGAGAGGCTCGGTCAAAGATTAACGCCTGCTTTGGAGAGGTGCCCACCTTCCATTTAGGCAGAGTCACTAGAGGAAACACCAAACTTCAAGCGCTCGGCCAGCTCTCTCACTACCTCCCTCCTTCATAAACCTATTAAACTGACCCAAATCATACGAACTAAATGCGACCTACAATGCTAATGCACACGGGCTAATGCAAGTAATCAGTATTCGTAGTAGCTCTCTCTAAACTATCCAGAGAACAAGTTCTTCCAGTCATTCAGTGGAGGCTTGGTGGTCTATCATATCTCAAGAGTCTGAAAATGTTATAAATAATACATTAATGTGAATAAAATCGCCGTCTCCAATTTAACTGTATCAAACTCTCCACCTGTGAATAAAAGTTGGGAATTTTATTCAGACCCATCGATAATGGGAGCTTAACTGCATCTCCCGATGAATAAGAAACTCAACGAGTGTGAACGGATAATTGGACGTCGGGCCCTCTCTCGCTGGCATGCGGACACGCACTGTACCGCTTTCTCTCTCTACGCGTCGACCGGCGATCCCCCTTCTCTCTCTACACCAACCCTTTTCCGTCCATAAAAAGCGGTACCAGCAGTTGGAGGTTTGGAGCGCGACGAAGATCTCAGCAGCAGGCGGATCCTGCCGGTGCATCTTTCTGGGTTTTCGGAATCTTGGCCCGACCTACGTCCTTCCTCTTCACACGTCGCCACGTCCTCTCTCTCTCTCTCTTCCTATCTAACTTCCCCTCCGTCGGTAATCTCCTGAGCGCACTGCTTCTCGGAGTTCTCCCGAGTATCAGTATCTTCCTCTTCCACGTCGCCCCCTCTTTACGTACATCCTCGCTCCTAGGATACAGAGAGAGGGAGAGAGGGACATCATTGGGTTGATGACTATTCCGGCGCTGCTGGTTGCAGCAGTCGTCGGCCGCCTTATCTCCACGGCGGCGCTCGGCGACGCAGAGATCCTTCGCCACCACACCATCGGCCGCCGGCTAAGCCTGGAACCCGACGACCTCGACGCAGCGTCGAAGGACTTTGGCGGCACGGTCACTGTCGCGCCGTTAGCCGTGCTCCGCCCCGCCACCACCGGCGACGTCGCCGGCGTCGTCCACGCTTCCTACCGCTCGCCGCTCGCCTTCCCTGTCTCCGCACGCGGCCACGGGCACTGCACTGGCGGGCAGGCGGCGGCGGCCGGCGGCGTGGTGGTGGCGATGACGACCGAGCGACGGCGGTGGGAGAGGAGAGAGGAAACCCAGCTAGGGATGCCGGAGTACTCGCCGTCGTACGGTGGGTACTTCGTGGACGTATGGGGAGGGGAGCTATGGGCCGACGTGCTGCGGTGGACTCTGCGCCATGGCGGACTCGCTCCGAGGTCGTGGACGGATTATCTCTACCTGTCCGTCGGAGGGACGCTCTCCAATGGAGGGATCAGCGGGCAGGCCTTCCGCCATGGCCCCCAGATAAGCAACGTCTACGAAATGGACGTCGTCACTGGTATGGTTTATGACCGGTTCTCTTCCTCCTATCTTCTCGGAGCAACTGGTTCTGATTTCCCATTTTTGTCTCCGACGTGTCGTGCAGGCAAGGGGGATCTCGTTAGGTGCTCGAGAGAGCAGAACCAGGATCTGTTCCATGCCGTTCTTGGAGGGCTCGGCCAGTTCGGAATCATCACCCGCGCCAGGATCGCTCTGGAACGTGCTCCCACGAGGGTAAGAACTAAGATCTCTCTCTCTCTCTCTATCTATCTATCTCTCTGTCCGTCTATCTGATGATCTCTGATGACGCAGGTAAAATGGATCAGGATGCTCTTCGCCGACTTCAGGGAGTTCACACGGGATCAGGAGTATCTCATCTCCCTCGAAGGGAGGCCGTCCGGGGAGAGGTTTGACTACGTCGAGGGCTTCGTCGTCCTCGACGATGGCCTCATCAACAACTGGAGGTCGTCCTTCTTCTCGCCTCGAAACCTTATCAAGCTCAGCTCTCTGGGATCTGCAGCGACAAGTGTCCTCTACTGCCTCGAGGTCGCCATGAATTACGACGACTCCACGGCCGGCTCCGTCGATCAGGTAGCTCATCGAATTCGAACAGTTTCTCCGCAGTTCTCGATTGAATCACTGATCGCCGACGACGGTGCAGGACGTGGCGGCGCTGCTGCGGAAGCTTCAGTTCATGCCGGAGACGGAGTTCGCCACCGATCTGCCGTACGTCGACTTCCTTGACCGCGTCCACAAGAAGGAGCAGAAGCTCCGGGAAGAGGGGCTGTGGGAGGTACCCCATCCATGGCTGAACCTCTTCGTCCCCTCCTCCCGCATCGCCGACTTCGATCAAGGCATCTTCAAGGGCATCCTCCGCCGGAACAAGGTCGGCGGCCCCATCCTCATCTACCCCATGAACAGGACCAAGTAAGCCGTCCCTCAGAGGTTCCTCTCTCTGCTACAACCCAGGGTCCCTCTCCTCTGGTTCGTTAGGGTTGATGGGTGGAGCATTCGACAGGTGGGAGGAGACGACGTCTGCGGTGACGCCGGAGGAGGAGGTGTTCTACCTGGTCGCCTTCCTCAGGTCGGCGGTGGGGGATTCGCCGGAGGAGTTGCAGAAAACTCTGAGGTACCTGACCAGGCAGAACGAGCTGATCTTAGGGTTCTGCCGCGACTCCGGCATTCCGGCGAAGCAGTACCTGCCGAGCTATGGCGGACGGCGAGACTGGGAGGAGCACTTCGGCCACAGGTGGGAGACCTTCCTGCGGAGGAAGATGGAGTTCGACCCAAAGGGCATTCTGGGCACCGGCCAGGGCATCTTCCAGCTCAATTCCGTCATCGTCGCCGGCCACGACGCAGAGACGAAGACCAGAAACCCCACCTCATCTCCTCGGTAGAAGATGATCATACGGACGGAAAGAGGATCGAGATGGGTAGAAAGGATTTCTCTAAAATTACCATAAAAATTTCAACTTTCAGTAGATCCTGTCAGGTTAATCCACAAGATAGTGGAAGATGGAATGATCTTCTGTTTTATTTTTCCTCCTCACTATGCTGTCTTTCGATTCGACTTCTATCTCCATCAAGAGTTCTTCCCAGATCCCCGAAGACCCTCTCCGAAGATTGAGGAAGACTCTCAAAGAATACCAGTCACAGATATACACAATGATTCAGGCCTAGCCCCGAATCCTGGGTGTTCTTCAACAGAGGAACACCAAACCCATCAAACAAGAAACCCTCAGGGATGAGAGGGACGAGGAGGCGCTACCCAGTCACTCCAGACGACGCCCATTTGGGAGAAACCGGGCGGATGATGATGATGATGGTGAACAGAATGAATGAAACGGCCCCGAAGCTGAGACGTGAGAGAAATTGTCATCAGCCTCTGACAATCCACCGGGGAAGAAAGAGTAGGGTTTCATGGGTCACACCGTCCTCATCCCTGCTCCTGGGGGGCAGAAGCCATTATTCATCTACAGGGGTGAGGCGATCAGGGTGAAGCCAGCCCACCCTCAAACCTCTGTGAAACAGCATATGGATGAACATAGACGACTCGTACGCAATCTCTGTGATAGCCTTCTTCTTTCCCTAATCGGTAATGGTAGAAGTATCAAAGACGGAAAGAGGGGGGAGGGAGCTATTCTTGCAGGGTTTTCAGGTGGCGGGGGGGGAGGAGGGAGAAGAAGGGAAGGCATCCTTCACGGCGGAGGCAGCAGTGAGGTAATTGAGGGTGTTCCTCAGAGTGTCCCGCTCCCTCCTCAGGCGAGCGCCGGTGTCCTCAAGCTCCAGGAGCGTCTGCTGCTCGCGGGGAGCTCCTTCGAATGTGCTGCCCACAAAGAAGGAGAAGGGGGTGGGGAACAGGCCGCGGCGGAGATCGGCCGCCGCCGCCGCCGCACCATCCTTGTCGGCCTTCCCGTTCAGCCGATTCGAAATCCTGATCACGTCCTTCATGTTCCGCTCCACCTCCGACGCGAGCGCCTCCAGATCTTCTTCGCCTTCAGCTCCAGCAGTCCCCGGCGGCGGCGGCCGGTCCTCGAGCCAGGCCACCTCCGCCACCAGGTAGGGTTTGGTGCGAACCAGTCGGGTGATGCGGAAACGTTCCTGGCCCTTGCAGATGAGGAAGAACCTGTCGTCGACGAGGCGCTCGTGCTTGACGACCTCCCCCACGCAGCCGACGCCGGCCACGGAACCGGCGTCGGAGAAGACGACCCCGAATCGGAGATCAGTTTCCAGAAGGGTGTGCATCATCATCCGGTACCGAAACTCGAAGATCTGAAGCGGCAGAATGGCCCCCGGGAAGAGCACCAGGGGAAGCGGGAACAGGGGGAGCTCCACCACATCCGCCGCTGCCGGCGGGTACGACGACGGCGACTCCGACGAGGACAAGGAGCAGCGGAGCACGAGCCCCACCGGGCTCCCCTTCCGGCACAGGCTTCGCCGGCGGCGACCGGAGAAGGACAGCGCCGCCGTCGGGGCAGCGGAGACGGCTGAGCTATGGAGAGGGTGGGGGGCTCCGCGGGGGGAAGAGGAAGGGCAGGAGGGGAGGAGAATCTGCGCCATCGCCATGGTCGAAGCTTCAAGGCGAGTGTGAACTGGGTTCCCTCTCAGACCTCCCCACCGCCGCCGTCGCTGTGCGGCCCCCAAGCTGCCATGCCTACCATATGCTCCATCTCTGGCCTCTCTGAGAGTGAGGATGTGGCCCGCAGCGGCGCCGCCGATGATGGTGGTGGTGGCTGTGGAAGCAGCGAAAGGAGGCGGTCTTGTGGCGGGGAGCAGATGGGACCATTGAACGGACCAGATCTTTTCTGGAGTTTCTATGTGGCTCCCACCTGAAGTCCTGCGGCCCTCCTCGGCCCACGTGGCCACCTTCCCAACCTTATCTATTTCGCTTATGGGCCATTAATGGGCCGAGCCAGTCTTTTTTGCATCATCGAAGGGAGCACGTGAAAATGGCGCATCATGCGGGTTTATAGAGTACCGTGGGGATAGGATGTGGAGATCGGATCCGACGGCGGCGACTCGCCGGAGGCGCCGCCGGGGAGGTGACTGAGTCTCCGAGAGGCTAGTTGAGGACGAAGATGCCCCTCGATCTTTGACTGGAGGGTTGTGCCTTGCCGAGCCCGCAACTGGAGGCGTCCCTGGCCAATCACCCTGCACAGGGATTGGTGGATTCCACCGGCTGTCCTCCTTCCACCGGCGTCGTCGGATGGCGACCTCGTTGATGATCATTTCAGAGCTCGACATGGTCGGTAATGGAGAGTAACCACTATCGATCTCTTTCCCCCTTTTCCTATAAATCCTCTCTCTCTCTCTCTCTCTCTCTCGGTTGACGCCATGGCGGTGTCTCCGACCAAAGTCCTGCTGCTGATGCTCGCCGCATTGACGGAGCTTGCGCTTGCGTCGTCCGCCTCAAGGACGGTGGTCCCTGCGTCCGTGTCGGAGCTTTTCGAGAAGTGGTGCAAGGAGCATGGGAAGGTCTACGGATCCGAGGAGGAACGCGAGCATCGCCTCCGGGTCTTCGCTGATAATGCCGCCTTCGTGATGGAGCACAATGGACGGGGAAATTCTACGTTCACTCTGGACCTCAACGCGTTCGCGGATCTCTCTCCCCATGAGTTCCGGACGGCGTACCTCGGGTTCGGCTTTGGAACCAAGGGAGTGCCACCCCGCCGGCATAGCAAGGAGGTTTTGTTCACTGGCTACGGCGGCGACGTACCTGAAGCAGTGGACTGGAGGGAGAAGGGGGCGGTTACAAAGGTGAAAGATCAGGGAAGCTGCGGTGCGCTCTCTCTCTCTCTCTCTCTCATACACAAATTACTATAGTTAGGGAAACAAACTAATGAAATTGCTGTAGATGTATGAAAATGTTGAGATTAGTGTTCCCTGGTTTGCTCTGATTTTCAAGCTATTCACTAGTGGCCCTTCTGATTTTCAAGTCCTCTGGATTGAGAAGCTGCGGGGCAGTTGATATTCCCGGCTGCCCATCATTAAGATATTCTTCTTTCTTTGACATCTGAGGTCGACAAGAATTTGGAGTCGTCCTCCTTCAGGGTGTAGGTCCACTTTCTGTTCTCATCCCCATGTGATTCGATTCTATAGAACATAAGCTTCATCTCCAGAACCCTGATAGAAATCAAGTAGTTGTGTGCATTCAACAGAGAAGGTATCAGACATACGACATTAGTTCTGATGCTCGAAATTAGTTTTTGTTAATTGACAAGCAAATGTTCTCCCGGTTGTCAAGTCATATAGTAGAAATCTAAATGAGAGTCCTGTGGTTGAACCCTGGTGAGAAAGAAATGAGCATGAGACAAGTCCCTACATTTCTAATCCATGAAACCAAGCCTTCACTCCCCTTCGCTGAGCAAAAATTAGCTTGTTTACAAATTTACGCTCAATTCTGGGGCCAGTAATTTTTCTCTGTACGATGCAAGGATCTTATAAGCTTGTTACAGAGAGACTTATCGTACCAGAAGCATCGATCAGCTGGTTCACATGGGCACGGCACCATTTTCTCTCTGTACAAAAAGCGAAAGACTTTGATACAATTACATTGATATGGCCTTCCTTTTTCCACCACTGAACCCAGGTTAAAAGGAAAAGAGAGAACTTTGCCAAAAGGAAAATAGTCTTTATTATGAAACGATCTGTAGGACAATGCATGCTTAAAGAGAAGGAAAAGGTTATTGACTTTTATTGCTTTATTTTTATCCGTTTTTCCTGATGGATAGTGCATTAATTAATCCTGATGGGTCTCTTAGCATGAGATTGATCAATCTTTTGATTCTGCTGAACAATACTGCACCTGCATCTAAATCTCCTCCAACAATTAAGGCTCTGAGTTCCTTGTCTCCTGGCAGGTGATTGTTGGGCTTTCTCAGCCACTGGTGCCATTGAAGGAATAAACAAGATAATGACGGGAACCCTTGTGAGCCTGTCTGAGCAGGAATTGTGCGATTGTGACAGAAGCTATAACACTGGTTGTAACGGAGGACTGATGGATTACGCATTTAAGTGGGTGATAGAAAATCATGGGATTGATTCCGAGGATGACTACCCATATCAGAGTGCAGATAAGACTTGTCTTAAGAACAAGGTGCTCTTTCCGTGCCATTATCTTACCGTTTGTTCTCTCTATTGCGTTTAGGCTTCGCTATAATCTGGTTTCCCCCATTTTTCTGTAACAGCTAAGTCGCCGTGTTGTATCAATTGATGGTTATTCTGATGTTCCAGCAAATAACGAGAATTTATTACTCAAGGCTGTTGCACAACAGCCTGTGAGTGTTGGCATATGTGGTAGTGAGAGACTATTTCAATTATACTCAAAGGTCTGCTCCAGCACCTCATCGTTATCTTTTCATTGGAGAGTTGTGGAGGTTCATCCTCTCCCGTTAAGAACTACCAAGCCTCACCGTTATTCTATATCTTTGACTTGCAGGGAATTTTCAGCGGGCCATGTTCGACTTCTCTAGATCATGCTGTGTTGGTAGTAGGGTATGGTTCAGAAAATGGCAAAGATTATTGGATTCTGAAGAACTCATGGGGAACACGATGGGGAATAGATGGCTTCATGCTTATGCTTCGGAACAGTGGGGATTCTCGTGGAGTTTGTGGCATTAACATGATGCCATCTTTCCCGACGAAAAATACTCCAAACCCTCCTCCATCACCCAGTCCGAGTCCAACAAAATGTAGTTTATTGACCTATTGTCCAGCTGGAAGCACCTGTTGCTGTTCATGGACTGTGTTCGGAGTATGTCTCTCTTGGAGTTGTTGTGAACTTGAGTCAGCAGTATGCTGTGAGGACCATCGTTCATGCTGTCCTCATGATTATCCCGTATGTGATACGAAAAGAGGACAATGCCTAAAGGTACAATGTTTCTAGCTGCCTGCATGTTTGACATGATTTCAAAGCTGTTCTATTATCTTTTGTTGAGTGATTTCTTTACCTTCTAAATGGTTTGTTAAATATGATTTCTGTTTCGCATAGTCTGAGTTACGGTTTGTCTATCTTTTTTTGTTTCTTTTTCGGAAAAAACTTTTTTTTAAAGGAGAAGGTTATAGATTTTTTTAAAAAAAGTCTGCAGTTTTTTCATCAATTATGACAATGTACTTTCATGTGAAAACCTCGACATCTGTATGTATGAATTTTCTTATATTGAAAAAAGAAACTAACTGATGCTTCATGGATTTTTTTCATTTTTACAGGGTTCCAGGAATTCTTCCACAATGGATGCAATCAGAATGAGAAGCCCTTTTGTGAATTTTGAAGCCCGGAACTTTCTCCTAGAAGCTTTTTGAGCTACTCATTATCAGTTGTTCCTGTGAGCGCTTTTCACTTAATAAATGGCTCCATGCCATCCTCTTTTCTGTTGTCTGAAACTTCATTCTCTCTTTCTAGATTTCTACGTAGGTGTTGAGGTTTAGTAAACTCTTACTGAACAATCCTCGTGTTCTCATCACTCTTACTTTTCTTTCTTGCATGATGTAAAATATGTCTAAAACAAATAAGTCACATTTGTTTTTATCGGAAATTTTCTAATACTGAAACGTTCAGCCTGAGTAATGTGTTGTTGCTTAATCATAAAAAAATAAAAAATAAAAAATGTTGTCAATCTGCTATATGATTCAAAACTATTTCTGATACAAATAATCATCTTCACCTGTTTCCATCATTCTGGTATCACAATTCTCACCATCACAGAGTGGCCAGCCGTACATACAAGTGGGGGCAGCCCATGAATTATCTTACCTTTCTCTGTTCTTCTCACCTTAATAATAGCAGAATGTTTTGCAGTTATCTCTCCATTTCCCGTGTATAATGATAATCGGCTCCTTGGATCCCTAAACAACAGGCTGAAGAAAATTATAGGAGCTGGCTAATGGAGGTTCCATTTGAGTCTTTTTATTTAAGCCAGAGCCAGTTTTCTGTGGTGTGAAAAATCCTTGTTCTTCTCTCACGTCCTCATCTGCCTCCTCTTTGTCTTCTCCATCTTTCCTTTCTCCTTCTTTCTATCTCTTCTTCTTGCATCACTTTGGCCGAGAAGCAATCAAGCCAAGCCAAGGTATGCAGCCTCTATGATTCCCATTGTTTCCCACTTCATTCTTTCAAATAGACAAGTCAAATAGCCCATCCTAGAGATGAATGCGAAAGGTGACATTATATTCTTAGCACTTTATTATTCATAACCAAACTAATTTCATTTATCAGAGTGGATTTTTCTGCATGTGTTCTCACTATATATCCTTTCCTCAGACCCAGATTCTTTGGAGAACTAATCTAATGGTCTGGCAGAAAACCTATCGAGTGTATTATTTTAAACGATGTTATTAAATTCATATTAACGATAAACTCTCTTGTTCAAGATGGCTCTTACGGTCACAGACTCAACAAATATCTGAATGTTGATTGCTACAACATTTTCCCGAATATATCCATTCATTTAGGTAATGAGAGTAGGAGTCTTCATATAAATGATGAAAATATCCAAAAAAGATGCCCCCATCCTTGCTGCAGTTATCTTGCTCATATTCATCTTCCAAATCTGGTTCACATACGCATGTCCTCCAGCAATCTGCTTTGTGAGCTACGTATGCACACTTTGATATCTTTCTTCATTTTCTTTACCCTCAGATCATCTTTTATTTTTTCCCCTTCCTTTGAGGGCAAGATTCACATAGATTTGCATTTATTCCATTGAAATACTGTTTTTCATGGCGTCGTTCTCTATTCATTTCCTTATTTCACAAACTGCATCAGCCTCTTCTCTGGTCAAGAGTTCAGATCACTAGTTCATTCTGAAATAAATACTCAGAACGATATGCTCACTTCTGAAGAAAGATGGGAGGCCTCTTAGATAAGTAATGACCGAAACCAAGTTGCTGAAGAACAAGAACAGAAGGAAGGTGATCCCACTTCCGAGCACTCTTCAATACTGTAGCTAGTTTCTAAGAAGAAAAAAAGCACGGATGGCTGATCGTGGTAAATATCTCAATGGAGTAGTCTCCGCGATTACTAAACTTGAACATTTTTGGAAGTGTGTTCATGCATATATTTTTGGAAGTCTCAGAAAAATTATGAACTGTGCGCAGTCTTTTTTGACCTCTGAGCATAAATTAATCCAATTTTATTTAAACTGGGTTTATGGGGAGTGAGTGCTATTTATTTAAACCTTCAATTTTTAAGGTTATTACCATTATTCTGGAAAACCCATATCGAATTCTTAATGGAAACACACGTATGATTCCATTTTTATTTTTATTTTTATTTTTATGTTTTTGTTCATCGGAATTTGGGAACAATGGTGTACAACGTTGACCTTCGAATGCGCATTCTCCAATCTACGGATCTACCTAGTATAGATCTTAGTGATTTCATGAAAAATCCTTGTTTTATTTCCTTCGTGATGCCCCAGTAAACTAGCTTACCTTGACTACGATTATTTCTGGCAGGATGTATCATGGAGTATATTAATTGCACGCATCAACTTACGTTTGAAACTTTTCATTTTTTTCTCATTCCTGGTGCTAGTTAGCTAAGCGCTCGTTCTTCTTCCAGCAGCAACGAGGGGTTGACTTCCTTTAAGTTGGCTGAAAGTTGACTTTCTCATTCCCGCTGCCTTATCTCCTCATGACACGCCTTGCAAGCTAACCCGAAACCCTATTTTATTTTATTTTTCCTGTTCTGCAGGATCGAGGAGACTCGTTGCTCAGCGACTTTCTCAATCAGATAACGGATTCCAGTCATTTGCCTGGTTCTTAGGCAGGCATGCTTATCTCGTTCCTCGTTTCTCGTCTGGTCCACAGACTCTGATTATTGGGGCATCAAGATCCGGCTCGTGATAGTTTCAAAACAGTCGCCACAGTCTGTGAAAGCTCGGAGCCCCTCTCTATCATAATCCTGTAAAAGCTTATATTCCTTCAATCATAGACCTCAGCACTTGCCAAAGGAACTCAAGAGTATAACTGATATGAGCTGATTCCATTAATGGAAAATAATCATGGTGCCCAGTTCCCGATTTCTTGGAAGGAACCGTTTGTAGTGTTTCCATCCGACTAGCTCTACTCTTTGACCAAACAAAGAGGTAGCTTCTCTACAACGCTTAGCTACGATTGAGGGATGAACAGCATGATTCAGGGGAAAATCATGTATGGGGTAGCTCTATCATCTCTACTAGCCCACAGTTTGTGGGCTCGAACAGCTGGCTGATGGGCATCACTAGAACATGTATCGATCCACCTATACGACCCACAAAAAAAACATATTAACCATCGGAAAGGTGATCACAGATGGGTTTCCGAGATGGGTTCATGGGGAATGCTAAGCTCTTTTTTCGCAGAGTTTTTCTTAGAACACGGCTGACCATGCAAGGAAACTGCTACAGACCACAGATTTTCTTCAGTCAAAAGGTTCACAAAGACGACAGAAAGAAGGTTCGATCGATCAAGCATGGTTAAACGGCCTAACTTAATAAAAGATCTTCCATCAGAACGTAGACGGTGGGTCGGCCATGGGTTCAGGCTCACCAGCGTTCAGTCCTTGGAGGACTTGTTGATCAGCGACTTGTGGATGTGGGGAATGACGCCGCCGCCGGCGATGGTTCCCTTGATGAGCGTGTCGAGCTCCTCGTCCCCACGGATGGCGAGCTGCAGATGTCGCGGGGTGATACGCTTCACCTTCAGATCCTTGCTCGCGTTGCCGGCCAACTCAAGCACCTCCGCCGTGAGGTACTCCAGGATCGCTGCCGAGTATACCGCGGCGGTTGCTCCAACTCTCCCGTTCGCCGCAACCCTCGCCTTCAGCTGCCGGTGGATTCTCCCCACAGGAAACTGCACATCATCACAGGAATCAGTGCTTCCTTTCGCTTATCAGTTCGAAAGAACGCATGGACGGCGAGCATGAGGCTCGAACTCGGCAGGGGATTTTGTCGAACAGGTCGCGCACGATCCAGGATCGGTCGAATTAGACAAAGATCGTCGACGGCAGACGAGAGTAGGGAAGGCAAGGAATGGATTCCCTCGAATTACGACCAGCCGGAGAGGAAGAACCGGCGAGAGTTGAGGATAAGGCTGAGGTGGGGTTTTCCGGAACTCTCACCTGTAGACCGGCACGGGACGAACGCGAGACGGCCTTCTTCTTGTCCTTGTTCGCCGTCGTCTTGGCGGCCACGAGACCCTTCCCACCCTTTCCCGCCATCTCTCCTCCCTGCAAAATTCGAACTCGTGCAGTCGTAAAGAAAGAAAAAACGAGGACGACGCCAGGCGCAAGGAGATTGCGCGCAGATCGGCACCGCCAAGAGGACCACGAGACGCAACACAGGCACGGAAACCCTAGAGGAGACGAAGAGACCCCGTGAAAACAAGAGCCGTAAACCAGACGAAAGAGGGCGAAAATCCCAGGGTCACAATTTCCCAGACGACAGGGAGGATGAGAAGACTAGAAACACCGACTACACCGGCAGATCTGATCGGAGAAGAACGGGTCGTCACCTTTCCCCGGGATCGTCGAGCAGCCCTCCCGCACGCGCAGCGCCACCAGCCGGAGGAGCTCAGCCAGAAAATGAACACGCCACGGTGAGGTCGGTGGTGGCCTCGGTCAACGCGGGTTAATATGAGAGAGAGAGAGAGAGAGAGAGAGAGAGCTTCCCGCCGGGAGAGCGGTGAAATTTCCCCAAATCGGGAATGAAAGGACGTAGAGAAGCGCGGCCCTTTTTTTACTAGATCCGGAAACCGGGCCGGACCGGTCGGACCGGCCGGCTCAAGACCGGAGGCAAACTGAGAACCCAGCCTTCCCCTGAAAGAACATTCAGATCAAGAAGAACAAGCCTGAGCGCTGCCACTCACCGCCGCCGCCGCCGCCGATGGATACCTAGTTGACTGATTAAGCTTTCACATAAATATTTACACAGAATATAATGAGAAAATTATTAATTTTAATCAGTATCATTTTAAGTAATTATTGACAGCTTCCACAGTACCAGATAAAGTCAAAAGTAATGAAGGGAACAACAACGGGAAGATCCAGCCTGTTCTTCCCTCCTCAAATGATCTGGGAGCAAAAAGAGAGGCGGCCAGCGTTTGGTCAACGACTGAGCATCCTTCACTTCTCCCCAAGAAGGTGGGAGGTGCAGGCGAAGAGCGAAGACAGCTCCTCCTCCGTGGCCAACCCAAAACCCTGCCACCGAATTCTGCCGAGCTTGTCCAATAGAAAGATGTACCTGCAGAATGGGGACAGGAAGAAAGTCAACCGCTGAAGAACAGGCCGAGTGTTCATCATTCTTCTCGAACACTCGGAGGGGATCTTTCTCACCCGGAGAGAAGGTTCAGTATCTTCAGCTTCTTTCTGAAGTCGTAGTGATCCCCAAAGGAGTAAACCCTCTCCCTCTGGGGACACGTTGACTTCTTCATCACGCGCAGCATCAGCCTCTTCATCGGACTCAGAGACAGGAACCAGGAATCTATCAACGAGACCTGAGCAGCAGAGGTGTTCCAAGAATGTTGGAAAGCATTTATTGAGAAAACCCACCCAAATGATCATCTTTTTATAGTTTCCGGCCCAGAAAAAGAAAAAATGTAGTAAAAAATTTTCTTTTTTGACTGCAAAAAAACACAGATCGGGAAATAAAATATATCAATCAAATCTAAGGACCCAGTCGTCAGCCCTCTCCACATGATGGTGGAAAGCACCTCTGATCAAGATAATAATCGGAAGGACAGGCCAGCTATATATAGACTTCCTCAATCAGGATTTAGAGAGAGGGACGGGTCGCTTTGACTTTAATAAACCCCGGTTCAATGCTCCTCTGGATGGGAATGAACACCGGATTTGTGCAGACACAAAACCCTCCTTCCCTTCCCCTCCCTCTCCCTCTCTCTCTCTCTCTCTCTCTCTCTCTCTCTCCATGGAGCAAGCTTGTCTGGTTCATGAGAGACTATGAGCAGAGATTATGATGGAAGGAACAAAACCTCGTATATGTGAACCTTTCCCGAAGCAGCAAAGGCGTTCATGAATGCTTCACTCCATGATTCGGTCATCACCTGTTGAAAGGTAGACGACGAAGATGAATACACAAGCAAGAGATGAACCGAAACCAGCAAGCATTCTCCATTTTCGGCAACTGAAAGCTCGTAGCTGGGTGCAGATATCAACAAAAGAAGCATGATTGGCTTTCATCTGGTTATTGTCAAGAAAATCACATAATTACGTACATTTTTCGGAGACAAACTTCAACAAGTCAAATGGTGTTTTTGTTGATCAGCTCAGGTTGACCCACAACAAGCTCGGCTCATATGAATATCCAGCCCAGTATGAGAACACAAAATTACTGAATGAAGAAAATAAAGCAAGGAAGTTGGGGCAGAGAGGTCAAAGAAGCAATGATAAGAGCACAGCTGGATAAAACTGCAAAGAAAAATCAACATATATCCCTTTATTTATAAGCATAGTTCAGGTCAACGTACAAAAATGGGCTGGAAATCTCAGGCTCTGCTATCTAAGAGCTGAGATGAAAGTAGTAGGTCTATTCTGGACCATTTAAGCTCAAAGTAGACGGTTCGTCAGATATGCAGCTCAGAATACCACTCGAAGTAAGACTTTTGCGCTTGAGAGTAGAGCTTTGACCACACGTCTCATCACCAGGTTTTGTCAACCAGTGGAGATTTTCAACTGTTTTCACCAAATGACAGCCGCCTAGATGTTTATTTCTGTTGTCACCAACTCACCCAGTGGACATTCATTCTTGAAAACAGAGGACCTCGACCAATTGACATTCATTTATTGCGCAAGCGAATGATGTAACCAGGCCAACAAGTGGCGTCCTAATATTAAAAAAAATAGAAAATGTATCATAATAAGGCATATCAGAAATCAAAGATATGACATCCTCAACTTCCATATACACAGGTTTAATGGAACAGAACTCTTGTTATGTGTTGGTTTGCTGCTCCGTGAGCTAAATGGAACAAATCTGCATGCTACGTCCCTCAGAAAAAAGCTTTTCTCCTGTTTATTACCTTCATGCTTAGGCATATCAGAAATGCAAGATTTATGCATAAGAAGCGGAGGGGAAATAATCCGAACATTTTCTTGATGTTTTCTGTGTATTTCATGAATGTAGTCTTTGCCCAATAGTCCAAATATTTGACATTTGGAATTGCATTTGCCCATATAAATATCAATTAACGGATAAAAATTTTAACTTGGTACATAAACCATATTTTTTTCATAAGACTAACAATTTTCTCACTTGATAGTTTTGTCCTATCAGAAGGCAAGATACTCTATATTTCATCTTTTAGACTTCGTGCCTTCTAACAACGGTTCCATGGTTTGAAGTCGACCCCAAGCCAAATCCAGTTCAGTTCACAGTTTAGCATAAATGAAAAAGCAAGTTCAATTCACGTTGAAGAACACTACACCAGGCACTGCCCTATTTCTTACATATTAGGAGCAGTTGCAAAAGTGAACAAATTTAAAATGACGATTAAAATGAGACCAATGTGAAAATTCCAACATAACTGTCCGATTAATCCGACATAAAGTTGATATTATCCTTAAATCCAGAGCACAGACGTCACATCAGAGAGAACGACAAGCTTCTTGTCATATTTCCAATATAAATGACGAATTAATAAAAATTCTGGCATTAACAAGCACAAGTTCTATGGTCTGATAAAAAATCCTCCCTATCATCCGAGTCTTGATGAAGATTACGCTAATTATAAATTAAATTCGAATAGAATACAAAATTTCATCACGGAAAACAGGAATTTACAAACCTGAGAACTAGCTCGAAAGGACAAGCACAACAACGTTGCATTTGGATTAGCCATTTCACTGACATGATTTCCACCATCTATTGAACGAATTGGTAGTGTAAGATTCCTTCCATCAGAGAAATTTGTTTCCAAATCGGGAAACTTCATGGCTACCATGGGTGGGATGATAGTTTTATTTGCTGCTGCAATCTGTAGAGGTCCATAAAAAATTCAAATTATTGTCAGAGATATTCAGATGAAACCAAACGAAATAACATTTCAATTCCTTGACAAGGAAACCAAGCCGGTCAAGGCGAGGCAACTATACCAGAGTTTAATGATCATTCCTGAATCAGAGTCTAATATTTTCTTCACAGAAAATCTAATTCAGAGGAGCTTTCATCTTAATATTGGAAACTGAGAAAAATAAAACAATACCAAAGAGAGGGAAAATGTATTAAAAACGTAGTGCAAAGAATATAAGGAACAAAAAGGAAATGGTGCAGACAGAAAAAAAAGTGACTAGGAGGTAATAAATGAAATTAAAAATAGAGAAGGAAAAGGTCTAAGAGAATAAAACGACCAAAGTCCTATCAGATGAAAAGACACCTTCTTTCTTCACCCGCAAGCACATTAGCACCCACTGACTTTAAGAAAAGGATCTTGAGGAAAAGGGTTGACAAAATATTAGGGCAAGATTGTGCAAGATTGTGCAAGCAAGGACTCAACATATATTCACCCTTCCAATGCCCACCATGATAGACTAGTTTTTTATCTTTGATTTTTATTGTCAATCTCAGGGGATCTTGGATGTAGACAATTTAATGAAATTTGAATTATGCTTTGTAGAAAAGTGTGATTTAAGAATTGACACGATAAAATATATATACATACATACAGACGCGATCAATTGTTGTCTCCCGGAAATATTTTTTTAAAATTAAATGTTAAGATGAGCAATACTTGGAACTTAGAAAGTAAAAAGTAACAAATTCTAAGCCTTCTCTTTTTTTCTGCTCTAAACTTTACCAGGGCCCATGAAAAGCTGTAAAGCCTACTGAGAGTAGACCCAATCGCCAGGGAACGAGGGACAACAACTTCAGAGTTGACAGAGTAGAGCGCCCACTAGCCACCGAAAAAACACAGACTTCTTGATGTGTCCAGAAGCCAGAAGAGGTCTGGTTGAATGAGAAAAATATTACGACTTCCAAAGACCACATGTAAAAATCTTTTTGGTTCCGGAAATCACATCAAATGTATGGTGTGAGGCAAGCCCGGCAGGAGAACCAGACACAGCTTTTCAAGCTTCTTGACCTACTTAGAATATTCATGAGAAAGGAATAGTTTCCCAACGATATTTGGATATGTTGCGCATGCATATAATTATACATTGATGTCCACGATAAATCATTTTCTAGGATCACATTCTCACCTTACCACCATGTTTACTAAACTCCTGAATGTCAGCAAAATACCCTCTATTCAATTCATCTGAACTGCACTAAATAACAGACAACAGATCACAAACATTTATAAAATCAACAATATTCAACTTTAAGGCATAGAGAAAAGAGTGAGGTACTGTACGCATCAGTAGAACAAAAGTTTTTCTAAAAAATTATGCCAAAGGTATGTGCTGAATAATCATATCAAACCACGTTCCCGTATATTAAACTTAATACAGAAATAAATGCCATTCAAATTTCAAGTTGTTGCCTTTTCAAGATGTAGCGTGAACCGTTTTTCAGTTTCATCTATTGTGGCACAGACAATAGGCAGTAGCAACCAATGGGACCAAGCAGCGACATGAAGCCACTCGCCCATGACTGATTTAAATGCAAGCACATGACGTGACGTGTACTTTCGAGTCAGAAGCCAATAAATGTAATGTCCATCTAAAATTCTATTGCTGATAATATGATGCACAAGCGATCATTTATTATCCTCATAACCAATCATATTATAACATATTTTTACGAAATCCTGGAAATATCGAAAGAGATTCACTTTAACTTAAAGAATTGCGTGATTATAAGATGGACAGAACAACATATTCCATTAAAGGAGTGCAACGTGTCTGTTCTGCTTGTTATACCGCACCAGCTTGAGTTTCCTTTTTCCTGTGAACTCATTATCCTTTGGAACTTCAGATAATCTAGAGTTTTCAAATACATGATTTATAGGCCAAGATTCAGGATGCTACCCTCCCATCACAATTTCTTCATTTAGAGACCGTAATTCTTTTTCTTTAAGAGAAACACTTACACTGATGATCAATTATATCTGACAACCGCTCTTCCTATATTCGTCAGTATTTACTTGTCCTTAAACTGTCTTTGAAGAGGCCACTCAAAAATCGGTCTCAATTGGGATACCAAATGGGGCCTCAACGCAAGTGAACCAAGGGGAAGCAATTTACAACCCGTATCATTCACCTACTAATGCAAGCCCTCCCAAATTTTTGAAATTTTCAGGACGATATATGAAAAGACGCGATCACATGGAATAAGGGGATTTTGAAATTTTCAAGCCTTTATAACAATTGAATTCCAGCCCTGGCTTGTCGAAAAGTTGAAACAATTGAATAAGCAGAAGCAGATGGGATCATCCTTAACAAGACGTCCAGACAATGTCACGACCCCACATCTAAAGCGAGTTCAACCAACTGAATAGATGAATCATTCACTGAACATTTTTACTAGAAAAAGAATATGTACTGAAGAGAGGGCTCGCATCGAAAGGTGAGCGAGGAATTCATGAAAAATTTACTAGTAACACACTACTTACAGCCTTTCCCGCTCCTTCTCGATCGCAGCTTTGTTGATGACCTGCTTGCACAGACACTCCAGCAGTCAGTTGACTCCGATCGAGTGGCCTCGCCCCCAAGAAAATGCAAAAAACCAGGCAAGGAGAAGAGAACTAGGGTAGAGAGCTAGCCAGCCGACCTACCTGGTAGAAGTCGAGAAAATGCCGCGTCGAACCCAGGGGTTGGAACACGCTGGACCGGGGGGGGCACGACGACTCCCGGCCATGATCCAGAGGAGGGCCAGGAGCAAGCACGGAGGCCCTGCAAGGACCAGGGTCCCCACGACCAAACCCCATCGCCGTGTAGGCGGAGGCGGCGGCGCCGCCACGGCGGCCGCCGAGCACTACCGATCGCAGCATGGAGAGGCAAACGAGACAAGGAGACAGATAGTGGGAGGAAAAAATAATTAATAGATCGATTTTTCTACTTTCAGATGGGAAATTTTTAAAAAATTTTAAATTTTTTAAATTTTTTTCATATTTTTTTACTTTCAGATGGGAAAAAATTAACGAGTTTAAAGCTTGTTATAATAATAATAATATTTTTTATTTAAAATAAATAAATGAATAGAATGTTCATAAAAGAGCTGCCGTCTCGCAGTCTTCAGTCACCGCTGTTCCCCGCCGGCGGTCTTCCCCTGCACGGCGAGGAGAAGCTCGTTTAAATTCGTCGGGCCGCTCCACGCCAAGATCGGCGAGTCTTCTGGGGGGACGCCGGTGGCCGATGGGGTACGTCCAGGAGGCCAGAGAAAACCACGTCAAGAAGAAGGTGGAAGAAGGTAAAACTCCGATATCTGCGCACTCATCCCCGCCCCAGGTCCCGCTCTCCCCCCTCCCCACCATCGGATCCTCAGGGGAGGCGAGGGCTTGCTCGCTTGATATCGTCTTTGTCCCTTGTTGGATAGCTGAAATTATGAATGCGTACTTGTTTATTGTTCGTCATTGTTCTCCGCATTGCTCCCTGAACTGAGGTGGGATTTATTTCACTGGACCTCTGCTTGGTCCAGTGATCGGCGATTATTAGGTATCGATGGCTCTTCGCTCGGCAATGATTATGAGGCAGTTTGTAATGAGTATTCATGGGTGCTAGCTACGAGGATTATTTGAACTCATTTTGATCAGATGTGGTCATTGATGATTTGCATGATTTGCATGGAGGGAGAAGAATTATGCTGCCAATGTGACTGTGATATGGTTTCATTTTAGGTGTATAGTTGACTTTTGTCTGCGGACGCAGTGATTTTTTTAACGAATGTAATGGGATGGAGGATGACACGGTTTCATCTTTTCGTAGGGAATATGTTGTTGAACGTAAGAAACTTAGATAGAGTGAAGTTCGGAGGAAGGGAAAGGGGATTATCAGTCTTGTATGCTTTTGGATTAGATGATAAGGTCAAGAAGACCGGATCCTTGGATATGACTGGGCCATGAGGTTTACGAGGAATCAATGTTTTCTTGGCCTATAGTGCTGGTGTAAAGCTATAGCACGCTGAATATTAAACCTGATGAGCACTAACTTTTGGAAGTATGTATCAGCGGCTACACTGATCTTTGGAGGATGATTGAAAATGCTGCATATCTGTCGTGACAGCTTCTCTTTGATTTTTTGTTGAAATGTGAGCTGTACAGTAGATAAATCCCCTCTTATATATTTTGAAGTGGTTTACATGAGGAACCATGCTTGATTTATTGAACCTTTCTCTTCTTCCCAGGTGGATTTACCGGCAAAACATTTCCGTTTGGAACATATTGAAAAAGCAAGAAAAAGGCCTGGTCCAGTACCATGTAGGATTTATTGACAATGAGCAGAACATTTTACACTTTTCAGTCAATCTTGGATAAATAATGAATCTTAAAGCGTTAAAAATATTTTTTTGTCTTTCATACCTAGTCGCAAGAGTTTAAAGCACTCCTTCAATGCTGATCATATGCCTACCATTGTTATATATTGATTATCTCAGTTTTTCATTCACAGTAACATGTTAAAACATGCAACAATGTCGTTTGTGTTGGGATACCCTGGGATCATAAAATCTCTAGCAGATGGGAACATCAGATCATCCAGATCTAATCTAAGCCAGATCAGGATTGGAACAGCACATAGAAAGGAAGTGAGCCTTGAGACAGCCCTATCTGGTCAGTCATTTGGCCTAGCCGGACAGCTTGAATCAGTCAGGAAGGAGACAATCAGGCTGATATCAATCAATTTCTGGCTTCTTCATTCAGGATTAGCAATTTAGTCCCTAAATTGATTTTTGGGCTTCACTAAAAGATATTTAGTATATATCATCCCACCCGAAAAAGAAAAAAAGCCGGATAGTTCTAATTTTTAGTACCATCTCTGGGATCTCATGTTCACTATATATTTGATTCTGTTGAGACTATGCAGTTTTATACAACTAGCTCAAACTTCCTATGTACAACTAGCTCAAACATAAAATGTTGATTTTATGAATATTAATTTGAGCGATGGCATCTCTATACGTTAGGTGTAGAACTCAAAGAATGTATTATTTATTACCACTGAAAAAAAAAAAAAGAGTTTCGTTCTCATGCATGAGGATGGTGATTTGTTGCTACCAGCTTTGCGGAGCAAAATGAAGCAAAAAGCACTTAAAGAATGCAGTCAATATGCCCAGAGGTATGCTGAATGTGCCACTGGAAGGACCATATCTGTTGTATGGAAGTGCCAGAAACAAGCCAAAGAACTAAATGAATGCCTTCATCAATAGTAAGTTTCATTATTAAGATATATTTTTCTTTTAACATGTTGGATTCTGAAATTTGATTTGAAATTACCTCATGTGCTTCAATTATTTTGCTTCATTTGGCTGAAGCAGTAAATAAATATCTTTCGCTTCAAATCATCAGAGTCCGTAGTCTTCAAAAAGAAATAAAATGACACGACAACTTTTCCTATCATTCCCTATTATCTTTAATGCGGATAAGATGTTATTTCCTTTCTTTTCATTGATACTGATAAGATCTACATTCATTGCGAAGACAATCGTAATCAGCAAGCTTAAATCAGACTAGCTCAAAATTAAAGCAGACCTACATCCAGTGCGCGTTCTGTTGCTTCACTGTTCTAAAGGATGCCCTGTAATTCCTATTTGTAAAAGGGTATTTTGATAAATTCTATATTTTGGCTAATTGAAGATGTACAACGTCTAAATCCACCTCACAAATTACATTTTTTCTGTTGTAATCATACATTCAATGATCGTGAGGAGAGTGTGAATGCACATAAACAATTAATGGTTGTAGTTTGTAGTTTCCCAAGGCAACATGGCTATCCAAAGTGCCATAAAAAATATAGTTATCCAAAGTTGTGCTATTGTAACTGGAGTCAAGTCGTAGATAAGGATATTAGGCTATTTAGCTATTTTGCTGAAAGTATTCTTATCAACTAATTTATTAGTGTTTGGTGGCCAAGTTAGAATTAAGAGTTCTAATGATCCAATAGTTGTGTCCTTGTGGCATGTACAATCATTGTCTGATTTGAAATTATTTTCTAATTCGATGCTTATCAAAACAGTACATGGTCTTCATTAGTAAGGCAATGAAGAAGCAAGAACAAAATGAAATTCATTCCAAACTCCGATTGTCCTCTTGCAAAACTTTCCTTCATCGTGTAGATATGCTTTCATTTCTCTGATGATGATGCTGATCTGAACCTATCTATCTTCTTCTTTTTTTTCCCTTTTAGCCGTCCTTTCACTTTTATCCTATCTGCATATTATTTCTCGCGTGGACATACCATAGAAGAAGTTTTCAAGATAATCAGACTCATACGGAAGCTGAAATTCCAACAGGAATAGGACCCAGTGCCTGATCTACCTTTTCCTTTGTCAATTGAGTTCTGCTGCTGAAAACCTCTGCTCAATAATCTCATCAGGGACTGGATGTGGTCACCATTCAGTTTGTTGCTGACAATGGTTGTCTTCTGTAACCCAATCTCCAGTAACATACTGTCTTCCTACTCTTCCTGGATGCTGCCTCACATGTCCTTGCTGTCCCTCTCCCGTTTATTTCCCAAGCTTATATTTGAATTCCGTGCTGCAGAGCACAACATCAAGCAACCTGCATTTAAACCCAGGAACAATTGATTGGGCCATTGTCAATCTCTCCTAGCTTTCCATTGCCAGGAAGCACCTGTAGTCACTCTTTGTCGATTTGAATTGTTCATCTGAAGCCTTGATTCACAGCTGTATGTTTTGCTTCTATCAGCCACCTACCTTGTTCTGTGTAAACAATGTCCCCTCTTTTGCTCCTAGTACTACTGTACCTGATTACCACCCCTTCTGGATGTATGTTTTTTTCTTGAGGAGATAGTCATACTGGTATCCAGTCTGCAGAGCTGCCGCCTCCCTCTTAGGGGAAGTCTTCAATTCTGCCTTCATTCAACCCCAAAGGAACAGTCAGCCATACTTCCCACCGTCTCTGGGTCCCGATTCCTGTCTGCCCATTCACCCTCTTTCAGGGCTCGGCTAGGTAGTGGTACAAGAAGTAATTTTTCTCTTTTTATACATTTTAACTAATACTGCTTCTGGTCACGTATTGAAAAAAATTTGGAATCCTTGTCGAGTTGCCTTTTTCCTCTAATAATTTCGGTGGATTATTCATCTGGTTTCAGTGTGCTCCAACTCCAATAGTTGTGAACAATCCGTGATCCAAAGCTTCGCTTTGCTCTGAAACTGCAGAGCTGCACTTTAAGTGGATGGGATTTTCTTTCAGAAAACTGCAGCTAAATCTGGAATCTCAGTCTCTGACAGTGTCTTTTATCATATCGTTTGCAGCACCAATGAGTCTGTCTTGGAAGAAATGAAGAAGAACTATATGCTGGAACAGGAAGGCCACGGCCGAAATTAGCCTCAAGATCGTGGCAGAACTCTGGTTGGAACATGCGCTAATTTGGATCATTTCATCTGTTGGTACCTCAATGCTTGATGAATATGCTTTTTCAGGACAATACCATTCTTAATGTGCCATGTTTGACTTCGCTCGTCCTCTTACTCCGGGGAAATTATCACTCTATATGAAATGCTCTGAAGACAGGTCAACCAGATATGGCAATTGCTGGTTTATGTGGAGAAAATTTGAGAAATCGTTTTGGTCACTTGGTGTAGTCAGCCAGTTGACCTCCCACACTAACACATGGGGCATGTCTTCATCTACTAGTAGGAGGAAAAAAAAACATGAAAGAAATTTCACAGCGGTTTTATGGAAATAAATTCAAAAGATCGGCGTGATCCATGATTCATCTACTAACCATTCTTGTGTTGAATAAACCGAAATTTTTCTTAATATTTGCTCCTTAACTTCGATGCTCCTTTGCAATTTATTTTCCTGAAATGCATTGTTAGCTTGTGTGATACCAGATAATCTAGGCACTTCAATTAGTACACAAAGTTTGGTACGCCAATTTTATTAAATTTCTGAGAAGCAAGGAATGATTCCATTTTAGTTCTTGCCCATCTCTTGTGAAGGGGCTGTGTTAATGGTTTGAATCTGACTTGGGCCTTGTCCATGAACACCCTCAGCTTGTCCATCTTGAACAAGGCCCACACTCAGCCTTGGCCCCGAGAAAAATCTAGGACAAGCCTTCGTGGTTGGATTTTTTGTATAGGTTGATGCTGACCCTTCAAATGCACCTAGAGAGAGAGAGAGAGAGAAAGAGAGAGACACCAGCCATACCTAAGGATAGAATCCCATGATTGCCTAGATCTGACCTAACGAGGACCAAACAAGGGTGCACCAGCTAGCAATCTAGTATTTATGCGAGTGGTGCGATTATGTCACACCAGTGGAACATATTGATGCTTTCTTTGAAGTTTTCTGTGAAGAGAGAGGCCACTGTGCCAACTAGTCGTAATCGGATTCAAGGTACTCCCAAAATTCAACTCTTGAGCACTTTGGGAAACAATCCCACACCAAAGACACTGGAAAATACATAAACTCATCGGATCCCTTTGTTTCCTTTTCTTTTCTTTTCTTTTGCTAGGGGGTTCAGTATTAATGTTTGATTCTCTCGCAAAGAATGCAGTGAAGTCATGTCTGCCCAACACCAAGATCTTTAGCCATCTCACTGGTTTCCTACAATCTTACTCTTATACTCGCCTCATTTAGCCTTCTCATCTTTGCACATAACAGAGAGAGAGAGAGAGAGAGGTTCATTGTCATGATAATAGCCTTTACTTTCTCCCCGAAGTATTATTCATCTTCTCAGTATTTTCATAGAAAAAAATCTGAATGCACATAAGAGAACAAGTTAGAACAGTCCCCACATTCTAGTTTCAACTCTTGAGCCTGCTCAGCTGAATAGACTTTGACTTGGGCAGCCCATTCAGCATTTTAGATTGCTAACACACTCTTCCAATACACTGATCGGTCTGCAATCTGGGAAGAATATATCATGCCATTTCGTGTAATAATTGCACGTATGAAAATTTAAAAAGAAAAACAACAATCTCTCATCGTTTCCCCCTTGTTGACCATCTCCAACTGAGAAATCAACCCCCTGAAAAACTCTAATTTTTCATCTGCGACCTCCAGCTGATGTGCACCCATCAGCTCAGTTCTTGAGCATATGGTAATTTCCAAGTCTGCTCTTGCAAGGATGATGTCCAAGAGAACTTACCCAGAGTACGATATCTGATTGGTGACTATGCTTTGATGGGTTCTTCCCAAGGTTGGAAGCAACAGAAGATACCTGAAACTTTAATATGACGTCACATAACTGATGACTTTGACTTCAATCAGTTTTCAATGATTCAAAGCTTGAGAGCTGATCAAATATTCTAATTGCGCCAGACAAGTATGTAGATTCCCAACCGTGGAGGCCTCTCTTCATCTAGGAACACCCAGGTGTGCCGCTTGTGTTCATGGCTACCTGCCTATAGTTTAGAAATCATCACCTGGCACACACGTCAATGAGACTGCACCCAGGGGGCTTCACCAATCCCCTGTCTTCTATAAGACTTCTGACATTAATCGCATCACTCCATTTCTCTGAAGCTGCATACAAATTAGACAGAGAAACATAGTAGCCCACATTTTCAGGCTCGCAGTGGAAGAGATACTCTGCAATCAACTTCCCCATCTCAAGATTAGCATGATCCTTGCAGGCACTCAAAAGAGCTCCCCATATCCCTGATTCAGGCCTCCTCGGCACATGTCTGATGAATTCATAAGCCTCACTGAGCCTCCCAGCCCGGCCTAGCATATCCACCATGCAAACACAATGCTCGGTGGCTGGTTCAATCCTGTATTCAGGCATTAGCTTGAAATGCTCCCAACCTTCGTCAACTAAGCCAGAGTGGCTGCAAGCCGATAAAACACTGATGAAGGTGCTCTTATTAGGTGCGATGCCTGTCCCCCGCATCTCAGAGAACAGCCTGATGGCCTCCCTACCATGGCCATGGAAACCATAGGCCAAGATCATCGAATTCCAATAAGCCACAGATTTCTCATCTGAATTTTGAAAGACCCGAATGGCAGCCTCCAGCCATCCACACTTGCTGTACATATCGATGAGTGCAGCAGACACATAACCATTGCTGTTGAGTCCATGCCGGAGGGCATATCCATGAATGTCCCTCCCGAGCCTGAGGGGCCCCAAGTGCGCACAAGCACAGAGTAAGCCAACAACAGTGATTGCATCAGGGCGCTCATCGCCCATGTTTAGGAAAACCTCCAAGGCCTTCTTGCTTTCTCTGCTCTGCACATAACCAGATATCATGCAGTTCCATGAGCATAGGTTCCTCACTTTACTGTCCTGGAACGCTGATTCTGAGCTCTCTATGTCCCCGCAGCGAGAATACATGGTTATCAGTGCGTTCCTGACACGAAGATGATAACCCACTGGCAGCTTTAGGGTGAATCCATGGAGGCACCTCCCAAAGCACAGGAGCTCAAGAAGGCCGCATGCCGAGAAGACACTTACTAGGGTGATGGGGTCGGGCTTCGGGTGGGATTGCTGCAGCATCATGAGGAAAGTTCCCAAGGCGTCTCTGTAATGCTCATTCTGCACGCAGCCCACAATAACAGAGTTCCAAGAGACGACATCTGATTGAGTCAACCCACCTTCAAACAGTGAGGAGGAAGACGGCAAGTCCCCACAATTTATGTACATTAGCATGAGGGCATTGACAGCTGAGACAGTCTCTGGGAATCCACACCTGAGCATCCAGCCATGGACAGATTTCCCAAAGAAGAGGTCTTCGGGGGAGCTGAAGGAGGGAGCAACACCCAGGAAAGTCCCAATGCTGCATCTCAGACCCGTTCGAAGCAAGTCGCGAAACATGCTCCAGGATTCTTTCTTCAAGCATCGGATGTGCGAGTACCCAGAGATCATCGTGTTCCAAGAAATGATATCTCTACGAGGCATGGTGCTGAACAAAATCTCCGCAGATCTCAGGTACTTGCACTTGATATACATTGCAATTAAGCTGTTTGTGACACAGAGATTCAGGGCTTCGAACCCTCTGCGAACTGTGAATCCATGGACAGACATACCTTCGCTCAACAGGGAGAACTCTGCACAGAGCTGGAGAGAAGCGATGGCAGTCACAGAGTCGGGTTGAATCGGCGTCGTGGATTGCATCTCATGCAGAAGATCAAATGCCTCGTCGAGTCTCCCGTTCTGCACTAACCCATTGATCATGGAATTCCAGGAGACGACGCTTTTCAGAGCACGGCCTCTGAACACCTTCTCCGCAGCTTCCACGTCGCAACACTTGCAATAGAAAGAAACTAGAGAATTTGCCACCGAAGAATGGGAGTCGTAGCTCAGACTGATCACCCGGCCATGGACAGATTCCCCGAGGGCGTGTAGACCCCTCGGGTAAGAACACGCCGAGAGGAGGCAGGAGAAGGTCACCTGATCCGGCCGAGCACTGGAGATGCTCATCTCCTTGAAGTAGAAGGCCGCTCTGTCTTCTAGTCCGTTGCAGAGGCAACCACTGATGAGGGAATTCCATGTCACGACGTCCTTGAGCTCGACCCGCTCGAACACCGACTCTGCAGAGGTGAACTCCCCGCACTTGGCGTATAGATTAACCAGCCCATTGCATACTGGCGTGTGCGAATCGAGGCTCCACTTCACGACCATGGCGTGGAGAGCCTGCCCCTGCACAAGGTCGCATGCCTTGGACAGCAGAGACATGGCGGCGACCAGCGTCGCGATGTTGACATATCCGGGCTCCCTCGCCGCTTCCTCCCGATCATCGGCCAAGGGAGTGAGAAGCGAAGCGACTGCGGATCCGCCGGAGAGGAAATCCGCATTCTGCGAGAGACAGCGAACGGCGGCGAAGGCGGAAAGACCTAGTAGGGATGATTCCAGACGACCAGCTGCCCCGAAGAAGAAGAAGAAGCGAGCCCCCCCCTGTGAAGCCACCGCGAGGCCACAGGAGGATATCCCAGAGCACTTCTTTGCCGAGATGACGCCATCGACGGCGATTGTTTTGCTGGAGATTCTACAGAGGTGAAGGCCGCCGCGAGGTTTTAGTCCCCTTAGCATCCACCTACTCCTCTCTCCGTCATCTCCAAACGATTCTCGAACCACCCATAACCTTCCTCAAAAGTTCAAGGAGCAGCGCTACGCCCATTTCTCAGATCGCTGCCGTTCTCCTCCCATCCTCCTCCGCTGCTCGCGCCGCCGCAGGTAGCGTCGGAGGAGACGGCGAGAGTACAGAGACTCCTTCAGGGGAGGAAGAACACAAATTTTAATCAGCTTTATCAAATAATCATTTTTAATTTTTAATATGTTTATTATAGGCCCAATGGACCGTTTAAAGCCCAAGTCCGGAGTATACGGTTAGTTACCCCAGGAAGGAGTCAATCTGGAGAAATATTTGCCGTTGGATCAGGATCCAATAGTCAATATTTATTCCGGACTCTAACCGTCGAATCAGCATTTGATTTTATGGGCCCATTGGGCCCATGTGAAGCCCAAATCCAGAGTTTACGGTTAGTTATTGACCCCAGGTGGGAGTTAATCTGGAGAAATCACAACCGTTAGATCAGGATCCAATAGTCAGTATTTATTATTCGCTCTGACCGTTAATCACCTTTATTTAATTATTCAAATCAATTATAATACGACCGCTAGATTTCATTAATGGGCCTGTTGAAGCCCAAGTCTGGAGGATACGGTTTGTTATTGGCCCGGGAGTTAAATCGGGAGAAATATGGATCATTGGATCAAGATCCGGTGAGAGACAACCGTAGAGGGTATGGAAGGACGCGTGTCCTCCCTCAATTCCCTCCCATTCAACGTCGCCACTTCTCCGTGTGAGACAACCGCAGTCTTCCTCTCTACACCATGTATCCTCCGACCCCACCGGCACCGGCACCGGCACCGGCATCGCCACCACCACCACCGCCGCCGACGGCACCACCGCTGCAGCCTCCTCCTCCCGCAGGCGAGGAACCTCTCAGGATGGCGCCTCTCCTTCCACAGGGTCGCGCCGCCTCTGCTCCCTATCGGCCGTCGCCGTGGTCCAGCGGGCTCTGCGACTGCTTCGACGACGTCGGCAACTGTACGGCCCCTTTCTCCGCCACCCTCCTTCCCTCCACCGCCGGCGCCTGACTCGCCGGAGCAATTGCAGGCTGCATCACTTGCCTCTGTCCCTGCGTCACCTTCGGCCAGATCGCCGAGATCGTCGACGGCGGATCCTCCTGTGAGTGAGTTCACGGTATTCCCTGGTTGTTCAGTTTTCTAGGGTTTTTACTGATTGGAAGGGAGAGGGAGAGAGAGGGTGAATGAAGCTTGCGGAGGGAGCGGAGCGATGTACTGGGCGATCCTGTGCGTGACGGGGTGGGCGTGCCTGTTCTCATGCTTCTACCGGTCGAAGCTCCGTGGACAGTTCTTCTTGGAGGAGGCGCCCTGCTCCGACTGCCTCGTCCACTGCTGCTGCGAGTCATGCGCCCTCTGCCAGGAATACCGTGAACTCACTCACCGCGGCTTCCATGTTCCCATGGGTCTCTCTCTCTCTCTCTCTCCTACTTCCTGTCTCTCTCTCTATCCCACTTCCTACTCTCTCTCTCTCTCTCTCTCTCTCTCTCTCTCTCTCTCTCTCTCTCTCCCTGCCTATCTATCTCTCTATGTCTCTCCCTCTCGCTCTCGCTCTCTCATTGGCTTTGTTCGGTTACGCAGGGTGGAAGGCGAACATGGACAGAATGGCTCGAGGAGTCAACGCGCCGCCAGCGATCGTCGGAGGCATGACCCGCTGACCAATCTGTCTTACAGACGAATCGAGAGAGAGAGAGAGAGACAAGCGAAGAACTTACGTGGACCAAAGGGGAAGATAAAGCGGAAGTCTTTAAGGAGTGACTCGCCACCGGCGATCGTCAGAAGCTTAGCCAGATAATCTTTATATACACTTATTTTATTCGTATGTCATCCAGTGAGAGAGAGAGAGAGAGAGAGAGGAACTTCGTTCGATATTCTTGAATAATTTATTTGCTAAATATTAGTGTGTAACACTCAATTGCAATGTTCTCCGAATACACGTGTCATTTTCTCATCTTTAAAAATAAAATTATTTAGATTTTGAGGGACAAAGTGACTCCATGGGTATACAATAAGTTATATGAAACTTTTGATTATTTATTAAATGTGAAAAATTTTAGGGGTTTATATGAAACTTCCGTGGTATTTCATTATGCTCATCCCTTATCTGGATAGAGTGAATAGATAGGCGCTGGAGTTGCTCCCCGCTCCGCAGAAGATGATCTGCGCGTCGCTCACCGGAGCCGTGCCGGCCGTTGGCGGCGCCGCCGCCGCCGCCGCCGCCCAATGCTCGTTTGCCTCTCGTTCTCCCCGCTGTACCTTGGCCAGCATCTCCTTCGCTGCCCCCAACTCCCGCATCCTCTCGAATGGGATCGCCTGCAAGAGACCGCAGATGTTGACGCGCCTGCCGCCGGCCGCGGCTGCGGCCGTGGCTGCGGCGGAAGCGGAAGAATCCCTGGGCGTACCAGTCTCGGAGGACGAAGGGAAGGAGGTTGGAGATTCCTCACACTCGTCTCATTAGTTTTTCCCCCAAATTTGATGATCGATTGAGTGTCTGAATTAGGATCTCGGGTTTCCCCAGTGAGATATATAGAGATGATCTTCTTAGTGTGTCCATCGGGTGCTTGTGTGATGCAGATTCTGCAGGTGGCGGCGAAGGGCGCGGTGGGGAAGCCGAGGCTGGTTCTCAAGTTCATATGGATGGAGAAGAACATCGGCCTGGCCCTGGACCATGTCATTCCAGGCCACGGGGCCGTCCCGCTGAGCCCTTACTACTTCTGGCCCCGCAAGGACGCGTGGGAGGAGCTTAAGACCCTGCTGGAGAGCAAACCCTGGATCTCCCAGAAGCGCATGATCATCCTGCTCAACCAGGCCACCGACATCATCAACCTCTGGCAGCAAAGTGGGGCAGGCAATTTGCAGCAGTAGCGAGGCCCATCTTCCTCCGACTATTCTTCTTATTTTCTCCCTTTCCGTGAACAATTACGACTTTGATACTTTCCATCAGATGCACTTTCGCTGATCCATCACAAACATCTCAGACTATAGCTTCTTATTCTTTGTAATCACTCAATCTGCTTTCTCGCATCTTGCCCAATGCAGCCTCCAGGTAAAGCTTTCCTCCTCCTTTCCCTTGCTTTCTTTCTGAGCTATCACCTGAGTTCATCCCTCTTAAGAAGAAATAACGCTGATCTATGTTTTCAGTTTAGTTTCACAGAGTCCTCGGATCCTAAGGAAATGAATCTGGTCCTTTACACTACCATGAGATGTATGTGCATATAGTTCTGGGTGCTAATTTGTGATATATTTGCTATTGATGCTATCCCACAATCACCCATTCATTGCTGGCTCTAGCGATGCTATCATAGATCCATACTGCCCACATCCACAAGATCCATTGCTCTGCATTAAAAGCTTTGATATTTTACATCCATTCTACGTGTTCTTCTTTTCAGAGAAAAAACTGGCCTCACCTTTGGGATGCTCTCCTTTCTTTCGAAATTGTTTCCTAGCTTTCCTGCGCAGTTGACTTCCCTCATCTTCCTTTCATAGAACAGATTTTCTCGTGCGTACTTTCAACCTGTTGACAATATATTTTGCCATTAATACTGAACATTCATTTGACGAAATCTTACCGGCAATTCTTTCCTCTCTGGATTCTTCTTCTTATCATCGTTCGTTCTTTCCCCTGTTTGTCTCAGGTATGATCTTGGGAATCTCATGTTCTCATCCTCTCCTCCCAAACCTTTCCTGAACAATGAATGGATAAAAATGGAAATGGGCTCTGCTTAGAATGTGTGGAAAATTTGCGAACTTTGCGGGGCTCTGAGACCGCTCATAAAAATGGGCTCCAATTACAGAAGTGACCCAGATAGTCAATATCTTGTATTGATCATTTTTCTTTTTTATTATTTTTTTAATATTTTTAATACATTTTTTAAGGTAAAAAATACATCAGGCTTTTATGGGATACCAGTTAATGGCCACCCACAAATTAGACATGTCAATATTTATTAAAAAACGAGTTTTTTTCTGGGTATTAGGCTATTTTAGGACACGAACTTAATCCAAGTATATTAATAAATAATCTGTTTATTCTCCGACAGAAGTCTATATTTAGTTATTTTTCTGGAGAGAGAGAGAGAGAGAGAGAGAGAGAGATTAATATCAATCCGACAAATCTATGTTAAGGGGAACGGCTAATGGACAAGAGAGACGAGATCCTGTGGAAATCTGGCTAGGGTACACATCGCTACCATCTGCTCCGCTATTGGCGGACAATCAATTAATTCAATAATTCGAGAGACCATTCGCCGACGGAACTTCTGGGACAGTGCAGTCGGAAGTCTGTGATGGACGTAGTATTTCATCCACAGCGATGCAGAGCGACCTGGAAACGACCCTGAGGGAGAGAACTGTGAGGGAGGGGAGAGGGTGGTGAGGAGGAGCGCGGCGGAGATGGCGGGGGCGCCCAAGCTGGGGTCTTTCCGGGAAACCTTCGCGCAGAGGAGCAAGGAGAGGCTTCTGCTGTCGTCGCAGAAGGTAGGCCCGGAATGGGGGGGCTCTTTCGGGTTCAACGCCGACGACGGGGCTCACCGTAGCCGAGTCTGGAGGATGCGCCGCGGGGTCGCCGGCGCGTGGAGGAAGCTGTCGGAGTTCGCGGTGAGCGCGTGGGAGTTCGGGAGAGCTGACCGCAGGAAGGTGGTGTTCGGTGCCAAGGTGGGTCTGGCGCTCACCATCATCTCCCTCCTCGTCTTCGTCAAAGGCCCTTTTCAAGACCTCAACCGCTACTCCGTCTGGGCCATCCTCACCGTCGTCGTCGTCTTCGAGTTCAGCGTTGGTAAGGAGAAAGTGTTCACCATGATCACCTGCACTACCGTCTTCAGATTTAGAACGATCCCATTTGATGTCCATCGCCGTCGTGCATGCCGACTGGTTAGCCGTTCTGTACGAACGCGATCGAAATCATGCATCCGGATGACTAAGAATGATATCTTTTTTCCCATTTGATTAATTGGAGTATATAATATCTGCAGGTGCGACGCTCAGCAAGGGATTCAATAGGGGCCTGGGAACGCTATTCGCCGGGGGCCTAGCGCTGGGTATTGCAGAACTATCCACATTGTTTGGTAATGGGGAGGAGGTGATCATCATCATCAGCATCTTTCTGGCAGGTCTGCTACGTCTAGGGATTTCATTTATCTTCGTTATATGCAAATATCTGTCCGGGAACCTTCTTCTGGTCAAAATTCTTCACGCGCTGTTCTGTTCTTGTCTACAGGTTTCTTTTCCAGCTTTCTGAAGCTTTATCCAACGATGAAGATGTATGAATATGGATTCCGAGTCTTCTTGATCACCTTTTGCTTCATACTGGTGTCGGGTTACAGAACGAGGCAATTCATTGAGACAGCAGTGAACAGATTTTTTCTCATCGTCCTTGGCGCAAGCATATCATTGGCTGTAAACGTGTGTATATACCCAATATGGGCTGGAGAAGATCTCCACAACTTGGTTGCCAAGAACTTTGCAGGTGTAGCAAAGTCACTAGAAGGTTTGGCAGCTTTCCCATCATCATTTCGTACCGTAATGTGTCCATGTATTCTCTAATGAATGCCAAAAATACAAAGTAGCAATCGGGGAGTTCTCGAATTGAGAATTGGGTGGGATAAGTTCAGGTGATTGAAACAAGGTGCTTTCATATTTCAAGATATTAAATCCAAGTGGGTGGATTCGTTATAACATGTTTGATTGTGGGTCATTATTTTGCATCAGTTGTTGATAACGAGATCTGTGAAGATCGCTTCATGAGCCAGCCACTTTATGGTAGCCTTCCACCAAGCATTCATGTAGTGATAGGGCAAGGGATCATGGTAGGCGATCTTGATGTTTCATTTTCTGCATCAACGAGCAGCATTCAACCTAGCGAATGTGTCAGTCAATCATCATGTTGATACATCAGGTTTGGCATTAGAGATTGAGCATGTCTGTGCAATCTGATCCAGCTAATCATGGTGCTTGAAGCATTATTTTTTATTTATTCCTTTTTGTGGTTTAGGATGTGTCAGTGGGTATCTTCAATGTGTCGAATATGAGAGGGTTCCATCGAAAATCCTTACATACCAAGCCTCTGATGATCCTTTATACAGTGGGTACAGGGCAGCAGTTGAATCAACAAGTCAAGAAGAGTCCTTGGTATTTTTCCGTGACCAATGCATCATCTGTTGGACATTTCAGTGAGATCCACACGGCAAGCTGCTTTACTTTTGTTTTCATTTTCAGATGAGTTTTGCTATATGGGAACCACCTCATGGGCGTTATAGAATGATGAATTACCCCTGGAAAAACTACGTTAAAGTCAGTGGTGCTCTGAGACATTGTGCTTTCATGGTCATGGCGCTGCACGGATGTATTCTTGCCGAGATTCAGGTTCCATCTCTTTGATCACCATTTCTGAATTTCGTTAGTACTTTATTTTAGAATTGATCTGCGGTCTAATGACTACTCTTATGATCCAATTCTTTTGTCCTTTTTTTTTTCTGTGAATGCAAGACTAATTTTAATGTTGCAGAGTTATTTCTCCTTGTGGAGGAACATTATTTTCTCTTCAACGATTTTAGGTTCCCACTAGCCCAGAGGCACACCATGAACGATCTCTTTTATGGTTAGCTTCCTCTGGTTCTCTTCCGAGAATTTTAGCATCTTCCCTAGTTGTGAAAGTGTTGGATATCGTCTGCAAAAGTAGCCAGCTGGCCCAAAATGAAAGATCTTTCATATAGAGAGCCCCGTGCTTGGGAACACCCTTCTGTGGTAATTTCCTTAAATCTCCTGGGATGCACTGAACTGATCCAATCGTAGGCCAATTTTTTCTTTCCCTTTTTCAATCCCACACTTCTGACTCTACCAGCAAGGCCTTTAAGCTGATGAAGGCAACCAGTTGGGTTGAGCCCCCTGCCTGCCACTCCTTAGCAGTTTCTGGTCTTCTTTATCTGGATGGTATTCCACCGACTTTCTGCCGAGCACTCCTAAGCAGTCATGCTAATGATCAACTGAAACAGTTGTGGTGAGCCGCTCTCCCAATGGTAGATCCCCTAATTAATGAGCCCCTCTTCTATCAAATTGCGAAGTGATCACATGCTCTTTTGTGTCTGATCCTTTTTGATGTGTATCTTGCTTCTTGTTGGATCTTTTATGCATGAGAGCATGCTTAGTGTTCTTCCAGAAGCATTATTTTTTCAGGTTGCAATAAATGATTTTGCTCTTGTAATGTCTGGTAAGTGCCACTGGAAAAAAATTATGAAGGAATCGGCATTAATCCCTACATGTTACTTAACATAGTTTTTTTTTGTTTTTAGATTCTAAATAGAACGCCGGGCATTAGAGAATCTGATTTTCATCATACATGTTGAATGAAAAAATAGGTGATTTTCACGGGCTTTAGTTCGCGAAGTAATCCTCAAACCCTGCACTGTACAAGAATTCCTTCGCATCAATATTACAGCGTCTGCATTGGCATCAAACCATGCTGTCCGAACTGACGATGTGATTCATTTTGATGCTGCGATTTCTCAAAGATTTGGTTCTCTAGTTGACCATTGCATGCTATAGATGACATCTTCTCACCTACGATTTGATCCAAATAGTTTTGCCACAACTGCTTCGGTAGATGATCCCTGTGAAGATATCTCAGGTGAACTTGCACGAGCATAATCCACTTAAGTTCATGCAGTCTTATTCAAACAGATTTGTGATTTTCCTCAAGTGGGTATCAGATGATTAGGCGCTCATGCAGTTTATATCACTTCCATAGGCACCACCAGAAAGGAGACAGGTTTTTAGTGCCGAGCTGCAGAGGGTGGGCACCGAAGGTGCAAAGGTACTGCGAGAGCTCGGTGACAGGGTGAAGAACACCATGAAACTGAGCGCCGGTGACATCCTCTCGGAGGTCCATGAGGCTGCTGAGGAGTTACAGAAGAAAATAGATCGGCGCTCCTATCTTCTTGTGAATTCAGAGTGCTGGGAGATCGGAAAAAGGCCAGTGGGCATGGAGGACACACTGACCAGCCTCAACTCCATGGAAGAGGACGGTAACTACCTCCCGATCAAGTCCCGTAGCGAGGCTGTTCTTGACCTGAGGTATGTTCAGGTCCCCAGGAGCTGGGACGTCCATGACTCCAGCACTGGCTTCAGCTCCTCGTATATTGCAGAAGACTCTGCCAACAACATGCTCCAGAAGCAGATAACTTGGCCTGTGCGGCGGTCCTTCAATGCAGATGCCGTCACTCCCAACGAGGAGTCCAGAACCTACGAGAGTGCAAGTGCCCTGTCCTTGGCCACCTTTTCCTCTCTCTTGATAGAGTTTGTGGCCAGACTGCAGAACCTGGTGGATTCATTTGTTGAGCTCAGTGATGCAGCCAGATTCAGAGAACCTGTTGATGAGCTCGCAGTGGATGGCCACCTTTTGGGCTAAGAAAAAGGCTGGTAGGCGTCGGCATGCATAAAAAAAGGATGGATTTTTGGCCTTTCGTCCTGTAGATTATGTGATTAGTTGTAATCTGAGGAATGGGAATGGCAGAGAAGCATGGATTCACTTCTGAGGGAGCAGGTTGTATCGATCCGATGTTCTTGCTTCCTTTCCATTCCCCTACTGCAAAAAAACAAGGTGGTGGGTCATTTTCGAGTAGAATTTTACCACCACTGATCTGGGCTTCACCTGTTTATTTATTATTCTTTGTAAAAACATTTTTTTTCCATTTTTGGTCAGATGTTCGTGAAATCATATGCTGAGAAGATGGCGCATGGATCCCTAGGATTCGGTGTGCTGATGACGAAGTCTTTGTGAAAAATCTGATCGGCTTCTTGCTTCTCTGGGTCTCGGTGTTTTGATGATTTCGTCGAAGGCATTATCAGATGCTCATGCGGACAATCAGCGAGCTTCTCTAGTATGGTTTTCATCTCACATCATCATTCATTCCCCTGCTACTTTGGAGTTGAAAGAGGAGACCTAGATTCTTTCTACCCACAAGTCAACCTTGTATCGGCCTACTCTCTCTTCTGGAGGATTCTCCAAAGCGAGGAGGAATGCCGGGCCACTTATTTTCCCATACATTAATTGATAAGCTGTACGTCGTCGTTTTCATCTCTCTCCTCCCATTCCCTCTCCAACGTCCAGACCCGGATCGGCATTAGAGGAAGGGGAAGTCCGCCGCCCTCTGCGGCTTCCGGCAGTCGGACTGGACCCACCCGATTCGCCGCTCCACGTTGTCGTACACAACCAGCTGCCCTCTCAAGGAGATGTCTGCAAGAAGAAGCAAGTTCAGAGCTGCCCAAGGAACAAGAAGAAGAAGATGATGAAGAGGCCGAAATGACCCAAAACCCTAGATCGTTCGATCAGTACCTCCGAGAATGGTTGTGGATCCGTCGTGGACTTCGGTGCCATTGAGGATCCCCAAGCAGACGTTGCCGAGGTCCTGGGGGAGGGGGGGCGAGGGGATGAAGAGCGAGGTGAGGGCCTGTTCTTGAGCAGAGGGATGAAATGGGGGGGAGAATGCTAGGGTTTGAGAGTGGATCGATGGCGTACGTTCAATATGAGGTAGCCCTCGGGAGGGATTCGAAGAACTCGAGGCATTATCCACCACTTGCTCTCAAAGTGCAGCGTCAGGGGAGAGAAGAACTGCCTCACATGCTTCACCGATCTACAAATTAACGTACTTTCTCAATTATTCTCACTGATCAACATGCAGTCACTGTGTTTGTAAGCTCTGTTTGCCCCTCTCTAACTCTCAAACTTCACCTTCACCGATCGGCAAGTTAACATTCTTTCTCAATTACTCTCACTGATCAACATGCACCCACATTTTGTTTGTGAGCTCTCTCTCTCTCTCTCTCTCTCTCTCTCTCTCTCTCTCTCTCTCTCTCTCCCCCACATCCTCCACCAGGCCCAACATGCCTAAGAAGCGCCACTGTTGACTTCCTAAAGCATCAACTTTGCCTTCTTTGATCAGTTTGGAGTCAACGATCAATGAGCAAGTATTAAGGCTAGAATAACTCGTGAGTTCTTCCGTCGACAATCATACCTGATCGGAGAAGCAGCTCGCCAGCAAACCGGCAGCGTCTGGTCCGATTCGTCTCGCACCAGCCTCGGGTAGGTGTCCTTGAGCTGCCAATAAACACAGATCACGAGACGCAATTCACCGAAGGATACGTAAAATGTAGGAAAAATGGTCAATGGGTTGACTCCTTAAAATGCCCCACCGAAGAGAGAAGGTCGCCGTATGCCTCATTCGTGAAGTACGTGTAGGAGCTGCCGGTGTCGAAGATCGCTCCCCCCGGACTCTTCCTATTATTCCCCAACGGGCGACTCCCATAAGTCAGTCTCCCGATCTCCATCTGATAATAGCTCCTAGAAACATCCACGAACGTCAACTTTAGATGATTAAAGTCAATCAGTAAATCATACCACGAGATGATCATATGCAGGCATTATGAATTCCAATCTCGTCGTCCTACGAATCCCACGAGGAGATGATGAGGAAGATGCGTACGTCGGAGAGTCGGCCATGGCGACCCAAGTCATCCCCCGTCGAGGCACGAAGTCAACCCCCAAGAACAGGTGCCCACCGCCGCCGTTCTTGATGCAGTGGCCGACCACATTGGCTATCAGGCCCTGCTCCGACAGCTGAGAAGGGAAGCTGACTTTCGCTCCGGTCAGCCCGAGGATCCCGTCGGTCTTCGCCGGGGAGGCCGAGAGCTGCCCTTGCTGGTCGTACGCGCACCTGCGGCGGATTTTTTTCCCCACTGGTGAGTCAACGATCGATGCAACCACAAGAGTGGCGGCGGGATTTCCAACAAAAGGGGAGGTACCCACCCGAAGACGAAGCTCGGCCGGACCTGCTTCCCGCCGGCCATTTCTAGCCGGAGCTCGTCCCTCGCGAGGACGCCCACGGAGGAGCTGTGGTCGGCGTAGGCGATCTCGTAGTCGCACTGCCGGCTGGAATCGTGCGGTGCCGCCCTCTGGTTCCGCTGTAGCTCCAGGCACAGAGAGTCCCCCGCCGGGACGATGCTCTCCTTTCTAGGTTTGTACAGCGGGTTGGGTCCCTGCAGAACAAGAAGAAGAAGAAGAAGAAGAAAGCGCTTCTTTCGTGGTTAAATCGAACTCATTTCACCGAACCCATGTCGGATTCTTCGGGATTTCGATTGAAGAGAAGGAATTATGCGGAGGGCTGAAGAGAGGGCAGCACCTTGGCACAGCTCTGGCAGGGCGCGTCGCACTGGATCCACGTCAAGTCGCTGCCGGTGTCAACGTCCAGGAAGTACTCTCGAGGTGGATTCCCGACGCGGATGGAGGTGTAATACAGCCTGCGGCGCGTCTATGGAAGAAACATCACTGGATGCTTCGGAAAAACCTTGACTCGACGCGTTGACTACCTCTGAATCGCTGGAGATTTTCTCCGTGGTTTTGACATAAGATTTAGATTCTCTAGGATGGGTGGGTTCGGATTTGACCCCCCAATGTGAAGTTCCTCTACGTTTCCGGGATTTTGGGAGGAGGGCAGATGGGTGGAGAAGTCAGCGGCAAGATGAAAGAGGAGGAAGAGGAGGAGTGAAGCGTACCCGTCTGGGAAGATGTTGCCTCTGATCGGGAATGCGGCGGAGGAGTTGGCGGCGGCGGAGGACACAGCCATGCGGACCTGTCGTCCCCCGGTTGCGGAGCCTAGTTTGACCTCCCCCTGGTTCAGGAACCTCGGTCCCCCGGGCTTCGGGAAAAGGGGAAGAAGGAGGGATTCGCCGTCCCGCCGCCGCCGGTCCCTCTCCTCGGAGCTCCGCAGGAACTCGAATGGCGCCTCGGAGTAGAGGCAAGCCCATATGGCGAAGACCATCATGGACGCCCCCAGTACGCAGACGGCGGCTCTCCTGGGCGATACCCACCGTGCCGATGGAGGAAACACGGGCGCCGCGGCCGCCGCCGGTGGCGGCGCCATCACATCTATACTGCGCTGCTGCCACTCCGGATGAAGGAGGAAGTCTCCCGGGTCGTCGGGGAGGGCGAACGCCGTGATGGTCTTCCCCTTGGAGGGGTCCCCCGGAGGCGGGAGGGAGATGATCACCACCCCCGTCACCTGCGGCTCCATCTCCTCCGTCTGCAAATTGCAGAGAAGACGACCCACCAGGACGAGGAAGAGCAAAAGGAAGAAGAGGAAGAGAAGCGGGAGTGGGCCGAGGTCTCCTCCCTCTTTATCAGCGCCAGATTAATCCGCTTCTTTGTGCGCCACTGCTGGCTGAAAGCGAAGGCCGGTGAGCCATTTTCCCCGTCTTCTTGTTTATTCTGCGATTTTGTCTTCAGCCATTAGCAGGCTGAGAGGTCCCCGGTGGCGTGTGGGCTGTTGACGGAAGAGGAAGGTTCCTGCCGGCCGTCGCTTCTCTCTCGCCTGTGATGTCGACGACCGCGGCGTCAGGGAGAAGACTCCCTCGCCTCTGCGAGAAAGAAGACGACCATCAGCTAATCGCATGCGTCCACGTGTACACAAACCTACGTCAGCACTCCAATCAGATAAACACCTCGCCACGATGAAAAACCGCCGATAATTAAATATTGTCTATAATTAAATATATTATGATGATAATATTCACAGGAGCGGTTTTTCGACGCACCGCTATTTATAATTATAATGTTCGAGATATAAATATTGTTTTTTTCGATTCGTTCGATCCGGTGGACACGTGGCAGTATCGTACGGTTAAAAGGAGAGACAAGTAGCTCGCACAGAAGGTCCTCCGCGTCGAAGGTGGAGACGGGGTAGATGACGTGGACGTTTCCGAAACGTGTGAGAGCAGAATACATATGCTGCTGGTGTACCACGTCAAAAACGCACTTACAAGCGGATTAGCAAATTTTTTAAATAACCCCTCTTCTGTTTTCCCATGACGAAAACGACCGCATGAATCTGCCAAAAGGATATAAGTATGTACCCAGTTCATGATATATAGACATGTAAGAGATGAGTAGGGGTCATGATACAAATGAGGCATAGCATGGGGTCTGTCAGCAACTTTCTCCAAGTCAAAGGAATCAATAAAATTGTGCTTAGCCCCTCAATGGAAAAGGCTACTTCATTAAACCCTTTAATTATTGAAAAATGCAACATCTAACGAAGTCGGTAATTACCATTATAGATAGGCAATGGTATAAATATTATGATGTTTGAATGATTAACGCCCCAAAAAATCGAAATATTTTTACAAAATAGCCAGTAGCTACATGAAACAGCATTGCCTAAAGTTCCTTATTTATATGCCCCCATTAAATAATTTAGATATATATTATTATGCACCATTTAAGACCTGATCCCGTGTGGGTCCTTTTGTCATTTCAGTCGACTTTAAGGGTAATATTGCAATAAATTATAACAAGATGGCCCATATGCACCAGCTCGCCCGACAGTGGATCCAGTCTCGAACCATTTACCCGGCCGGCCCGCTGGCGGAAACCACGAAGAGCCATACCCTTTGTGGCGTCACAGCAGCATCCCCTCTCTCTCTCTCTCTCTCTCTCTCTCTCCTCCCAAATCGGCCGCTCCGTCTACCCCGAAGTTCGGTGGGATCTCCACGCGATCGACCTCTGTGGCGGCGCCAGGACGAGGAGGGCTCGACCCCCACACTGGCGAAGGCGAGTCGCGGGGGGACGGATCGGAGCCCGAGAGGTCCAATGGCGACCCCATCCCCGCAAGCGTTGGCGCAGATCAAGTCCGCCGCCAGGAAGCTCCCCGTGAAGCGCAGAACGCCCGATCCCGCCGTGCCTCGGTCCTCCGGCGCCGCGACCGTCAAGACCGAGGGTGAGGGGGACGAGTTCGAGGACGAGGAAGAGGAGGAGGAGGAGGAGGAGGAAGGGGAGGGGAGGGTCGCCGGCGACGGGCCCCCGTTCAAGTTCCAGCGGATATGGTCGGAGTCGGACGAGATCCGGTTCTTGCAGGGTCTGCTGGCCTGCAACACTCAGGGCATGACCTTCCCCCGCGACCTCAATCTCTACTTTGATCGTTTCTCCGAGACGATGAGTCAGCCCTACACCCGCTCTCAGCTCTCAGAGAAGCTCCGCCGCCTCCGGAAGAAGTTCCGATCCCACTCTGTGCGCGTCTCACGCGGCCTCGACCCCTCGGGCCTCTCCCCTCACGACCGCGACCTCTTCCACCTCTCCACCCTCCTTTGGGATCCCGCCTTCGCCGTCTCCTCCCCCTTCGGCTCCTCCACCGGTTCCGTCCCCGGCAACAAGCGCCGTCGGCATATCCCCGTCGGAAAGGCCATGGTTGGTGCCCCTTCGAGCCCTCCTCGTCCTTCTGCCGTAGGTGCTGCTCCCTCTTCATCTCCTCCCCTTGGCCCCCCCAATGGGAAGCGTGCTGGAGATTTAGGCAGCGGGTCAAGGGAGGATCATGAGTCCCCATTGAACCTAGAGAAGCTCTTCGTTGATGACCGCAGCGGGCTGGGGCAAATGACGGCTATGATGGCCTTGGATGTGTTTGATAGTTGCCTCAGAGATGTTAGGGCAACGCTTGTTCGCCGAGGTCTGCTTCACTCCGATCAAAATCTGAGAACTGGTGTTGAGCGCGATCTGTCCAAGAGGTGGCGGGAGCAGCGCGTGGCCGAGTTGGATGTGCTGGCGCGCCGCTTGCGCCTGACTCTCGGGCAAGCTGTCGAAGAGTGAGTCCTCTGTGATGGCGATCATTACCCCGCTCTGTAACGACAACATCCAATCCTTCACTGCCTTTTTATCTCTGTTCTTCTTCTCTCTTGCTTTACTTAACCAGACTTCCTGTAAATCTCCTGTGCACAGTTGCCTAGTGACCCTGCTATGTATCTATGACTCACAGAAGCACCGTGATCTGCTCTTTTTTATATGATGCCCTAGAGATCATCTCAGTCGCTTGGGAATTTATCATCTTGCCATGCTAAGCAAATCCCTCTGATATATTTTCAAATGATGCACATTTCCGCTGGAAACCTCAGATGTGATCTACTCTGGTTTCTTCTATGCACCCATTAAAACCTCGTTGGCTGACTTTCTCTTTTGGTTAGTGACACCGAACAGTGACTGTTTCTGTGAAGGTCAAAGCCAATTCTTGAACTGAATGAATGCCTCGGATGGGCTGGGAACAGGATGGCGCCTGCTTCTCGCTGAAAAAAAATTCCATTTTGGCAAGAACCCACATGGTCTTAAAGGAAAATATTATTTGGCCAGTAATTGGGTAGATCTGACCCCTTGATATCATTACAGATTTACTGAATGGGTAGGTGCCAGAAGAGAGTCAACCCTGCTAGATCGGCACATAACTTCCACGGCTGTTTGTTCTCCTGAAAATCTGGAAAAAGGGTCCTTTGGGTGTAGAGTTTAGAGAAAATAATATTTCTGTTCAAATCAAACCCCCCTTGCCTCTTATGAATTATTCTGAAAATTTTCATAAGAGAGAGAAGTGTTTTATATTCCCTCTGACGCTCATCCTTCTAGTCGGAATTAGTACGCATTTTGCTGTATGTTCCCCAAAATGTTCCATGATTTAATGGCTCTGAATGAGAGAGAATCAATCGTGTCACCAGAAATCCCTGCAAGAGCAGGACCCGCGCGTAAAATGGTGGAATCTGTTCTTGTCCCTCATGATGATCTCCACTCCGACCACCTTGGAGACGAGCTTGGCGAAGGCATGGCAGTCGCTGCAGGTCCTCAAATTCTTCATCACCCTTATGGAAGCGGCCCCGTGGCCGGCGCCAATGAGAGAGAAGGCTATGGCGATCTTCTCGCTGTGCGCCCCCAGCGCCACCTCCTTCTCCTCCGCCTCCACGTCGTGCAGCACCTCGCCGGTCGCCGGCGCGTAGCCGGCGTCCCTCACCCGCCTCATCAGCTCCTCCAGCTTCGCGTATATCTCGCCGGACTGCGGATGCGACCTGTCGCCGCCGTAGAAGACCTCCATCCCACCGCCGCCGGCCGCCTCCACCGAACAGTACCCCGCCGTCTTCCTCACCTTCGCCTTCCTCATCCTCTTCCTGACCTTCTCGACGTCCCCCCACCGGCCCGCCGCCGCGTACATGTTCGAGAGCAGCACCTGGTAGGAGGCCCCGTCGGGGGCCAGACTGAGCAGCCGATCAGCGGCGACCTGGCCGAGCTCCACGCGCCGGTCCACGGCGCACGCCGCCAGCAGCGCGCCCCACACGCCGGCGTCGGGTTCGACGGGCATCTCCTTCACGAGCTGGTAAGCCTCCTCGACCTGCCCCGACCGCCCCAGCAGGTCCACCATGCTCGCGTAGTGCTCGAGCGTCGGGCTGGCGATGGCGGAGAAGTAGCTCCGGCCGCGGCTCACAATGCCGGCGTGCGCGCAGGCGGAGAGGACGGCGAGGTGGGTGACGTGATTCGGCTCCACGCCTTCGTCCCGTATGCGAGCGGCCAAGGCGAGCGCTTCCTCGCCGTCCCCATTCATGGCGTAACCGGCGATCATGGTGCTCCAGGAGACCACATTCCGGTGGCGCATCGCCTCAAACCGGCGGCGCGCCTCCGCCACGCTGCCGCATTTGGCGTACATGTCGAGCAGGGCGTTCTCCACCACGACGTGACCGTCAAGCCCGTCCTCTACAATGCTCCGGTGGATCTTCTTCCCCAGCTGCAGTAGGCCCAACGAGGAGCAGGCCGAGAGGGCGGTCACCATCGTCGCGGCGTCGGGTTTCAGACCCGATTGGCCCATTTCATCGAGCAGGTGGAGGGCCCTATCGGCGCGCCCGCTCTGCGCGTACGCCGCCATGAGTGCGTTCCAAGCGACCAAGTCCCTGCCGCCGCCGCCGGCCATGCGATCGAACACGAGGTCGGCTGATGGCCAGTCACCGGACTTGGCGTACATAGCCATGAGCTCAGTCGCGACGACCTTGTCGGGCGGCAGCGCGTGCTTGACGAGGAGCCCGTGGGCCGCCGCGCCGAGAGCAGCGGCGTTGAGGTCCGCGCAGGCGCGGAGCAGGAACGGGAAGGTGAAGCTATCGGGGCGGACGCCCTGCTGGAGCATGAGGCGGAAGACGGCAACGGCCTCGTCGGAGAGACCGTTCCTGGCGTAGCCCCTAATCAGGGAGCTCCAGAGGAAGACGCGCGGCTTGTACATTTCGTCGAACAGGCGGCGGGCATAGGCCACCTCCCCCACTGCCATGAGAGCGATGAGCAGCCGAGTGAGGAGTCCGTTCTTGCGGGAGAGCCCGGTGGTGAGCAGCAGGGTGTGGATCTGCCTCAGCTGGTTCAACCCGGAGCAGCGCCCCACCAAGGAGGCGAACGCCTCCTTGGCCCACGGCGGCGCCGCCAGATGTGAGAAGCAGACGACAAGGAGGCGGCCGACAGCACCGACGAAGCTGGGTTGGTCGCAGATTACCTACGAGCTCCACCAAGAAAGCTCACGCCTCCTCTCTCTTGTTATGCAAGGAATCTAGATTAGATGCTCTTGGTGATGGGTCCAATTGTCGTATTGAACCAATTAATGGGTCTCTGCTCTCTTCCTGTGATAAAGTCAACCCTGAGAATACGAGTTCAGCGGATCGTCATGAACAGCAAAGAACAAAGCGCCCCTGATCTCTCTCATAATACACGAGAACCCACTGCAAACTCGGCAAGATCAAATGATGAAACTTTAGACATTGAATCATACAGGAACCGCCTTCCTTTCTCGTGAAACCAGAACCTCTCTCTCTCTCTCTCTCTCTCTCTCTGTGACCGGTCGTTCTTGAGGATGAAGGAAGATTCATCGGCAGTAGAGTTCGTCTTCCTCGTCCTCCGATACCCCTAGCATGGCCAGACTCAGATGGCCCCTCATGTCGCTCTTCACCTCCGAGTCCTGCAGGTCGGCGGGGCTGTGACCGATGAAACAGCCATTGCCGGAGAAGACCGACCAGTCGTCGCCGTCGCCCTCCTCCCCGTTCAGCAGCATCCTGAGAATCTGCCCGATGGTGGGCCTCGCCGATTCTTCGCTGTTCAGGCAGGCGGCCGCAGCTCCGGCCAGCCTCCCCAGCTCCACCCGGTTGAAGGAGCCGGGCTTCAGCCTCGGATCGACGAGCTCTTCCATGGCCGCTTCACCTTCCTGCAGATGTGGCCTGGCCTGCCAAGACAGGAAAGTATCGTCGCAGAGGTAATCGAAGAAGGACACCAGAAGAGCTTGAAGATGACAGAGCAATGGCGATGGGGGATGAGACACTCACCCACAAGACCAGGTTCTCATCTCCGAGGGGCCTGCTGGCGTCGATGGGCCTCCGGCCGGTGATCAGCTCCAAGAGGACGACGCCGTAGGCGTAGATGTCGGTCTTGTCCGAGAGCTTCCCGTGCTGAAAGTACTCTGGTGCAAGATACCTGGAGGACTTCCTCTCAGCGAGAGAGAGAGAGAGAGAGAGAGAGACAGAGAGAGACAGAGAGGTGGTGCTCACCCGAAGGTGCCCTTGACGGTCTTGCAGAGGAATGGTAGAGAAGGTCCGTGGGTCCACGTAGCCAGCCCGAAGTCGCACAGCTGCGGCAAGAGAGAGCTTCTTGAGCTTTGGAAGGAACTCGCCGTCGGTGGCAAATGCGGAAGGACGGGAGGTGGAGAAGGAGAGAGAGAGAGAGAGGGAAAGGAGGCTCTCCACCTTGGGGGTCTTGCTGGAGGAGAGGAGGATGTTGGAGGGCTTGATGTCCCGGTGGACGACGCAACGGTCGGTGCCCAGGTGGAGGTACTCCACGGCCCTCGCCAACCCTACGGCCACCTTCCACCTCGCCCCCCATGGCAGCACCCCTCCTCCTCCTCCGCCGCCGACCCACCTGCTCGGGCGCCGGCGCCGGAGCTTCCGCCCCTTCCCCTCACCGTCCGCCTCGTCCCCTGCCCCGATCGCGTCAATCACGGAGTCAATTCCGGCCCTGGTTTGAGAGAGAGAGAGAGAGAGAGAGAGTACCAGGGTGGAGGTGGTGGTCGAGGCTTCCACCGGAGATGAACTTGTAGACGAGGAAGAGGCCCTGGGGATCGACGCAGAAGCCCAGAAGCGGCGCCACGTTCGGGTGGCGGAGCCCGCTGGCGATCATCAGCTCCCTGTAGAAGGACTTGACGCATTCCTTCTCCTCCCCCTGCAACCTCTTCACGGCCACCACAGAAGCTCTCCGCCGTCCTCCTCCTAGCCCCACCCTCCCCCTGTAGACCCTGCTCAGCGCCCCTCTCCCCAGCAGCCTCCCTGTACGCAAGCAAGAACACCAACTGGGTCAGCAACCAGAGGGCTTCGTTCTCCGGCGAAGGATCTCCCCCGACTCACCGGGGTGGAAGTCCACGGTGGCGGAGGAGATCTCCTGGTAGCTGAACCGGATCAGGGTTCCGGCCACCGGAGAGATGCTCCGCTCGAGGGATTCAATCCGCCGCCACCTGATGAGGAGAGCGTGGTCGTGAGCGGCAGAGGCCGGCGCCGCCGCCGGCTGCTCGTCCTCCGAGACCATCAGCACGACGGGCTCCACCTCCAGCTGGGAATCGAAGAAGCTGTAGCGGAACGACGAGTGCGCCGTGTGGGGCTCTGCCGCCAGCGCTGCCGGCGCCGAGGACGACGACAGCCTCGCTCCTTCCCCGAGCAGCCACGACCTGTTGCCGGAGCCGCCGGCGGGCTTCTCCTCGTCGGCGAGCGCTGTTCTTCTCCTTCCGATCGCCATGTTGAGGCTCAGGCTCCTCCGAGTCTCTACGAAGACGAGATTCAGAGCCTTCATCCTCGCCATCACTCTCGTGAATACGGCGGCAGCGCTCCCCCTCCCCGTCTTCCTCCAAGAGAAGACCTCCCCACGGCGGCCGGAACCTCCCCCTTCCGTCACCCCCGGCGGCGCCGCCGCTGTACCCACGGAGCTCCTCCTCCCTCCTCCTCCGCCATTGCTCCCTTCACTCACATGCTCCCCCTCCTCCCCCTCTTCGGAGGCAATGTCGGCCGTCCGGAAGCAGCCCATCCTACCCATTCAACCCCTCCGTCGAGCTCGACACAAAAATCTAAAGGATGAGCCGCCGCCGCCGCCACCTGCAGCTCTTCCCTAGTTTCCGGGGCGGCGCATCCGTTCCCTCCTTTGCTTACGTACCAAGAAAAGAAAGGAAGACGGCACACTTTACTCTCTCTCCCTTTCTCCCTACCCGCCGCAGTATTCTATTCAGGGCCTCCTCCACTTCACCTCGCCGCCGGCAACCTCTGCAACTGCGGGGAGACACACCATCACATGCACAGCAGTGGTGGCGAAGGGCACCCGACCAGGCGAGCTCAGCGCCGCCGCAGACGTTCTCCCCGGAAAATGCTCCGTGCTTTCGACTCAGACTACGAGAAATCGCTCGTTCCTCGGAGATTCCTCTTCACTCCCGGAGCTCTGCCGTCATGGGGGACGGCCGGCGCCGCCCTGTGGACGAAGATCACTTCCTTCGGACATTAATATATATTAAATATACATTAAATGATTTTAATTATTTCCTAATAATCACAGGCACTTGCTTCAAATATTCAAATATTATTAAATTAATGCGTTTCACCAGCCGCCACCGACTCGGGCCAGTGGATTGACCAGGCCCGAGCCAATCGTCACCTTTCGGTGACCATTCCTGGGTTCACCGCATCCTCGAGCATGGGCCTTGTGTGCGACCTAGGTGACCGCAGCACAGAGGCTTGCATCCCGTCACCGGCCAACTTTCCCCGTAATGGAATCGGTGACTGGGGTTCGGTAACGTGGCGAAGGATCCGAGGAGCGATAAGTGGGGAGGCTTGGAGTTGGCATCCCCAGTCCAACGTGGGTCATTTACTAATAAGCGTCCTTAAAACATTTTTATAAGCTACTTTCTTGTCGTGTTTAGATACCGAGAAATCTGGGCAAAGTGAGATTAGAGAGAGAAAGAGAGAATAATGATAAAAATAGAAATATTTGTCGACATCGGCAATAATTAGTTATAGAAGCATTCCATTAATTTTGGGGCTGTCCCATTGTCTTGTCTTTATTGTCCATGGTCAATAAATTATAAGTATTTTAATACTTTAGTACACGGTTTCCATCTGCCCCCAATTCCTACGCCTAATTCAACACCTGCTCACCACCATTTTTCTGATTTTATTTCTTTTTTTATTTTATAGCATTTTACTGTATGGCTGTTCTTGGGATATTTTGTCTTCTGAAGTTTTTTTTTTTTGCTATTATATTCCCTAAAAGTTGGACATTCTACCAATAAATGTCGAAATATTTCCCAACAATAAATATTAATTAAAATAATATATTATTTGTTCTTACGCCAATTATAACATAGTCGTCTTGCATTGCGATACGTGTCGGTGGGAAAAAATTCCTTTATATTTTTGTTCTCACGTCAATTATTTATATCGTTTGCGTACCTGAGACTGGTCGGTGGGGCCCGCGCTCTATTCACCAGGTCGATGTGGCGGTTGTAGCGGGAACGGCGTTTTGGCGGGAGAGCCGAGTTCTCCTTTCGGCTCCGGCGGTCGACTGACGGGAAGGATCTCCTCCACTACAGCGCCATGGCCATCACGGGGTATCCTGCGAGAGTAGAGCAGTCTGATCCGGATATGATCGGATCTCTCATTCCACGGAGGGGACTCGGCATCCCGGCGGCGGTGGCGGCGATTTGACGGTGAAGGCTGAGGTGGAGCGCGACGAGTTTTCAGGCGATCCGACGCCAACGGCGACGGCTGGACAGATCTGTGCGGCTCCGACCTTGCTGGCATCGTCTGCGCACTCTCCGGCGACGCCGTCTCCGTCGTCGAAGAGGAGAGGAGGCGGGAAGGCGGAGACGAGGGACGCGTTTCGGATGTAAGATCTGGACGGAGATGGAGCCGATCTCGTCCGAAGAGTCTCCATCCACTAGGTGCTGAAGCGACAAGCTCTACCTACGCGACTGCTTCCGGATGATCTGCTCCGTCGACGGCGACGGGAATGTCGACCTCCTGGAATTGAAGGTGAGCGGCGAGGAAGTCAATGGCTACTCTGTACTGTGAATAAAGTCACCGGCGTGCCGACAAGGAAGCAGGTGGCTCACTAACTGGTACCAGGAGTCCACATTAGGACCCATTAGGCCCAATTTCCGCTGAGGCTCAATAGGCCCAATTAGTATCGGCGTGCCGACAAATTGCGCACGTGTATAATTCTTTTTGTACGTGGGAGAGGAAAAGGAATCCCGATCGACCGCCAGCCAAGATTACACTGTAACCGTCCAATAATTTGATATCTTGACCGTCCAATCGTAGCCGTCCAAAAGACGGCTCCAGGGTGGTACGGAACGGTAATCACGGGTCGGGTGAGACCCGATACCGACATTCATTCATAACGGAAGAAGCGTCCTTCGCCGACCGAGAGAGAGAGAGAGAGAGAGAGAGAGAGAGAGGGGGGAAGAAGAGGGGCCTTGCTGGGGGTTTGGAGATCAGAGAGAGGGAAATTTAGGAATAAGGCAGCGTCTTTGTGTACCTTTTTTTTTTTGAAAATACGATTCGGACGTTGGCGGCCGTCCCGCCATGGCAGGGCAGCTGAGGAGCTCTCCTGCCGCCGTGGCCGGGCCGCCTCCGCCTGCTCTGGACGATGGGGCCGGGGGAGGCGGCGGCGAGGAGGGCGGGGATGGGGACGCAGTGGAGAAGGCGAGGGCGCTGATCTGCGCCCTCAATCTCGTCTCTAGGAACCTCCCCCTTTCTCCGGAGCTTTTCAACGCGGTCTCGTCCATACACCGCCGGGACGAGGGTGGTGAGGATGCCGGGGACGAAGACAGCGTGAGTGCTTTTTCTCTGTCCCCATTTTTTTTTGGTTTTATTTCTCTTCCCAGTCGAGCTTTGTTTGCTCACTGAAATGGTCCGGCTTTTGTTTTCCTTTCCTTGCTACTTTCGTGTATCCTATCCCCAGTTGATGCGGATTCATTTGATTTAATGATGTTGTCCCACTGGCTCTATTTTTACCTCACGTTTTTGCGCGCTCATAATCAATTCAGAGGCGCGGGGCAATACATTTCGATTTCGTTCTCCCATTGAGATTGCAACCCTATTTTCGTGCTCATGTTTTGAGCCATATGGAAAAACGGAATCCGCATCATGTTTCAGCTTATTTTCACGTGCGTGCATGTTTACACTAGATTGGATTTTCGGGTTTCCCTCATTTGGGTAAAATTTGCTCCAAAAGAAACAAAGATACCCAAAATTTTAATGATGGAGCTTATTTGTGATCATATCTTATTTGTCACGTTTTTATCTGCATTGAAATTGCCATATTTTTTACTTTGCAGAGACAGAAAGCTTCCATAAAGGGACATTTAATTATGGAACTTGAAGATGCATTGATAATGCAGAGACCTGATTGCATGACTGCCTTGTCTTTGAGAGAGTTGAAGGAAACCCGCCTTCAAAGTCATATTCAACACCGTTTGAAACAGCTTGAAGGTTGTTAATATTTTTTTGTTAATGAATTTACTTTATTTTCAGTTAGTTTTTTTTCACTCATACCATCATCTTGTAGGTAGATCATTGGTAAGAGTTATAATGACGTTCAATTTTTTACATCAGCTCTGGAGATCTAAACATAACAGTTCAATTCCTTCTTTTTTTTTTCTTGTACATAGGGACTGTTCTGAGATCATCCTGTTGAAAACCATATGCAAACTCTAGGAGGATTTACGGTGGAAAAAAAAATCTCTGCATATTATTCACATCGTAGATGACTGCTAGTTATATACAAATACACAGGCCACAAAATAATGAAACAACCTAACAAAATAGGGAACTGACCAGCTTAGAACCGAACTCCTAAATGTACTTTCTTTCCCACACATCCTGAGGTTACACATGTCCATCCACTTTTTCGTGAGTTTTATTGAATGTAAGGTAATACCCAGATTTTAAAAATAGGAAAAAACCTGCTTAATTTTTTATCTTGGATGGTTGAATACAAATTTTCCACCTGTAGAATGATTTTAACACCGTTGATGGTATTCTGGCAGTTCACCCTGACGATTGTAGAATTAAATAAGGTGTTCAGTTTGATTGGGTTAAATGGTGCCTTTTCTGTTCTATCCAGTCCAGTCCAGTCCAGTGTGAAAACCTGATTCATTCTGCACTCATCCTGTGGAGTTTTTAAAAACTACCATTTAGTTGTCCAAATCAGTCGTCAAAGGGTGTATGCATCAGCGTTTGTGGTTTATGCAATAAAGCATTTGCAAAAGGATTCTGTCTATTCGTGTCGTTGTGGTTGAACAATTGTGCCTTAGTTTATTTTTTCCCCGTTTAGTTGTTCCCAACTAAGAGATATCCAAAAAGTATTATTTTTAGAAATATTTGTGTATGTTGACCATTTCAGCAAGCAATTCTTATCTTACAAGTCATAATCTCGACATTTCATGTAATGATTTTCCCTACTAATTTTCTCTCATGGATGCTTATATGAATCATGGCTTGATATCTAATAATTATTGCTGTCCTATCCGTCTGTGGAATTTTATTTTGTGATAGCTTTTCTCATGTTTTGATTGATATTTTTGGTTAAATTAGGCACTGTAATATCAAATATCTTGCTTAATGCCGGTTTCTCCTGTTAATTTTTTTTTTCTTCCCCTTGCATGTGGGTACAGTCACTTGCATGCATAGTATTTCCCATTTTATTGTCATACTTACATTCCTAAGGTTACACAGGGTTACCTTCAAACTGGGGTGAGGACCTGCAGATGAAGTGTCTACTAGAGCTTTATGGGCTCAAGGTAATTTTGTTGACAACTTCACTTACTAAATACTGTTGTTTTTGAAAAAAAATTAGTGTCTTGTGTTTTATAGTGATGATATTCAGACTTCATCCGTACAGTTACCCTATTGGTGTGTTTGTTTAATAGATTGAAGATATCTTTTGTCTTTTAAGAAAGCATGCATGTGACTTGTATAGTTCATATTGTGTCATGATAAGGAGAATAACAGTTGTGGGAATGCTATTTGGCTCAGAGAGGGATGAGCTTTTGCACATGACCCCACAGTGAAAGTTGTGTATGTGATGGGTGCGCTGTACAGCCTATGCATAAATATCAAATTCTTATCGTCACGTACCATAGACTTGTGAATTAATTTTATTTCGGAAACAAAAATGTCGTTGATAGCTTCCTGGTTCTTCCTTATCAGGTAGGTTGTTTATTTGGGAGAAAAAGGTACCGACTAGGAATAAGAATGGTCGGGTCTCTTCCATCCTGTTTGGTGCTGGTTTATCTTCTGGAAAGGTTCTCTCTGGGATTTTGCTCTTGCAAAGGGTAGGAAACTAATCTAGATTAGAGGGGACGTTCCCTGTGGGTTAGGTCTCTTTGGGCTGGTTTTTTTTTTCCTGATGTAAGCTGATGGGGTATGTTTGAGCCTCTGGCCTGCTACCTAATACCGAAAAGGGAGGGAATCAAGTATGCAACGTGTGAAAGATGCGCTCCAGATGTAGATGATCTAAGACTCAAGGGCCAAAATTATAAAGCGATAACATAATGTCTTGGATCAATCAACCTACTTTGTTCGGAAATCAATAATCAAAGGAGAATATGGATCTTCATAATTAAGGTGTTTGGACGAAAGCATGATTAAATTTGCATATGTTGTCTGGGTTAAGAGATCCATAATTTAAAAGGTGGACGTCTTTCAGTTGCATGTTTGGAATCCAATGAGGCAAGTAGGACGAGCTGGATTAAGAATCCAATGACGATTGGCTTTGTCTATTGGACGAAAATAAGCACCTGAAGCATGTCCATACGACCTGAGTTACATTTACATAAGGCATTAATGTTTCCAGGATACCCATTTCCATGTCTCACTCATCATCAATCTGGTCAGATTCTTCTAAGGTGGCACCAAACACTGAATCCCATCACATTGTTACTCTTTGGATTATTTATTCATGGCCACGCTTATCATACGGTTGGTACCTCTAGTTTCTAGTCCTTACCGATGTTCATGTCTGATAACTCGACGAATGAACATTGCTGATGTCTCATTATCTATATTAGCTAGAAAAGGTGTCATTAAGCCCAGTTATTGCGATTATTTTTTCATGTTCTAAATCCTTTCATCAGCTTAACTACCAGTTAATAAAATAATTTATAAGTTTCAAACTTTATAACTTTTTTCTCTATCATCATTATACTTTTCAAGACACGAAGAGAAGACTAATAGTTGTGAATGTCTGTGAAGTAGAGGGCGCCTATGATCTTGAGCCTTGTAGGTCTTTAATCCTGCACTTTTCTTGACATGAAGAGACACGAGTAGTAGAAAATGGGTGTGAATTGGTGGTGTCTGTCGCCATCATTCTAGAGGAACTGTAATTTCTTAAGCCTGTGATAAAACTGACTTTTCTATTATAATTGTATTTTCCAAGAATTCGATTTGTTGATTTATTTTTATTTTTTTGCGATCTCTAGCAAGTTGACAAACTTAGCGTTAAAGATAATCAAACTCAACCTTTATGGAATAAAGAATGAAACTCTCGGAACTAGAAGACAAGTGCCTTAGAAAAAATATGCTGATTAACACCACTGCACGAAGAATTGGCTGATTCATTTCAGATTAGGATTGAGAGCTCTCAATTACAATAACATATATATATATACACACACACACACACATATATATAGATAGATAGATAGATAGATAGATAGATAGATAGATAGGAAGTGGGCTGGTTTCTGTACCCTAATCCTTCCTTAGTTACAACTGCTGCTGCTGCCTTAAAACTGCCATTGTTATCTAGGACCTAGCAGCGGTCTGGAAGTATCAGACTGCTTTTGCAGCTGGAATAACCTAACAGAGAGTAGAGAGGAGCCATCAGTCCTCTTGGACTTGACTGATTTATATCATGCTTGACTGATCGAGGATTACAATCCTATTCCACCAACCACGACTAGGTGTGTGCCTCAAATTACGTCTACATAAAGGTCATTGTAATAAATATTTTAAAGGTCATTTCTTATCATACTGAGATATTCTCGAATCAGCACTAGTACCTTTTTCCCTGTATGATGTTAGTCTCTCCTATTCTTCTTTACTCAAGGTCCCCGTTAGGTAAACAAGCATGTCTGCGCTGGTTCAAACCTTCGTGCATTTTATTTTCGGTCCTTGCTGCTGACCATCTGAGTTTGCAGAAGACATATTAATTTTTTCTTATTTTTCGCAGCTGGCAGAATTGCAAAAGAAAGTGCGATCTGATGTATCTTCCGAACATTGGTTGTTTGAGAAGTGTAGAAATCCTGAAAGCCAGTTATTTGACTGGGGGATGATGAGATTGAGACATCCCTTTATTTTGTATGGCGTTGGAGATTCATTTGCCATGGAAGCAGATGATCGTCAGCGGAAGAAGCGTGATGCAGAGGTACTTTCGAGAGTAAAGCGTGTTCCTGACACTGTTTGCGTTCAGAGTCTATTCATATTAGTTTGTGACAACATTTCTCTAATTAAAAAGTGCTTTTTTGTGGTTCTGTTTTTGCTGCAGCGATTGTCGAGATTTGAGGAAGAAGAGAAAAACCTTATTGAGACCAGAAAAAGGAAATTCTTTGCAGAAATACTTAATGCTGCTCGTGAGTTTCAGTTGCAAGTTCAAGCTATTCAAAAGCGAAGAAAACAGAAGAATGATGGAGTACAGGTTTGCTTTTGTGGTTCCGTCTTGCTACTCCATATGCTAACATTTTTTCAGTTGTTTTGTTTTAATTACAACGAAAGGTGTCATATGGTCACTACGTAATCACCTCCCAATTGATGATAGCTTCTAACTAATAAATGTCACTCTAAGAAGTAATCTGATTCACTTTCAAATTTATCATAGTTTAGACAGGTAATTTCCGCGTTTTTGTTTTAGAGTTGATATGTTACTTTCCTTGCTGCAATCTTTGAAAGCAGCTTGTTGGGATGAATGCAAATTTGTTAACCTGTGTATTTACTGTAAGTCCCTCTAGATGATAGAAGGCTTAGCGTTTCCGTTGCTATGACCGTAGTTTCCAAGGTGTTGCTTTGGTGTCACCACGGTGACAACGTGATGCAGGAAGAATAAACTGTTTTGTTTGTCTTTTTCAGTGTATGACGAAATGATGCTTGCCTTTGTCACTATTGTGTTGTGCTTGGCTTTTTTGTCCCCTTGAGCACTTTATTGGGAACCCTATTGATAAAACTAAAGTGACTTATTATCATATGTTGTTGGTGACCGAAAATTAAAGAAAAAAGCAATGAGGCATTGCTAAACGTCATGGAAAAAGGTTATTGGATGTTTGGTAAATGATGCAGGTAAATTTCATATTTGGGTTCAACCACATAATTTGATCAATTCGAGTAATCAGCCTTCTTGCTGTTTAGGAGCTTATTATTTAACAAAAAATGAGGCTAATGAGTGTGCCAATAAATTGGTGCTGCAACATTTTTCATGTACGAGTGAAAGCGTCTGCTTTGGTAAATCATTGCGTACTACGATCTAAAACTAGCTGTAATGGTGATAAAGTACTTTATACTTTATTTTATTTGTTAATTTGTGGGAATTGTTTATGAATGCCAAGATTGGGATGAAACGAAATGGGATGGATACTTTTGTAGTATCATATGTCCTCCAATATTAAATCGGTTGTCCACCACTCCGCCAACCTTGGCCACCTCAACAGCTATCTATTGTTATCTTATAATTTTTTATTCATAGGTTTATCTTCTTTAACAAAGGTTAGTTTTTATCCACTAATTAATTTTACTGTCTCTGTGTAGGCATGGCACGCAAGACAAAGGCAACGTGCTACACGAGCAGAAAAACTGAGGTTCCAAGCACTGAAAGCAGATGACCAAGAAGCATATATGCGAATGGTAGAGGAGAGTAAGAATGAGCGTTTAACTACACTTCTTGAAAAGACGAATGAGCTTCTTGTCCGACTTGGGGCTGCTGTTCAGAGGCAAAAAGATGCAGAACACTATGTCACTGTGGAAACTCAGAGGGACTCTGAATCTGAAAGTGAGGCCCCGGCAGATTTGAGAGATGCTGATATGAGTACTACAGATTCTGCATCCATTCTTAGGGCAAAAGATCTTCTTGAAGGTCAAAGGCAGTATGACTCGGCTGTGCACTCAATCCAAGAAAAGGTGAACAAATGCTCGAGTTCTACCTTTCTATTAACTATCCATCCCATTGAGATTGTACCATGCGCTCCCCAACACTGGATATGTTGATGATACCTGAAATGCAGTCATGTTGTGGTTGGTTTGCATTTATCAACATTCAAAAAAAGCTTTGCTGTATCTTGTCTGTTGTCATGCTTGACGTGTGATGATAAAATCACTAAGTGCGGTGTATGGCTTTTCTTGTTTGGTTTCATGTATTTCATGCGCATATTTGTACATGGTTTTATTCTATTATTTTATCCTTCAGTGATCAGGTCTATCTCCTGTCTATATTTTCTAGGTAGGAAGAAACGTTTTTTTTTCCTTTCGACTTGCTTTTATAATAGATATAGTTGAATCTGACTTCTTTGCTTCACAGGTGACGGAGCAACCGTCTATGCTTCAGGGCGGAGAACTAAGGCCATACCAATTGGAGGGGCTTCAGTGGATGCTTTCTTTGTTCAACAACAACTTAAATGGTATCCTGGCTGATGAAATGGGCTTAGGAAAAACAATTCAAACGATTGCATTGATTGCCTACTTGATGGAGAATAAAGGTGTTAGTGGACCCCACTTGATTGTAGCTCCTAAGGCGGTGTTGCCAAATTGGGCCAATGAATTCGCAACTTGGGCACCTAGGTATATGCCAAATTGAGTTTCATGTGCATATAAAAACATTGACTTGTGTAATCATAATCCTATACATGCATCTCACTCTGGGTGTCACTTGATCCAGTATTATTGCCGTTCTATACGATGGGCGATTAGATGAAAGGAAATTGCTGAGGGAGGAGTACTCTGGAGAAGGCAAATTCAACGTTATGATTACTCACTATGATCTGATAATGCGTGACAAGGCATTTCTGAAGAAGATACCTTGGTTTTATGTGATAGTTGATGAAGGCCATAGATTGAAAAATCACGAGTGTGCTCTTGCCCGGACTCTGGTATCAGGGTATGTCCTATGCAGTTCTTTCGTTGTCTTTCGTTTAACAAATTTAGATTTTATTTGTGACGTGACCATCTATACAAAAAAAATCATTAAATTCCCTATCAAGGACCAAAGAGATAATTATGTTCACCTGATTTATAGGAGAGGCTTCTGTTAAATCATATCTACATTATTGCGTTTGCAATGTGGATATGCCGCATTAAGCATCTGTATAATTCTGTTTCAGTTAACATAAGCCTGTAGATTATGACTTATCCGAAGAAATTAGGTTGGATACCATGAAAATGCCTATTGATTTGATGACTAAAAAACTGGCTATCACACGAAGGGTTGCATGGTTTAAAAATGGTACAAGGGTTGCATTAAATAAAAAGGGTAATCCCAACAACAGCTTTTTGTTGGTAAACAAAGGTTTACCTGGATGAATTACAAGCAATCGTACATTAGTTTGACCAAAAATCTCGGTTATGCGTTCTGGATTATGATCTGATCTGAAGGATCTAATGCTCTGCAGATATCGAATTCGACGTAGACTTTTGTTGACTGGTACACCGATACAGAACAGTCTCCAAGAGCTATGGTCATTGCTCAATTTTCTTCTTCCTAGTATATTCAATTCAGTTCAGAACTTTGAGGAGTGGTTTAATGCACCATTTGCGGATCGATGTGAAGTATCTCTATCTGACGAAGAGGAGCTTCTGATTATTCGTCGACTGCATCAAGTAATTTGTCGGAGCTCTTTTTAATATGGTCTTTAGTCTATGATTATTTAGCAATTACTTTCCCTCCTGAGTTGTGGGAAAAATGTTCATACTGAATCTGCAGGTAATAAGGCCTTTTTTATTGAGAAGGAAGAAGGATGAGGTGGAGAAGTATCTTCCTGGAAAAACACAAGTAATACTGAAGTGTGATCTGTCTGCATGGCAGAAGGCATACTATCAGCAAGTTACGGGTGTGGGAAGAGTTGGACTGCATTCTGGTACTTTACATATTTTTTTATATAATTTATTTATCATGCTTTCTTGTCTTATTTTGTTTCATTCTGTGCGAAGCTACACTTCAAGCAAATTTTAATGTGCAGAAGGTCTATCATGATTTTTTAAAGTGTGGCATGCTAGTTCTATGCTTTTTTTTGGATTTTTTTTAATAAATCGAGTTGCTTAAGATTATCACGATTTTTGTGCCGCGTTAAATAGGTTTTCTGGTTGGAAAATTCTTGTTTTTTTAATTATTTCGTGCTAATTTCTTTGAAATCCTAAAAAGTGGCTCCTTGGGATGTAAAGCTGGCTGTCAGATTTTTGAATAGCCTGATCAATCCTTCTTTTTATACGGAGTGGGGGGATAAGTCACTTCTTCTGGTATTGAACCCCACTCCAACTGCTCATCCGCCCCTGACGAGAAACCGTCAACAAGAGAAATACTAATCATTCATCTGCTACCCTCTCGATCCACTCCACTTTGAGTCACTCCTAGTTCTTGGTGTTGGAACCATGTGAATGCTGCTTATTTGGTAGAAACGTATAGAGGGAAAAAGAGGTGCGAGGAAGGAGAATAAAGAAAAAAAGATCAGCTTTGGTCAGAATCAGCTGGCAGCGATGGTAGCTGTAGGTGACGATGTCCTCAATTCGTGCAGTCATGGCTGAGGGGGGAAGATTTGCAGTAAGCAAGATCTAGTTATCAATAAAAAAATAAGAATGCAAGGAAAAGCTTTAACAATGCCTCAGACTCTCCTTGTTACAATTCTTGGAAATGTCCACTATTAGCTAACGTTCGATTTGCTTATATATATGTGGGTACATCTTGTCATTCAGTTCGTCTGCGGTGATGTTTGAGCTATTGTCATGTACCGTGAAAAGCTTATTGATGTTTGCTGAAGTGTGCATGTTCCTAAATATGCAGGAACGGGAAAGTCAAAGAGTCTCCAGAACTTGTCAATGCAGCTCAGAAAGTGTTGCAATCATCCATATCTGTTTGTCGGAGAATACAACATGTGGCGCAAGGAAGAGATTGTCAGAGCATCTGGAAAATTTGAGCTTCTCGATCGCCTGCTCCCCAAGCTGCAGAGATCTGGTCACAGGGTTCTCTTGTTCTCACAGATGACTCGCCTCATCGACATACTCGAGATATACTTACAGCTGCACGAGTTCAAGTACCTCAGGTTGGATGGATCAACAAAGACTGAAGAAAGAGGAGTGTTGCTCAAGCAGTTCAACGCACCAGATTCCCCCATTTTCATGTTTCTCTTAAGCACTCGAGCCGGGGGTCTCGGGTTGAACCTGCAGACTGCGGACACCGTGATAATCTTCGACAGTGACTGGAACCCTCAAATGGATCAGCAGGCAGAGGACCGTGCCCATCGCATTGGGCAGAAGAAGGAAGTCCGCGTTTTTGTGCTGGTTAGCACCGGATCCATCGAGGAAGAGATCTTGGAGCGTGCAAAGCAGAAAATGGGCATCGATGCCAAAGTGATTCAGGCCGGGCTGTTCAATACGACCTCCACAGGTTTGCTCATCATCTTGACCCGCCTAGTAGTTACTCCTTTTTTGTGCTCGTAATATTAGTATGGATGAAATGGCTGATTGTTCTGTGCAGCCCAAGATAGAAGGGAAATGCTGCAGGAGATCATGCGCAGGGGCACTAGCACTCTGGGAACCGACGTGCCGAGTGAGAGAGAGATCAACCGCCTCGCTGCGCGGAACGAGGAAGAGTTCTGGCTGTTTGAGAAGATGGATGAAGAGAGGCGGCGGCGGGAGAATTACAGAGCGAGGCTGATGGAAGAGCATGAGGTGCCCGAGTGGGCCTACACCACCGGCGAGAAGCACAAGGAGGTTACAGACGCCGAGACCAAGAGCAGTCAGATCCTGGGGAAAAGGCGCCGGAAGGAGGTGGTCTATTATGATACTCTCAGCGACGTTCAGTGGATGAAAGCTGTTGAAGGCGGAGAAGACTTGCCGAAGGTTATGGTGAGGGAGAAGCGGAGGCCACTCCCTACTGATCCCAGCAAACCGGGCCATTCTGAACCTGCGTTGGCGGCGGCGGTGGCGGTGTCTGCGGCGGCGGCAAATAACTCATCGGAGCAGAACATGGAGAGTAACTCTCCGGCGAGCGAGGATAGCGACGACACGTCGACCCAGTCACCGGAAAAGCTCGAGTCTGGGCAGCTCCCCAATGAGGGTGACGGTGAGGACTCTGCCGGCACCTGGACGGGGGACATGTTCACCTGGAGGACGCACAAGAGAAAACGATCGACCGTCAGGCTGGGCCTCTGACGAGTCAACGGGAAGAGATCTCCAGGATGCTCGGCGGGAATTGCGGGCGTGCGAATCCAACAGTCAACCCAACTATCATTCTCCATGCCCGGGTCAACACTTCAGAGTCTCCAAGAGGTCAAAGCCCCCGGGCATCTGCTAACAATTCGCTCGTGATGTGCCTGCTGGGTGCTGATTCTGTCCGTGCAATCGGTCTCTGGTTGGCACGGGATGTGGAGGAGTGCTAGCAGATTTTCTCCAGCCTGCTGCCAGCTTGTTGCTGGCATTTCATACGCTACGTTCTATGGCTTGATGAACACTGAGATTGGCCAATGGAAGGCAGCAATCTCCTCTACCAAGTGATCTTTATACGCTGTCATTACCCACCTTTCTATATATATCGGTCTCTGGTACATGTGGGATGAAATCGGGAGGGATATGGGATGTGGCGGAAGTGCGCTGCTGTGTAAGTAGTGAGGGGGATGTTTATTACCCAGAGAGTATGGTTTCCTTCTCTTTACACGCGCCTTGTGGCACCTCACTGGCTCGGAATGGCGAGCGTGGTTGAGCATAATGGGAGAAGGAAAGGAACAAAGAAAGGAAAAAATTGAAGGCTGGGATCCAATCCTCACCACGGCTTTTGTTGACTCTAGTCGATCGGGTCGGCGGGGACTTTGCCGAAGATATCTGGGCAGGAGTCCCAGCAGGGACTCTCCCGGGACTCCCAGTATCCGCCGACATATCGGTAGGTGTCTTCGCCCTTCTCCTTAGTAAACCACCTCGGCTTCCACCCCCTCTCCTGCATCTTCCTCGCCTGCCCCAGATTCATCAGATGAGAAATGATTCAACAGGGAGTAATGGCGCGGGAGATGGTTTACCTGTCGCTGCCTCTGCTCCAGTCTCAACTTCTCTGCGTTCGCCATCTCGTACTCCCCGTTCTCTAGGCACCGCTGGTCGGGCCTCAGCCTCGAATCCGTCGGCGGCAGCTTCTCCTGGACACCATCATCAACAAGAAAACTTTCAATCAATCAATCAATCAATCGAGAGAGAGAGAGAGAGCACAGGGGGTTGAACATCGGGGGTCACCTTCAGGCCGGGAGTGAGCTCGTTCATGGTGATGGCAAAGCGGGTCAGGTTGTACCGGGTTGGGTAATGGGACGGCTTGGCCCGTTTCCATAGCAACGGAGCATTGGAGGAGGGCTCGGTGAGTTTGCTCTTTGCAGAGCAGTCCCCCATCACATACTGCATGCTCTCATCCCACTTGCCGAACAATGTGGCCACCGTCTTGCCGTGCCGGTCCTGGACTATCCCTTGCACCTGCAACGCAGCACCCAACTTGCTTCACTCTACACTTGATTAACTGTGCTCGCTCCGGATCCAGCACCGGGGACGAAAGGGTTCACCTGATGGGGATTGCGGTCTATTATCGACTGCTCCTTGAACTTCAGCTTGCACGAGTACTCTCGGTTACCCTGGATGCGCATCGTGCCGTAGTGGTCGCAGTAGAGCTTCCCCAGTATCAGGTTGTAGATGGAAGTGGTCACCTGGAAACCCAGCCTCAAGGCCTCAGCTTACAAGGTAATATTTATCGGACTTATCGCCAGGTTGTGCTGTGTTTGTCCTCATACCTTGCTCCATTGGAAAACCTCTCCGTCGTCGAACTCCAGTGTTAAGACGCCGACGGGATCTAACTGGATCGAACGCCCCCAGAACTTGCTCTTCAAATCGCTGTCTCCCCAGAATTTCCATCCTTTACCCTCGCAGTGGCACGCAACAATCATCGGGTGGTGGCTGACCTGGCAGATAAAGAGAGCATTGACGTGAGATTGTAGATTATATACGACAAGACACCAGTAGCGGGAAAACAACAGGCGAATTCGTCATATTGCCCAATCTGTCAAGATTAGTAGTAGACCATGAAATCAGTGTGTCAGGAACTGATTTCCAACAATTGCTCCAGATTTTGGAGCCGCTATTGGAAAAATGCGATCGAAATGAAGAAACGAAATGAAGAATAATCGGATTAATCGATCGGATGAAGAATACAAGAGTCGTTAGTCTAATGTTCCAAACTTAGGTTCCTAAACAGTCATAATGCAAAGAAGCGTGATAGTAGACTATTGGAAAAGCATTTGCTATATTTTGGCTCTTTGATTGATCATTCCTGTTGCTGAAAATGGTCCTGTCTGGCATTTTAACACTTAAAAGATTAGTAGACTAAATCTGGTGCGACCAAAAGAAGAACTGCAAGATCAGGAAACAACGCACTCTAATGGACCATGATATAGAATCTCTTTATCTCATTCAAGGTCCCTGACAAACGTATATATCTATCTATATATATATATATATATTTGCACAAAATTACAAGGCCCGTTATAAGATACTCCTATGAAATGCCGTGAAACAAACGGTTGCTTGAGAGCCATCCTCTCAGAAGCAAGGTATCCACGAACAACAGAGATGAAACTTACGCTATGACAGATCGTGACCTGTCATGCCTTGTTCACTTTAATTATATGGATATCATGAATGTCTTTCTTTTCATGATATATCTATGACAGTACGCATAAACCCCAACTACCATTCCTCCCTAATAACATGATATTATGGTTCGTGTTAAGAAAAAATCGTAAAAAGTTAATGACCATTAACTACTGTTTTGAAACCTTTTCTGAAAGAAAGCGAATGCCTTTATCCGGATATTCTGCCTCATATGTCTCCCCGAGTAGTGGATTGAACGGCTTGCAGTTTCTTCCTTCTGTTGATGAATACCCAGATATAGCAAATGCTGCTACATTAAGAATCCTCATGAGACCATTACCCTGCAAGATTTCAGAGCAGATTTAGCGATCAAAAAGAAAACGGGAGCAAATCAAAATTGCTGATAGAGATTATGAAAACGACAGTGCTTCAGAATCTATGATGCTAGGACATAACACCGCACATGTTACAACTATACCAAAGAAAAACATCGAGTACAGGACACACCAACGGATACAATGACTACGAAAGGAAACCATGGTTGTTCGTCATTTCTGAGGGTCTAAAACACATTCTTCATGACTCAAGGATTTGGAAATAAATTTTCACATATTGATTTTACCAGAGAGACCGCCTCATAACTTGATCCGAGTCCCCAGAAACTATTTCCAGATATGAAATATAAAATGAGTTGTCAGCTAACCTAAGATGCAGAAAAGCAAATTCTCTCCATCTTTATATCCTTTTGATGTGTAACAGGTTTTCATGGGCTGTTTTCTCAAAATGCAATGAGAACAGAGATGATCCATATTAGGCCTACCCAGGCAATTATGTGTTGGTTTGTAATCTTTATTGGCTGATAATTGCAATCTTCTGAGACCAAATATCGTTGATGATCGGTGTTATCAAAGAAAAAACCCAAATGATTCAAAATTTCAGCTACATTGGTCTGAGTCAAACAGAGTCCATATGATTCCATACCAAGGGTCCCAGGGTAAAGATCAAAGCACAAACAAACTTTGTCTACTCTCGATCAAAATTAACCCAGTCAGCTGAAGCAGCCACTGTGAAAGAAATGGCGGATTTAGCCAAGCAGATAAAAATCATTTTTAAAACCTAAAATGCATCAATATTATCTTAGAAGCAAGACAAAAAAAGATATTTCAATAAATGAATTGTTTGCTATAACCTCCCCAAAACCCATCCTATTCTCAGAAAGTAGCCTCGACGCAAGAAAAATAGGAGATGTAGAAAAGGCAGTCATGGAAGTATAAATTGGTTTTGTTCTTTTTATTATTTCTCCTCATTCTTTTTCTTCCTCTTGCTGCACCAGCACGCAGCCTCCTCTCACTCTTCTTAATCATCTTCCTAAAACTTTCATGTTTTCAAACTTTGCCAATCCCGGTAATTAGGAGGACCAGCTGGGAGTAACTTAGATATGGGGAAAATAATAGGATCATGGAACATAGACCAAAGTCGGCTGGGGGACAATAGCCTATCGGATTGGAATGAATAAATTTGGACATCTATTTTCGTCATAAAAAAGGCATTTCTCAACTAATTTATGAAACTGAAATCAATGGTTGTCAAGATGGACCCCTGACTAAATGACACTATTCATTCCAACTTCGTTGACACTATCTACAACATCACATTGTTCACTAATTTAAAAAAATGATCAAATGTAAATTAAGTATGGCTCTTTCGATGAATAGTGATTCAATATTGATCACTAAGGTTAATAATAAAGAAACAACCAGAGAACTATTAATCCATTTACTGGTTCTATGAGTTTTGTTCACTACCAAGAGCGTGCAGGAAAACCCTGCTAGAGTCAAGTTGCTCATCCAGCTCCATAACGACCATACATTGATGGAATAAGACGTTAATGATTGTGCAAAGTATTGTCCGAACAGAGTATAATGTGTCATTTCTTTAATTAGCAAGAAAATAATAATGACCTAGTTGCCTAACTCTTAAAAATTCTACGCTTACAAGAATTTCAAAACATCAAAGACAAAAATGCGGGCGAAAACCCACAAGGTTACGCATGAGTTGTTCACCAGAGTTCAGGATACAGGCATTATGACGAGATCAATGGTTCAGTGACAGACAGGCAGAAAACTGGCTAGAAAATACTGATACAGTTCAAGCATGCAAAGTTGGCACACGAAACATGAATAACGATGAAATGATATGGTCCAACAACGATAGATTTTGAGGGGGTAATAAGAAATCCTGAGAGAAATTTTCAAGCGATGAAACTAGAGTAAAACATTTGAGCATGCAATATTTTATTTAATGGTAGAAGGGAGATGAATTCAGACGTGACCTTTTTCCCCCACTCATAGGCTCGGTCAATGAGGAAAGAATATTCAAGGTCTTCAAAGCACTTCTGAAGAGATGAAAGAGGCTCATTAAAATACACAGGAAGACAAACTTTCGTGAGATCTTTTCCAATGTTATCTTTGATCATTGACCAAAGGCTCACTCCCTTCTCCTTCTCAACGGGATCAGGCAACTTTTTGCGCCTCTGAATATATGGGTAACTCCCACTCAAAGGTTTAATCGAAGCCTCACTATCATCAAGAAAATCAATACCGTACAGATCATCCTCATCTAGATCAAATGACAACCTTTGGAATTCAGATGCACTGCTTTTAAAAGAACTTGATGAGAGAAAGTCGTGCGTATCAAAAAAGGCATTGTCATCCTCATCAGTTTCTTCCTCGGCAGCATCATTCCTTTCATTATCGTCATCAGATCCAGAGACACTTCCTTCTGCAAAATGATTGACATAAGACTAGGTAATGTTGTAAACTAACAAAACATCTGATAAAGGGAAATTAGTAAAACAGTCATGCACGCTGAATAGGAAAAAAAGTACAGAAATGAAATGTTATAAGCAGTATGAATGAAAAATCAGCATTAGCCACGAATTATTCATTATTTTAAGGTGGTAAAAACCAAATTATCATTAAAAAGGATCACCATAGTCTTGTACATTTCCAAGAGAGAAAAAATAAGAACCCAGGGCACAGACACGCAAGACAAAAACTCTCCCATAACTCCATCAAGGATATATAATAGGCAATAGAAGCAGATGGTGAAAACTTCCTAAACTTCTATTGGAAAGACATAAGAGAAAGCCACCCTGCCTTTTTAAAACAGCATAGAGTTAAGTGAATCCACCATGCGGGCTGCAAGCACCTAATTAATAATGAACTAACAGTTGGATTGACAATTAATCATCCAGAGAGCCTTTTGTATGTGAACTACAATTTTTGGATTTTCCCACATCACATTAAAAATGTCAGTTCACAAATATGATCCCAAAAGTGCACCAAATTTTGAAGCATCAATGAAGGATCTTTCTTCTCTCTAAGGGAAGGGAATTCAGAAAAAGAACTGCTGGCAATATCCTTTTGCTAGTTCACATAATTTTTTCTTGGGTCCAATTTTTCCTATAATTTTCTCTATTCTTAAGAAATTTGCCAATCGTCCAAATGTCAGAAGAAGAGACGAAGAGACGAATAGACTCTTAGCTGAAAACAAGGCACAAATGGTTGCATAGCTAATAATATGATGCATCATTTCCCCTTCTATATTAAGTCCTTTATAGGTTATGTAAGGCATTACTATGTAATTTTTGTGGGATAGACGTTATGGCCTTCCTTGTGGAGAAGACAGGACAGGAGATACCAGAAGCAGAAAATTTATAAGCCCATAGCTAATAAAAATAAAGCCTGTCGTGTAGAGTAAGAGTTTCTTTCCTTCAGAAAGCTTCATCATGTCAAATAAGGAGAACCTTTATCAGCCTAATCTTTTATGCCTAGAGTCCCTTACTCCATAGGTTCTGGATGAAACAAGCCATTATCTAGCACCCGACAATCCAGTAAGACATGATAAATGAACTTTCCTTGTGGTTTTCACTTTCTAGATAATCTCAGAAAACTTTGAAAACTGCATTAGATAATTTCTTCTTCTTGAAAGTAGCTGATCTTTCACTGTATCCTACGACAAGAAGCTACAACACTGGTTCATGTACCTCAACTGGGGGCTCTGAGACACCAATTAAAAAGAAGAGGCCACCCCACAGGTTCATATTCCTGAATTAGTAGTACCGAGACCATCCTCATCATCATCATCCCTTCCCTGGCATAAGCGAACAATTAGCAGAAGGAAATACGTCTCATTCAGAGGTCATAAGCAAGCTTAGTAGTTAACCTATCCATCATTCGGACTCTATCCTTTAGAGCACGGCCGTTTCATCCTCCTCATTAAATTGACAATCAATGATTTAAAATGCAACTATACAAAAGAAACAATTACTAGTTTCTAACAATCTGTTTGGCATTGTTCCTTCATTCTCCTTTCTCATATGAAAGCACCTCACGCATCTGTTGAACAAAGGTATCTCCATATCATCCTAAATGCCTCAATCGACAAACAATACTGTTATTCTTGCTGTATTGCAACTGATTGGACTTCATCAATTTGCATCAGGAAGTCAACTTGCATCGAAACTTTATAGAATATATAGGTGCATACATCCAAATTTCATAAAAAAAAGAGCAAGCTCGAGAAACCTTGAAAATCTAATCCTCTTGTGATGATACAGTATTGTGACGGAAATGGAATTAGCCATATTCTAGATAATGAAACCAATTCCATGATAAAGATGTGAATGAAGTATTTGTCTTATCTTCCATCATTACTACATAAACTCATGAGCAGGATCCTGACTACAGCCCCTTTTTTTCCTTTTTACTGCCATTTCTATTCAACAGTCATGTCATTTTCCTGAAATATAAGAACATTAAAATTTCTCTACTGTTTAGCAAGGTAACCGTGAGTAATAAAATAAGTGGAAAAGATGGAACCAGGAGATAATGGAAAATAAAGCTGCTTGAGAGACGGTGAAAAGGTATCCATGAGATGAGAAAACATGAAAGTTTCAGTCTTGACTGCATTAGGAAGGTTTTAGTTTCGAAAAACATAAGAAACTTTAATTCGGAGAACTAAATCTCTGTATCATGTTATCTGTACCAAATACTAGGCTAAAGGATAAATGATAATAGTTAAGGGCCTGAGTAGCTTCGTGATGAAGAAGAAAAAATTACATAAAAATAAAACTCAAACGTGAAGTAATGCAAAAAATAAACAACATGACATAACCGATAGAGAAAAAAAGCTCACAATCAGAAATATAATTTATTGAAAAAGGTGGCAGCGGTTTTGGAAGAATATTTGATCAAGCAACATAACAGACAATAAGAAATGAAACGTTCTATCACAGCATACCACTGTACTTCTCTTGCCTGGATCTAGATAGTGATTCGTCTTCCTGGAACTGCCTTTGGCTCTCATCAACAAGAGTGTTCTCCAGATCTACCTTTTCTGTCTACATGAAAATGGATTGAGGTTAATTACTCATTGCTGTCAGCCAATATGCTTTGAAAAATAATGTTTTGAGATGAGACAATTCAACGAGGATCATACTAAGCGAAATAGATATACAGCTGAAAATAGTAATGCTACCAGGAGAAACAAGAAAATAATTCTTCCTTTAAAAAAATGGTCACATATAAAATAGGAAGAAAGTAGAACTGTAAGCAATGAAGGACAACATATCATCAGAAGAAGGTATGCAAACAAATGTATGCATTGTGCCTTGTAAGATCAACCTGAAAACGCATTCCCACTATACTCATGCCGACTCAATAAATGCATGCAGGTGCCCTTGTCTAGTTTATAGTCTATGCAAAACTCAATATCAGATGTTTTGTACAAATGCATGCAAATTTTCTCAAGTTCAAATCCTTATACAACAAAAGAGAACAGAAAGAGAAAACTTGAGAAATAAAAAACGAAAGAAATCAGTATCAGCTATCTAGAGTAAAACAATGCTAAGATCCCAGATACCAAAAAAACTACATCCAATTGTTCATGTAGCACTCATGACGCTGACAAACTTCACGCATTTTCATCATATCATTCGAGAATCAAATAGACCAGAGGAGAATTAGGCCGTTTAGTAGAAACTTCTATACCACGTCATAATAAATGTGTATAAAAAACTTAATATAGACATATATAACATGTTTTGTTATTGTGAAATTCCTTCACCTAACCAAATCAAACCTAATTCGGGGTGTTGAATCAACTAACTGACATGTTCGAATAATTGGGATTCATATGGAAATGGAGGAAAATGTTTTTTCTACAGACTCCCGAAGCAAGGGCAAAATTACTACCTCCAATTGGCGAAGGGTATCGATGAGGAGGACTTGTTTCTGCTTAAGAGCCACCAGTTGCTTCTGCAACGTGGAAAACTCACTCTTCACGATATGTTCGCAATCCTGGATGGCCGTATCAGTCACCCTTTCCTCCAGAAGGCGCTTCCTGAGCTTCTCAGTGGACACTACGAAATTGTCCACGGGAGCCATAAGCTCGCAGTTTGACATACGTGGGAACATCTCCTTCACTGCTTGTAACGCTTCCATCCACATTAAACGGTCCTCCCGCGTGTCCGCTCTCAAATGAAGCCTCTTCGTCCCAGTGAAGATCGAGAATCTTTTGTCGTCGGATCGACTCTCTCTGATGGTAGAGACCTGTAAACCGGGGCCAAATTCCCCGCATAGAATAGGATTCAAAAGATCAACAAAAATGTGGACATAAAAATCTTTATATTTAGTGAAATCCTGTAGTACCTTTAAATGTACTTCGCCAACGGGCTTGCGGCGGTGGTGGGAGTGGCCGTGGCGGCCGCGTGAGAGGCGCCGCATGGATTCCTCCCCAATGACCTTGGATCCCTTCTCGGTCTCATGGTTGACCTCGATTCTATCAGGGCCATGGATTTTATAGAACGAAAGGACGCCGTCCTGGAGAACAAACCACCGGGGCCTCCAGCCCTTTCCGTAGTTCACCCACTTGTGTAGAATTCCTGAAATACCGTTACCGACAATGTTATTCAGTTTCACCTCCCCACGGTGATCACCGGACTGGTGGGGAATCGCCCCATCTTGGACAGACGACATCCGCAACAATGATAGATCTGTTGATGACGGCTGCGGGGCGAGGCTTTTATAATGGTTGAAATTGTTGCTGTGGCTGTGACCGCTGTAGAGATGGCAGGCCTGATCGCCGCCACCGACGTTGCCGACGCTGCTACTGCCTTTGTTGCTCGGCCACCGAAGGCCATTGATATTCCCGTTGTTGCTAGCGACACCACCATCGCAGCACTGGATGCTCCCGTTGCGTTGATCAGATGCGTGGGGGGATGAGTCACGACTGGCGGATGAGGACTTGACTGGTGGCGGAGGCATACCCCCAGCGGCTGTCCTTCTTGACGATTCCAGCGATGCCGTGGGAGGCGGCTTGATGAGGCCACCACCAGCGAGCCGCGGGGGTGAGGGGGGCGGGGACGGCGGAGCGTGCGGCGAGGCGGGGCAGTTGCCTTCGGTGACCGGAACAGGGGACACGCAGCAGAAAGGATGCATCCGGAAAAATCGGCGAAGAACAGGCGACGGGGAAGATGCCGCGGACGATCCGGTCTCAGACGACCGCTGCCATCAGATCAGACGCTCCCCAGGCGGAGATCGTCGCCGCCGGCGGGGACACACTGAGATCGCTGCCGTCCCATCCTCCCCCCGCTCCCCTGAGCGCGCTGCCAAGAGCGGCGGCGACGGCGATGGCGACGGCGACAGCGACAGCGACGGAGGGGCCTGAGCCGGCGCGGGAAAGCAGACCAGCGGCGGGCGAATTGGGCGGAGGATGCCCGCGGTGGGGGCGTCCTTTTGATTTCCCCCCTTTCCTCACCCAAAATATTCCTCCCCTTTTTTTTATATCCCACGCTGCTTCGAGCCGCGCGGCAGGCCGCCGGCGTCGTGCGCGGAGCCGCCCGCACGTGCCTCGTCCGAGTCGGTGCCCCCGCAGGCAAAAGGTCAGCGCGGAGGCGCGCCGGTCACGCGGGACTCGCCCGTGCCGGCGACGGTGCGCCGGCTCTGGAGACGGCGGGGGCCAGCACAACGGGCGACAGCTGGAGCTGTTAATAAGCCCGCACAGGGCATCATCAATGGCGGGCGCAGCCTTTTTGACTGCCCCCAAGACCAGATCAGCCCCCTTGAGGCGGCTGACACAAAGCGGTAGTTTGGCTGGCGACAGGAGCTCCCCGCCAGAAGTGGTCCCTCCTCGAGGCACAATCTCAGCCGTCTGTCTGGTCGGGGAAGACCACGTTGACCGGGAGGGAATCTCGGATCTTTGTCCTCGGATCTTCCCTAGACTCGATCCTGCCCGTCCGTTCGTCCTCGCGCCTTCGAACGGCCTGGATGCATGCCGCGTGAGTCCCAACAAATATCTCCTCATTTGCTCTCCGAAAATCAGAGGGTGGAAAATCAAAGAGGCGATTAGTCTCTGGTTTGCAGCGAGGAAGAGCAGAACACAGAGTCTCCGTTAGACCAAGGTTGACATTTTTAGTCAAAACCCTTTTTTGGGTTCGTTCCAGGGAGATTTCAGGGCTGATAGAAAAACGTAGCATAATGGATTTAGGAAGATGGCATCAGGGAGTTTCGGGTGAATTATTGGGGTTGGAAAGCTAAATATTTGTTTCCCTCATGGTTGCTTCTGTTTTTCTATTGTTTGACGTAATAATTTATTACATTCTTCTCTATTTCCTGAAAATCCATGATCTGGAATTATCTTAGGTCAACAAACCCTTCTTCGGTAATTCTGAGTTTATAGAGAAATTCGTCATAACAATTGGTCAAAGACACTATAGAGAGAGAGAGAGAGGAAAAAACCCATTACCATAAAAGTCAACACGTCTTTGAAGATGTTGACTAGTGTCATTATAGGTTTAAGTGATGGTGATTTTATCAACAGTAGACAAAATAGCTCAATCTAGTGAGATTTCAATGTAACCAGAAGGCTCAATAATTATGAGTTAAATTGGTAAATTGGTCAAAGATTTATGCTCGAATCTTCATAAAAATTGAGATATTTGATTATGATTTAATTTCATTTATACATTATCAATGATATAAGGGCAAAGTGATCCATAGCACTAACCTATATGACTAAAATGGAATGACCCTCAATAGTAAGATGATATTGCAAATCTGGGCGTGCAAACATTCATTGGAAAGCTAACTCAAAGAGGAACTCAATGTAGTAAATGTTGTGTCAAATTCTGAAGTTTCAAATTGTTTTGATTTTTCTAATAAGATTAATGATTGTATAAATCATTTGAGGAGTCCAAGATGCATTCCATGCTCCTAAGCATCTACAACATTGGTAAAATCATGACGAATATCTAACAATTCATTGTTCGATTGATTGTATAAATGATGTCACTTCAAGGAGTGCTTATAATGTGGTTGTCAGACTAACTAAAGCCTTTATGTCTACTTTATGGAGATAGACTCCACAAAAATTTATCATGTAAGAAAATTGATGATAATCTAATGAAATAAATTATATTATCAAGAAGAAAATAGAGAAAAAAAGATAGTGATCTTGTAAGTAGACATAGGTCAATGGATGCTGATCTATCATAAGTAGTGTTATCATCTTTATCTATCAATTTGAATAGTTCCAAATTATAAGATTGATTAATATCTATAAAATAGAAAAAAAAACATAGAAAAAAGTAAGAATCAATTACAAAGACATTGGTAAAATCATGGCGAATATCTATCAATTGATTGTTCTATTGATTTTATACATAAAGTAATTTGATGAGTGCTTCTAATGTGGTTGTGAGACTAATTAAAGCCTTTATGTCTACTATATAGAGGTAAACTCTATGAAAATTTATCGTGCAAGAAAATTGATGATAATCTAATGAAATAAATTATATTATAAAGAAGAAAATAATGAAAACCAGATAGTGATCTTTTAAGTAGACATAGGTCAGTAGATGCAAATCTTTTATTTAACAATCAAAATAGATCCAAATTATAAGATTGATTAATATCTGTAAAATAGAAAAAAATCATAGAAAAAATTAAGAATCAATTATCCCTCCCCTCCACCCTCTAGATCCAATCACCTAGCCAACTAAGGATCTAACACTTGCACTGTAGATGCATAATGACAACCACGAAGATTCAGGATGGCTATTATTGGAATACCAAGTATTGAGGGAAGAGGGAGAACCCTTGACAAGGTACATGGGGTATAGAGAGAAAGAATACAAAATAACCAAGACCTCTCAGGTCTTGGGTTCACCGATGCGAGATGGCGAGTCTCTACCTACAAATAGAGTTCTTCATGAGGTTCTTCCGACCTCCCTTTCCATGGTCAATCGACTCCTCTTTATAGTCGGAGTCCTCTAGCATCAACAATCACCTCCCATCTCACTCCGATCGAGTCTAATGGGACCTAAGTCTTGCCGTGCTCCATCAGTGTTGGGTCTTCCATAGTTTCTCATCAAATTCAATCTGTCTCACATATCTCTAGTCTTGAAGGATCTCACATGCAATTGTCCCCTTCAATGTCTCAATCTCATCTGCCTTACTTTGTTCCTAGGTTGGGCCAACTTCTTTGAGACCTCTTTTCTTGTGAGCTCATTTGGGTTGTTAGGGTCTCAATAGTGCATCATATACATTGTACATTTTGTTCATTAAACCTTATAATATTTTGTTGGATGAATTTTTTTCTCCAAGGACATCTAATTTTGATTTAATTAAGTCAATGACCCAAAAAAAGATTATTTTATCAATGGCCTAAGTAAGAGTAACTTCGTACATTGCATATCATGGTGGAATGAGATTAATGGATGAGCATTTAACTTCACTAGAAGGTCCCACCTTAAGATTTTGGATTGCTTAACCAAAGGGATGGTTGCATCACCTATTAGAGGTATGGTCAAACCACCAACCCCTCATGTTGTACGTTACTAATAATGACACGATGATATCATCAATTTGACCAATAAGGCCTCAAATCGTGTAAAAATCCTAAAAACCATCCCAATCATCTATAGTATTTTCCTCCCCTTGAAATTTCACATGATCTTCCTATTCCTTCACACCATGCTCATGATCTTGTGTCTTTGGTATGTATGCCTATTTGGGATCTTCTTGTGGAGAAAAAGGCGTATGGTCCTTACACTTACTAGAGGCTCTTACATGCTCCTAAATATCATATGAGGGACCAAGGCCAAATCACCCTATGACTTACAACTACCCTCATAACTCCCTAAGATCACGAAAAAGGGAAGAACATCTCTAAATCTTACCTTCAGACTTGTGATTCACTCATCTTCTTATTCACCTACCAATAAACACTACCATGTTTTAGTTTCCTTAAATGTTTCAATGCAAGCAACAATAGGATCTCTAACATTCTATGTATATATAAAATTTGGTATGATTAGTTGGTTTTTTTACGTTCTATATGAACTTAGTTCATCACCAGTTCACGTGGACTCTACTCATTGGCTATGAAAACATATTAACCTAATTTAAAAAAATGGTGGTTAAAAGATATTGCACATCCCCACTTGTAAAATACGAATTTATAATCTAATTATGTGATCCCTCATGAATCTGACAGAAATCATAAAAAATAATATTTGGGGAAACATTTTATTAAAATTTGGATTTTTACGATTTATACTAAAAATAATTTAAGCCTCTAATGATTTTTTCTTGATTGTCAAATGAAGCTACTCATCAACTCTTATTTTTAGATGAATTATGAACTTGAGCTTTTCTATAAAGTGCATGGAAGTGGATGATATATTTTTTAAATTATATATATTTATTTTGCAATCCATTATTTCCTCAAGGCATGATCAAATTCTCTCTTGGCCCGGACCGGGTCCGGACCGCTATATATGGTACCCATCCGGTCGTCCCAGTTTCCAGGTCTGCTAACCTCCCCCTCACACCCATCGAAAGTTACTGGAGGCGGTGCTCGCCGGCACTTTGGGGCGGAGACCTGTGTGTCCTCAGGGTAGGGTTTCTTGTGACGGAGCTTCCGAGCTTCTTCCTCTGGGGGGAGATTTCCGGGTGTTTCCAACATGTCGGTGACGGCGGGTGTCAGCGAGGCCGCCATGGCGGTCCGCGACAAGCTTCGGGGTAAGATCGGCCAGACGAAGGTGAAGAGATACTGGCCTGGCAAAGCCCCCGAGTGGGCCGCCGATGCCGACGATGAGGGCGACCTCCGCGCCACCGCGGCTGCGGCCTCGTCCCGGTCGGCCGCCCTGGAAAGGGCCTTCCCCGTCCGGGATGAGGAGGAGCTTGATGCCGCCGCGAGGGAGGACCGCCGGCTGCGACGGCTGGTGGAGAGCAGGGTTGAGAACAAGGAGGAGGTGCGCGCGGACCATCGCAGGATCCGGCAGGCGGAGATCGTATCGGCCATCGAGGAAGAGAACGAGCGTCTGGAAGAAGCCGAGGACGAGGACGAGGATGCTCTGGAGGAGCGGAGGAGAAGGATCAGGGAGAAGAATCTTCGGAGGGAGCAGGAGGAAGCCGCGCTGATGCCGGTTGTGGAGGAAGAGGAGGAGGAGGAGGAAGAAGAGGAGGAATCGGAATACGAGACCGATTCGGACGAGGAGCAGATGGGCGTCACGATGGTGAAGCCGATATTCGTCCCGAAGACAGAGCGAGATACGATCGCCGAGCGTGAGCGTCTTGAGGAAGAGGAACGCGCGTTAGAAGAGGCTGTGAAAAGGCGTCTGGAGGAACGCAAGGTTGAAACGAAACAGATTGTTGTGGAGGAAATCCGGAAGGACGAGCAAATTCAGAAGAACTTGGAGTTAGAAGCAGATGTAGCGGACGTGAACACGGATGATGAGATGAATGAGGCAGAAGAGTATGAGGCATGGAAGGCTCGGGAAATTACAAGGATCAAGAGAGACCGAGAGATCCGCGAGGCACAGATCAAAGAGAAGGAGGAGATTGAGCGGGTGAGGAACATGACAGAGGAAGAGCGGCGGGAATGGGAGAGGAAGAATCCCAAACAAATGTCCGCGCCGAAGCAGAAGTGGAAGTTCATGCAAAAATACTTCCACAAGGGCGCGTTTTTCCAGTCAGATGCCGATGACCATGCAGGGACGGCTGGCGCAGCTGATATATACACCCGTGACTACTCAGCGCCTACAGGGGAAGACAAGATGGATAAAACTATTCTGCCCAAGGTCATGCAGGTCAAACACTTTGGGCGTAGCGGGAGAACCAAATGGACGCATCTTGTTAATGAGGATACGACAGATTGGAACAACCCGTACGTATATCTTTACCCCTTTTACGTTATTTATCAATAATTTTAGAGACATCTGTAGGATCGTTTTCACTTCATGGTGGTACTCTTCCATTTTGCTTCTTATGCTGACCGTAGGCTGTTAGCTTGAATTTCCACCAGAGTTCCCTTCATTATTTTCTTTTCCACCAGCGATCATGTACAGAGAGCCTGTGTACGCCCCAAGTGCTAGGCATTATTTAGGTTACACCCGAGTTTCATAGTCTTACGTAATAAATTCAGGCTTAGATGAAGATCCCGGCATTGGCTGTGTTATTACGCATCTTCTGATTTCATTGCATGTCATTTAAGGCCATGGATGTGATGGTGACTCATGCTTGCTTCTTAATCCACTGAAATTTTGGGTCTCGCTTAACCCAAGGGTCTATCCTCCCTTGACAGCGAGCTGTTTTTAAAAAACGTGGATGCTACACGCATGTGCTTGACGTAGCCACTCAGTTGACATTTTCTCAAAGCATCTTGTTGATTGACCTCGGCATGCGATTTTTTTATCTGTTTCAAATGATGCCGTGAGGTTTTTCGTTTTATTTACAACTTCATGTCGTTGTGTTTAGTGTACTAGTTGCTAGTATGTTGCCTCTATTGTGCTGTCTACAAGCAGTGAAATAACTTGTTATCATTTCTTTAGTACCTTTATGGTCATATTTCCCCTGGAACACTGACAATCGTTTCTCTTTTTTCATATGCCTCTCGTGGATTCGGAAAAACCTTGTTGTTCCTCTCTCTCTTCCTCCAATCCATCCAACCATCTATTATGTTTTGTTGAGGAAATACTGTTACCTCTTAATATTTCACCTATTGATTCCTAAAACATCAAGTCATTATATTGTGACGAATTGAAGCAATTGCATTCCTTTGGTCATATGTTTCATGGTACAGTTCAGAATCTAATAGTGTTGCTTATGAATGAACTCATTTATCATGGTAATCCATAAACATTTTTCTTCCCTACTAGAACCCAGTGTGTCAATGATAGGTCTTAAAAATTCTTTGCACTACTGCCTTTGAGAGGATCTATACACCTTCTTACGAAAATATTTATTTTGGATTTGCATATCCTCGTATTACATTCTCTGGAAAGAATAATTACTATAGCAAGGACTCTGGAGATGTTTACAAGTTTTCAGAATATCAGAAGCACAAGAGCATAAGAGTCCTTGAAATATGATGTTGGAAATCGAAAAACCAGAAGAATCTTTAATGCTTTGTTACGGATGTGTTACAAGGACCTTGGTAGGGCAGGATTTGACTTCTGCAGATGTGTTCATCTACGGATGTTGTCTGTTCGGTGTAATCACGAAATGGGAATTCGGATGTAAATCCTGCCCATCTCTGTAACCTGCTGAACGTTGCCATCTTATGATATCTGCTGATTTCCCTTCTGTTTAAAATATATTTGCTGAACTGCACCCCTAGGGACAGGATTAAATTTTCCTTTTTGGTACATATGCTCTTTGCCCCTCCACTTCCTCTTCTTGACCCATCTTTCTTCTCCTTTACGATTGTAGATATCTACCTTTCTCCTTCTTGTAGCTGTTAGACGAAGTTTCCTCTCTTGGTTCTCTCGGTGTCGGATTGACATCTTGTTCTCTTTCATTGAGAATATCACGATTTAGTCCTCAGCGTTCCATTCAATCATTCTCTTTTCACTTCTTTGCGACTCCGATTTCCAAACCACTCTCCGTTTTTACGTCAAGTGGTTCCTCATTCTAATGTTTTCCTTTTTTTTTTTGTGGCTTCTCAGGTGGACTTCTGCCGGCTCTCTTCAAGCGAAGTACCATTCTAAAATGGCTGGAATGAACACAATCATAGAGAGACCAAAGGGAAGCAGGAAACTGAAAGCAAGCGCCGAGGAGTGGGGAATGAAATAAGATTTCCTCGTGGTAGATGGTCATGATTCAGCTGACAGGCATCGTCATTTTCATCATTTCTTCGGCTCCACGAGCATATATGTAATCTTGAGTGATGCCCGTGTATAATCATCTACTGGTGCTCTCCAAGAAAATTTTCTATCTTCTCTACCCGCAGATCGCCAACCATGGCCTTTTGTTGCAGCCACCTTACATTCATTCAGCTCACAGTATTACCCGAGAATGGATTCCAACCGCCAGGCATGGATCTTCCTTCGTGATGGAAGGAAGGGTGTTTGATCGATCTTGATTGCCTGAGCCTTGTTCTGACAAGATGCTTGAAAAACCTTACACTTTCTGTGGATCACTGCAGGTCTTTAGATCCAAGTTCAAGTATTCAGAACGCTACACACACGGTCAGAGGAAGAGAGCTGGAGGTGGAGCTACCAGGGGTTCAGGTAATCTCTACCTTCGTAATTTTCTCCTCCTCCTCTTCAACCCACGAATCCGATGCAGTCCGGGCCCTTCTCGTTCTCAGATTCTGCTTCCAGTGAGGCGAATCGAATATATATGATACGTTCAGCTTTCTTTCCATGGCTGACGATGGATTTCGCAGTTACTCTGCTTCGGGATTCGCAGAAAGGGAAAGAGGGAGGGGGGAGGGTTGAAGGGAAAGGCAAACACGCGGAATGTCTTCCATTATTCGAGCATCGCGGCCACCGCCGGCGATCGCCGGTGACTGCTCGCACACAGACTACATGGGTGATCCATCATCAAGATTTATTTATTTCGTTGATTACTACGATCAAGATCGATCGCTCCTCCGGTCGGCGTTGTTGCCGTTAAAGGTGCCGCCGCCCCCGAAGCCGAGCCCCCCGCCGGAGTTGCTGCCGGAACCAAACCCGAAGCCAAATCCGCCGCCGCCACCGCCGCCGCTGCCGTTCCCGCTCCACCCGAAGGCGAACCCGGCGGCGTTCCCGCCGCCATGGCTGGTGCCGGTAGCGTAGCCCCAGGCCCCGCCATGTCCTCCTCCGGCAGGGGGAGTCGCCCCGAAGGCCCAGCGATGGTCCCACCACTCGCCGCCTCCGTTGCCGGGGACCCAGTGGAAGCCCCACCCGCCGCCGTCTCCTCCTGCTCTGTCCGCCATGCCCCTGCTTGCCCCTCTCTTCTGGTTCCCCTCTGGTTGAAGAGGACCGACCGGCCTAACGAGCTCTAGAAAAGGTGGAGAACCCGTGCTGCCGGAGCCGTGGGAAAGAGGACGAGGACGAGATGGACTTCATTAGCGGCCGCGGCTTCCCACTGTCGGCGGTCAACTCAGAAAATCATTACTTTTTGGAACCCATTCCATAAGGTTATATCACATTTTATCTAAAAGGTAAAACATGAAAATATACGCCAAACTCATTTTTAGAATGTCTGGTACAAAATTTATTTAACGCAAAACACTTTTCATTTGCCTTGTTCTTCTTACTCAAATGAATAATATCGAAGTCTAGCCATCCCCACTATTTAGCTTCTCCACGTGTAATTAGTAGCAACAAAATATATAAATGATGAATTTTATTTTTATTATACAAGCTATGGATTAAGATGATCCATTATTATTTCCGGTGGGTCACTGCAACGTGCCATCTCACACAATTCCAATGCAATTTTTCAAGCACTAAATCGAGACAATTGAGTGGGGTATTTATGTAAATTGTTAAATAATTTTACTGAAAAAATTAGACGAATTTAAGCATCATAGCAAGCTAATTTCACTATTTTAAGGTTAAGATAATAATTAACATAGTTGATGTCACTTGAGGAGTTAGGTCTGCATGAATGTCCTCAGTGATGTCATGCAACTCAAGAAAAATAATCAAAATCATGTCTTAAATTGATAATTAATGATATTTGAAATCCTTTGGGACACAAAAACAAGACTTTTATTTCAAAAAGGTTTAAACGATGAATCTATGATGATCTAAAAAGTATAGGATCCGTTAAATCTGCGAGGAATTGTCAAAATCTATAAGTAGAGAGAGAGGACAAAAAGAAAACTTTTGATCGATTTAGAAAATTCATGTCAATGTAAAATAGACATGTCCTTAAAAGAGTCCAAAAACAGTGGTAGATCCCCTAAATAATTGGATTTAGAAAAATAACCTCTTTTAGTTAATGATTTCCTATAAAAATATAAAAAAACTCAAGCCTAAAAAATAAAATGTCTTTCTATGTTATGGGCCTACTTAATAATTATTTTAAGCTCTTCTTTGTTTTACCCAACTACCCTTTTACGTTGAGCACTTTTGGCTACTTTCACATCATGCCAATTTATTATTAAATAAGGTTCCTCTAATTGCAGATGAAACAATAAATATATATAATATTTTAAAAAATAAATTTATTCACACAATTTTTCTATAGTTGTGACATGTGGACATAATGTGTATGAATATTCAAATTTATTGATAACAAATACCACACTACATTTATAAGGACGACCAATTATTATGAACATGCACTAAAAGTCCTTCTAATCTTTTTCTTACATTGAAATATTTTATGATTTATAAATTTTCAGAAAATTCTAAAGATCCACTTTGCATTACATAATTTATACAATAATTAACAGTAATATTTTAATTTTTTAAAATTATCCTAATTTGTTGTTCTGATGTCTACGAAACGAGGAGATTTGCATGTGCAATGTGCATTTTTGTATTTTTATAATTTTATTAATTTATTTATGGGCTATTTATGATAAAAAATTTATATTTGATCAGTTATTTTAAAGCGAATCGCATATTCTTCGCCTAAGTGGATCCTGTCGGGTACCCAATATGATCCGGATTAAGCGCGTTCAGACTGCGGTGTGCCCTGTGAGTTCTCCCGGCGCTTGAACACCATCCTGGGAACATTTCCCTTCTGGGGGCAAGGGGCTGGGGGGGTGGGCGTGGGCATAGAGACCGGGAAGAGGACGGCAGCTGCGGAGCGGGAGCATCTTCGAGAGGAGGAGACGTGATGATGCACGGGGGAGGAGGGGAGCAGGTGCCGGGAGGCTCCGAGGCGCCGTCGTTGCGGTCGCTAGGCAGGTCGCCCAAGGAAGGGGAGAGGATTCTAGCCCCCACAAGGCGCCCGGACGGCACACTCCGCAAGCCCGTACGCATCCGCGCTGGGTACGTCCCCCAGGACGAGATCGCCATCTACCAGTCCAAGGGTGCACTCGTGAGCTTCCTCTGCCAAAGTCCTTATCCTCTGTACTTTTTATTTATTGAACTCCATTTCCTCACAGTATTATTATTTACATTGTCCCTACAGCGTTTGACTAGGGTTTATTCATCCCTCTTTCCATATGCAAGCTTGTTTTCGTTTTCGAATTGGTTCATTTCTTGCTTTACAAATCGGGCAGTTGAAGAAGGCCGCTCAGTCCGAAGGCCCCCCGGGATACGTCCCCGACGAGGATGCTAAGCCAAAGACCAAGGCGGCCAAGAGAAACGAGAGACGGAAGGGGAAGAAGCATCAGGTGCAATTCCTTGTCCTTTTATCTATAATTTCCCGTTCAAGAAATGCCCTAACTACTGAGTTCTGAGTTCCCCTCCTTCAAAATATGACATAACATGATGTCCATGCCTACTATTTTATTGTTCTTCCCTTCTCCGTGTCTTAAAGTGGTATGCCAAGTTTTTCAGTACATTTCACTACATCCATCCTTTTCATATTCAGCGTGTATGGTGTCGGAAATTCATACCGTTGCAGCTCTCAGTTATATTTTCATGAGCTTGAACTGATAACGTTCCTAACAAGTGGTAAGGCTAGTACTACATTAAGCCTCTCCTATCCCATAGTTTTTTAAAATGTTGTCTCCTCTGGACAGAAGCTGAAGTGCAGAAAGGGTTCCCAAGCAAGTGACGCTTCTTTTATTCTTTTTTCGTTATTAATTTATTTTCATTTTCTTTGTTCTTAAATCTGAGAGATTTTTCTCTTATATTATGGTTGATGTTATGTATCGGAAAATCTTACGAAGCTATTCATAGGCGGCTCTTGCATCAACTGTGGATGACGACAAGGATTTAGATTCTGAAGAATCAAGGCAGGCGGACAACGGAGTGGCTTCTTCTGCTCAACTGCAACTGGACAGAATCGAATCTGTGGACTCTGTAATCAGTCAAATGACTGTACTATCCGTCTCTGAAGCACCTTCACCAGCTGGTCAATCCCAAGAACTGGAAGATATTTCAGTTTCATTAGTTCCTGGGGCTGATCTAGACAAGAAAATCCGAGCAATAAAGAAAAAGGTGGTTATTTCATGCTCGCGTAATACTTTGTGGTCCGAAACTATTCGTACATATTCTGTCCTCACAGTGAATTTTCCTATTTTCCTCTTTTTCGGCCTTTCCAATGCCAAACATTGATCTGTGGAGGTTTCGAATTGTGTTTTTCGTTGCTGAGAATTATCCCGATCATATATCGAGTGTCCTCAGTTGAGATTCCTTTCCCATTTGGACAGACTTCATGACCATCATACGGCACTATTTATCTTTGTGCCTGGGTCTTGCAAAAGTAACCATGAGAACCAAATATGCCTTTGTCGTTATCACATGGATTTCTTAAAAGGTGTCTAATATACTTACGAGGAAGAGGAGAAAAGGATAGAAGAAATAATTTGGAGGCTAGTGGAAGATGATGATATGACAGATGATCTATGGGCTTATCGGCCTCCCTTCTCTTTGTTTCATCCTATATAAGCTCATTCCCCTCTTGCATTCTTCTGTCACATTTTTCGTCTTCTCCTTTATTGTGTACTCCATTGGGATCAAGAAATCTAAGACAGTCATTAATCAAATTTACTCATTTTTTTGAATTTGTATATTTTCCTTTTGGATATAATTCTTTACACATTATAACATTCTCTGGCTCTAAGAGTCAATGCGGCAATCCTAGTGATAGCTGATTTTTCACTACAACGATATGATGAAGATTTTTTGCAAGTCGAGGATCTAGCTGTTAGGAAAAGTTGGTCACTGTTCTTGCTAAGGTCTTTTGAACATTCCATGTTTGTGGTGTTATCCCCATTCATGTGATTTCAGTCCTATAATATCCGTCTCAATGTGGAGACGTTTTGAACACCACTGCTTACGAGAGATCTGTCTATCAGGAATGTAGTGATTCTTTTATTGCAATTAATCTGACGGACTCAGTTTGGGAGGGTTCCCACTTCATTTTTCTTCTGTTGATGAATAATATAAAGGAAAAATTAGGTCGCTTTAGATAAGTTGCAGGAAGACAGATATTTTGACAAATAATATTCCATGCCTAGCCATCATAAATCAGACCTACCTTTATATGATAGAGCCATCATAAATCAGACCTACCTTTATGTGATATAAACTGCTCTTACCCACTTCCCTCACGAACATATTTATGAAGGGCGATCTGATATTTGTCAGAATTCGTTTACGCTTACCCTTATAATGCAATTTTGATAGAAAAAATTGTATATGTTACCTGATCGTTTTGTATTTTTAAGTGGGCTTTATTGATGAAGTTCTGTTGTGAAATTTATTGAAAGAAATCAATCATTAATATAAAGTACACTTTCTTGTATATTCCCTGCCAGTCAAATTTTTATACAAAACAAAGGATATAAACGGTATGATGTTCTAGCATTGTGCTTTTACCTCATCTTTAAGGTTTATAACCTAATGTGATATCAAGGAAATTATAAATTAATAATATATATATATATATATATATATATATATATATATATATATATATATATATTTGGATATTTGCCAAGTTCGTAGCCATAGCACAGATTGCTCGTGATGCCTTGAAATTGTTTCTGTTAATAATAGTGTCACTTACTGTCTTGGTCTGAAATTAGTGAATAGAATTTTTACATCACGGATTATGTTAAGGAGTTCGATAGTGCTCCATAAAAAGGATTTTTTTTTTGGGTTATCTTTCATAAATAATGTTGGATAAAGTTCAATGTTCAGATAGATCGGCCTGGTATCCATTAAGAATTCGAAAACATGATAGCTTCCATTATAACTATGGGTAAGCCTCGGTTTTAGTGTTTATAATTTGCATCTCCCCTAGCTTGAATAGAAAAAATTGTTTTACCAGATTGTATTTATTTTATCGTCTGTCACCCTTTTCGTTCGTTTTTGCCTGTTTTCTTTTGTCAGATTTCTCATAGATGTTTACCAGGTTCCTTTTATCCTGTCACTTATTTTTCTTCTCATCTTTTTTTGGAATATAAATATCTTTTATTTTTCCTGATCCTGCCATTCCGTGTGTACACTGATTGCATCCTGTTTCATTGATCAGCAGAAACTTCAATGTTTTATAGGACCTTTGTGCTCCATTCACGAGTTACTACAGTATGGTTTGAGACTGGCACCTATTTCACTTCTTTCTTGGTCCCCGTCATTGAGGGAGCACAGCCAAATTTAGACGATATAATTACAGTGTCCTCTGCCAATAACCTTGCGTCATTGTGAACCAGTAATGCACAATAGTATCTATTCCTTTTCTCATTAGATGATCATCTTGGATAACTAATGGAGGCATTTCATGCTCATTTGCATTTGTGGATTATGTCCAGACGATTGTATGACGTGTTCATACACTGAGAGGTATACAGACGAACCATCTTTATTTATTGTGAATAATGTTGATCTACTTGAGTTGTCGCTAATGCGCATATACCCATTCTCATGGAATGCGTCAACCATGAGTGGGACACAAACCCTACTTATCATCCTCATGACCCAGGTCTTTACTCAATCACGACCTCTCATTATATTCCATTTCTAATTCACCTCTCATCCGTAGAAAATGAACGATGATTTTTCCATCCAGTTCATGGGCTAAACTTTGATACTTCATTCCCGTAGTTCACATCTACTATGCGTCAACGGGTCTGTCTCTCCTTTGCGATTCTTTTACTATTGATTTTTAAAACATGTCGTGCCATTTAGAAGAAAATGGGAAGAGGGGAACAGAAATGGAAAGAGAAAACATAAGATCGAAAGGACATGACTGGGTCATGTGTGAGGGGCGTTCAGGTGGGTACGGCTCGCACCAGTGTCTATATTTTGATCCTCCCCAAGTGATACTTTGATCTTTTTAGTTAAACGGATCATATTACGTCCCTTTGTCTCTCTAATTTTCCTTTTTTGCGCGTATTTAAAATTTCGTCTCTTTGGAACTAAGTTTAACATCCATCAACTAAATTTCCCTCACTCACAGGAATCCATAGATTTTCTAATCTTAGGGATTTGCAAAGGCATTCTACTGTGCACTCATTCTTCTTCATCATCTCTCTCTCCCTCTCTCTCTCTCTCTCTCTAAAAGTACTCTATCTTTCTGAGTTTGATCGAGGACTCAATAATCCTGAAAAGCTTGATGCAGTTTTCCCTGTTTCGGTCAGGTCGATGTCAAACTCCCATACTCAGCCCAACAACAAGTTAATATATTGGTTTTATATTCAAATTCCCGGCAAATGCTTGGTTTAGATGAACCTGCTGTTGCTATAAGTTTTCCATTCATGGAATATAAAGTTGGATGAAAGAAGTCAATGCATTTTTCTTGTCAGAATTAGAGTTTCTCCCCTCCAGATTAATATCATGATCATCAGATTGCTTCTTCTAAAATTATGAAGCATCTTGGATTCTTTCTGGAATCCTGACCACCGGAGTTGAAATTCCAGATTCGACTCGCGGAACAGTACAAGGGTGACCCAGAAAACTTGAAGCCGGAGCAGCGGGAGAAATTGGCGAAGGTAGAGGGTTGGCGAGAAGAATTGAAGCTTGTCGAGGAAAAAAAGGCCGCACTGGTTTCGTAATCACCTGCTCGTTTTATCTCAAGCTGCCCCACCATGAGAAACTGGAGAGTCCCATTCCTGTTTTACTGTTCTTCTGTAAAAAAAATCTCCCCCGCCGGATTGCCGGTTTTGATGGCTTTAATTGTTTCAAAACGGGTGTTGGTTTTCTGACCTCTGGATTTTCCGCAGACTTCAGCAACGTCTCCTCGTGCGCATCGCCATGATGATCGGATTCTCTCTCTCTCTCTAGTTCTCGATGCTTAAAACCGGCTCTCCCCCCCCTCCCCCCCCTTCTTTTCTTACTAAAAGGGACTAACTGCAAGTGGATAGACCTGAAAGCTTTCCTCCAGAAGCAGCCGCAAGCTCGTGGGTTGTGGGCCTCGGCGTTCCTCAGTCTTGGGGTCATTGATTGATGCCCTCCTCGTTAGGGGATGTCAGCACGTGTGGGGATGGGTCACAGGGAACTTTTCTGTAAGGTTTCTATCCATGCAAGAACCGTTCTGTCTTCCAGGTGTCTTAACTGTGCCCGAGTCGGTAAGTATTATAGGAAGAAACTAAGTTTTCTTACTTCATGAAAAAGACTTTTGACTTACCTTCTGAAGAGTAAATACTTTATGAGCAGAAGACAAAAATTCCGAGAAGAATCGTGCAGTCATGATCCCTCCTCTATTTGTACCCTTAACTTCTACTGGGGAGCTGCTTTTCTTTCGCTTTCTTGACACCTTGAAGTCATTGTTCTACCTATCGGGAGCATGAACATTCTTTGATTCGAATCGGAAATCACGTGCACTTTGGACCCACCCGGGTGTCGGAAGCGAGTTTTTTCTTTATGTGGATGGTTGGATTCGAGCGAGCGCATTTCATGCCATTTGATGATATCCAATGAAGAATAGTATCTATTCCTTTTCTCATTGGATGATCATCTTGGATAACTAATGGAGGCATTTCATGCTCATTTGCATTTGTGGATTATGTCCAGACGATTGTATGGCGTGTTCATACACTGAGAAGTAGACAAACGAACCATCTTTATTTATTGTGAATATATTTTGATCCTCCCCGAGTGATACTCTGATCTTTTTAGTTAAACGGATCATATTACGTCCCTTTGTCTCTCTAATTTTTCCTTTTTAACGCGTATTTAAAATTTCGTCTCCTTGGAACCTAAGTTTAATATCCATCAGCTTGTAAAAGGCATCAGAATTTCGTCTCCCTCACTCACAGGGATCCATAGATTTTCTAATCTTAGGCATTTGCAAAGGCATTTTCTACTGTGCACTCATTCTTCATCATCATCATCACACACTCTCTCTAAAGGTACTCTATCTTTCTGAGTTTGACAGATGACTTAATACTCCTGAAAAGCTTGATGCAGTTTTCTCTGTTTCGGTCAGGTCGATGTGAAACAACTAGTTAATATATTGGTTTTATATTCAAATTCCCGGCAAATGCTTGGGCTAGATGCACCTGCTGTTGCTATAAGTTTTCCATTCATGGAATATAAAGTTGGATGAAAGAAGTCAATGCATTTTTCTTGTCAGAGTTAGAGTTTCTCCCCTCCAGATTAATATCATGATCATCAGATTGCTTCTTCTAAAATTATGAAGCATCTTGGATTCTTTCTGGAATCCTGACCAAGGGTTGGCGACAGTAGACGCTTAAAGCCGGGCTTGCAAGTGGATGGTCCTGAAAGCTTTCCTCCAGAAGCAGCCGCAAGCTTGTGGGTTGTGGGCCTCGGCGTTCCTCAGTCTCCGGGTCATTGATTGATGCCCTCTTCGTTGGATGATCCTCCAGCATGTGAGGAACCTTTTTGGAAGGTTTCTATCCATGTTAAGAACTGTTGTCGGTCTTCCAGGCGTCTGAACTGTGCCCGGGTCAGTAAGTATTATAGGAGGAAACCAAGTTTTCATACATGATGAGAAAGACCTTCGACTTACCTTCTGAAATATGAAATAGTTTATGAGCAGAAGACAATAATTCCGAGAGGCATCGTGCCGTCATGATCCATTCGTTGGTACCCTTGACTTCTACTGAAGAGGTGCCTTTCTTTCCCTCTCATGACAGCTTGGAGGCCTTGTTCTGCATATGGGAGCATTGTTTGAGTGCATATGAGGTCATGATAGTTCTGTTGATCCACCCGTGTGTAGGAAAACGACTTCTTTCTTTGTGCGGATGGTTGGGTCCGAGCGAGCGCCCACTCGATCTACTGATATCCAATGAACGACGGATAAGACCTAATCAAAGAGAAGGTCGTGGTCGGCGTCCTCACGCCCACGCGGCGCCTACTCGATCTCGCGCCGTCGGCCATGCGGAAGGACGCACGGCAGCCGAACCTCACCGCCGCGTGTTTGTACGTGCGACACGCACCGACGTGAGCTTCTGCAGTCGCGCACGCGGCGCGAGTTTATGGGGAAACTTGTAGTCGAGAGGGTAAGTAAAGAAGACCAGCAATGGAGAGTTGAGAAACTGCGACGGTTTTTTCCTTCTCACAGCGAGGGGGACAGGTGGAAACAAAGCGTCGAGTTTTATGGGGGGTTATTTACGCCCTTGAAATCCGCGGTCAAGGCGGCGACGAGGGGGGCGAGAGCGTTCCGCGGGGACGAACGGAGGGCCCTCAGAGGAGCCGCCGGTGGAGGACGGAGTAGGTCTTTGACGGCGGCGGCGCGGTGGGCTCCGGTGCCGGAGGGGGCAGCGTAGGAGGGTAGTAGCCGCCGTATTGGTGGGTCTCGCAGGGGACGATGTGGATGTTGGGGCAGTAACGCTTGGGCTTGGCGAAGAAGGCGGCGCACTTCTCCGGTGACTTCTGCTTGGGGAGGCCGGGGATGCAGTTGTCCTTCACGTTGAGGATCCCCCGGTGGATGAGCTTCCAGCAGGAGGGGCCAACCTCGGTGAAGTAGTTGTCGGAGAGGGAGAGGTTGAGCAGGCGGGGAAGCTGGCAGACGGAGTCCGGCACCGGCCCGAAGAGACGATTGTTGGCGAGATTGAGCTGCTCCACCTTCTTCAGGCAGCCAAAGGAGAGCGGGATGGGGCCGGTGATGCTGTTCCTGCCGGCGTCGAAGACTGTGGCTCGCCGGAGGAGGCCGATCTCGTAGGGCAGGCAACCGGAGAGGCGATTGTTGAGGAAGAGCACCTCCTCCAAGGTGTGAGCGGCGTTGCCGATGCTGCTGGGGATGGAGCCAGTGAAGCCGTTGTTGGCGAGGGTGAGGAAGGCGGCGCTTGTGCGGCCGACGTTCTTGGGTATCGGCGTGTTGAAGGGGTTGTTGTTCAGGAAGAGGTAGTCAAGGTCGAGGGAGAAGACCGAGGGAGGCAGCCTCCCGAAGAAGCCGTTGTAGCGGAGATCGAGGAAGACGACCTGCTTGAGGCCGATGACAGTGTCGGGGAAGGGGCCTCCCAGCCTGTTGTTGCTGATGTCGAATTCGAAGAGGAAGGGGAGCCTGGAGAGGTCTGGCACGGTACCGGAGAAGTTGTTGGTGTTGGAGTGGAAGAAGGCGAGGTCGGGGAGTCCGTCGGCGAAGCCACAGATGGTTGGTGCCGCCAGGGTGAACCCGTTGAAGTCCACGCCGGCGATCGTCCGGTCATCGGTATTGGGCGGCGTGTCGCAGGTGAAACCCCTGTACTTGCAGATCTTCGGGCCATTCCAGGTATTGGTCACCCCCAGTGGGTCGCAGGTGATCGTCTTCTTGAATCGCTGGATCACCAGGTAAGCCTTGTACTGCCGCAGGTTCTCGAAGTCCGACGGCTGCAGGCCCCTCGGCGGCGGCGGCGGGGGACAGGGCTCGTACTCCGGCGGGGGAGAGGGCTCGTAGTAGGGCGGGCCGCCGATGACAATCTCGAGGTTCGACCTGCTGGCGGCCGCCGCCGCCGGCGCCCCCAGCTGCAGGAGCACCGCGGCGGAGACAAAGCACAGCACCGGCATGTAGTAAGAAGCTCCGCCGCCGGCCGCCATCTCCGGGGATCTGATTATTGCTCCAAGTGCTCCCCGCCGGTATTTAACGTCCCACTCCGCCATCGGGGTTGTTCAGCCGTCGCTTTCAGAGGGTCCCAAGGGTGCGGACTAGCTCACCGTCGGCAGCCGTAAGTTGACCAGTTCCCTCCCTCCCTGTGATCACTAGCGCGACGATCACGAGTAAATCCTCCTGTAGGTCGTCGATCAAACCCCAGCGGACCCTACCGTTGATCCACCAACTAAACCAGCGTCGCCACCTCTACCACCGCCTCCGCCACCGCAGGAAGAAGACAGGCAGCAGCGGGTTAACACCTCCGCCGTGTAACAGAGGGCTCTTGACAGCGCCGCCTCCGTCGGCTTCTGGCGGAGGGGAGGTGTGCCGACGGTGGGCAAGGTGGGGGACAGCTCGCGTTGAAAGAGGACGAAGAAGATGAGCAACCACGTCACCAGCAGTGCGCAAGCGGGGTGGCACGAATGGGGAGACGAAATCAACGTTGGTAACCTTGTCAGTGCCCTCGGGGGTATCGTACGTTGTCATCATCCCACGCACGGACACATTCCATTATTTTACCATCCAGGAAAAAGTCAAGGATTTGGTGAAAACCAATGGGTAGAAAGAATCCAGGCCCAACCCGGATAAGGAAATAAAATGGGCCGGAGGTCAAACTAGAACACCCATTCTTTTGCGTAATGATTTCCGAGGGACAGATCCTTCGATGTTATCACAATAACCTACTACGCGTCTTCTTCATGATGTGTTAGCAGGGCCTCGAGGATGAGGCTTCTCTGGGTTCAATAGAAGGGAGGAAGGAGAAGAAGCTGGCGGTGGGTGGAGTAGACGACCGTTTATCTCCATTTAATACTTATCGGGAGTACATCCTAGGACACCACAGATTTGATTGAGTGCCGCGTTTTTCAGTACAAGGGCCATCAATAGGAGAGAGAATCCCACAGCCTTGACCTGATGCAGCCTTGACGGGAGAGAGTCTCATGTACGTACATAAGAAATTAGAAGCGGAATTGTCCCTGCCGTCCATTGTCAACATTAATCTGAATAAAAAAAATTAAAATCAGATAAGAACTTAGAACCGGACTGGATTTTCCGTGAGACTATTCTGTTTAGTTTTTAAAATTTATTCTGTTTTGATCCTTCAAATAATAGGCACCCAAAAAAAAAAAGTTTTTTATTCCTATTAATTGAGCTCGTGAGATTAGATGGCCATATAGATATTAGTAGGTGGATGCAGATGAATTAATCAAAATCTAACAAAATATAAGCCGTTGTCGATAACATAACCAACGTTTGTTCACCAAACTATTTATATGAAGCAGCATATCTACTGGGTATTGGTTTTTACAACACATCACAGATGAAAATAATTTAAAATTAGGAAACACTGCCAAGGTCCAGAGAAAATAGGAAAACAAACTGAGTAAGAAAGTTATCGTAGTTTTATCTTATATTTCCAAGTCAATGAGATAATACGAACTGCCAACATAATCAAGAGCCTATGTCCTTCAATTTTTATCCCCCCCTTCTTAGTTTTGTAAGTAGCCTCACCCTGTTGGCCATGCCCATGCTGATATGATCGAACCGGCGATTCCACGGTCAAACCCTCGGAGAATCCTCCGAGGGGGAGCGAATGTCCGATATGGGACTAACTATGTGGATACCCCCTCTCCATTTTTCTTTCCACAGAATACAACAATCTCCCACTTGGAAAGACAAACTCTCTCCCCACGCCGCATCAGGAATCCCTTTGTATGCGTCTGCCCGCGACGATCCCGCGAGTACTCTCCTCGCGTGCTTTCGCGTCGCTCAGTTAGTTCCACGTGCCCACGAACATCTTTGTGCACGTCTCCTGACTGCTGCCGCATCATGCTCCCACTCCACGAGAGACATCAACGAGCTCCCTCTAATTGGGAACTCTTCCAATACGTGCAGTCCACGTCGCTTGCAATTTTTACGAGGTTTCCACGCCGGAGCTATCCAAAAAATCAAAAACTTGGCCCGCTCGCTAGACAGCCAGGCGAGGATGCTCGCGGAATGGCTGGACGACGACGGTCGTGGACCGGCCAAGGCGACGACGGTCGTGGGGAGCCTTGCTGCACGCTGACGCCGCGTGCTGGAACGGCGAAGAAAAGCGCCGGGCGACTAAGGTCGCGGAGTTGCCCGTGTGACGACGGTCACAGGTGCCCTGAGTGGGGACGTTCGCTGGATAGCCAGGCGAGGATGCTTGCGGAGTGGCTGGGCGACGACAGTCGCGGATCGACCAGGGGATGGGGTCGCGGAAGTTCTTGGTGCGCTGAAGATGTTTGTCAAAATGCGCAGCAGGCGCGCCACGGCATGGCGTCGGTCGGGCGGTGAACGCGTGAGCAGTGAAGGTTCACACGTGGGAGCGTGTGATTTCGCGATCACAACCTTGGCGCTGCACCGCGCAGCGAGATGGGCAGATGCAGGGCCTGCGCTGGCACGGTACTCGTGTAGGAGGTCTAGGCACACGTGCGCAGCACTGCCACTGAATGGGCACAACGGACGCTTGGAACAGTACAGGTACGTGAAACTGTGTAGATAGCTTCGGCGTGGAACCTCGTGCGATTTGCAGGCGACGCGGACAGCACAGATTGGAATTGTTCCCAACTAGTGGGAGCTCGTTGATGTCTCTCGTGGCGTGGGAGAATGATGGGGCAGCAGTCAGGATGTTCGGTGGGCGCGACGTAGAGTACGCGAGGGATCGTCGGGGGCAGACGCATACGAAGGGATTCGTGGTGCGGCGTGAGGAGATAGCTCTTATTTTCAAGTGGGAGATTGTTGTATTATGTGGAAAGAAAAATGAGGGAGAGGGGGTATTCACATGGTTAGTCTCATATCAGACATTGTATTGTGAGGGAAGAATCTAGCATACATTTGCTCGGAGGCTTCTCGTCGGTTTGTCCCCTGGAATCTTGGAAGAATTTGGAAGTATTTGGGGCCAAGTTATCTCCGGGTCACATGTGGAGACGAGCGGAGCGATGTAAGGCAATTAATATTTCGATTTCTCTTTTTATTTACTTTATTTTCGAGTGACAGACGAGTGGAGCGGCGGATGGTGTTTTCGAGTTAGATTTTTTTGATTTGATTTGATTTCCTTTTCGTTTTATCTTATTTCCTCGTCTGGGTGACATGTAGAATATAAGATTAAAGTCTTATCACTTTTTAATTGTGTTTCCGTTCTACTTTTTGACCTCAACAATAATATGTTCCTGGGTGACAGACAAGGATGAGTTAGTGGATTTATTTCATTTTTTAGTTATTATTCTTGATATTTTATAGATTTTAATAAAATTTGACTGGTGGAACATCGTTTGAAGAAACTTAGTTTCATTATTTGAGTTTTATAGGGATTAGAATCAAAATCATTTTCTCATTTTTCCACGTATATAGTCACTTAGCCAGCATATGATTTAGGTTTTAGCTTTATTTTCAATAGTTATTTTCATGATTATAGTTTCTTTGATAAAATTTTACTTCGTAAAGATCATTGATGTTGATTTATTTTGAACAATTACTCGGTTTTCTTTATAAAAATTCTGTTTCACCACCGGTAGGGTTCATTTTCTCTCTCCTCCCATATTTTTTCTTATTTTAGGTTTATTTTCCATCGTTTGTGATTTTCTCTGCCATTTCTCTAGAATATTTTGTAGGTCTTGAGTAATCAATTATGAATGTGGGAACACATCACAATTCAAACATTTAGAGCTCAATCAATTTTGAAGATTTAAGGTTTGGAGAATATTATTTTATTATTATCCTTTTATTTATTTTTATTTTTATTTTTAATAAATTAGTTAGAACGAAAATCAATTAATACTAATATTGACATCATCCCTGTGGATATCTAAAATTACCAAAAATTAATTTGAATTCTTATTTTGAATAAATATTTTAATTTTGATCATTTTGTTTACAATGATCAAAATGATATTAATCATTTGTACTTTGACTTTCTCTTTTAGAGTGATGAGATATTCCAAAGGTGAGTCTTCATAAACTGTGATCAAAGACTATGACAAAAGATGGTTATTAACTTGGTGTCATTTTCTATACATAATTACATTTAACCTATATTTTTACATGAAATTAACTTATAATTTATAATATAGAATTCACATATATATATATATATATATATATATATATATGTATGCATGCTTACATTGAGATCAAATCCGACAGTATTATATTTAGGTAACACATAAATACTTTATTTATAATTATACGTATTAACTAATGGGCTCAATAAATTTGCTATCATTACCAAAGTAATCTCTAATAATCTTATCTATTGATAATATCAATGTAGGATTATTTTTTTTACTTTGTGTAACTAAATCCATCAATAATGACGTATATCAATATAATGTTGATATAGATAAAATATAGTGTGTAACATAGAAATTAAATATAACACAATTCAAACATCTACATTTCTAACTAGTCAAACTTTATTCCATATAGATATTAATGAAATAACTATAGAAACAACTATAAACTTTATTCAAATAGTAATTATCATATGATGTGTCTACAACTATAAGAGCAACAAAATGTATATTTGATGGTGTCAAAGTCAACCAAAATCAATACTTTGACCAAGAGGCAAGGTCTCAAGTATACATGCTCAAGGTGAAGTTTGTCATAGGGGAGAGCTAGACCAAAATTCAGCCCAAGCCCAAGTTAAGAAATGGGCCCATTTAGAAGAAGCTTTTACCAACTTCCAATATCTACCCCAACTTTCATCCAAAAGAAGCCATGGGAGGGAAGTTTATAATTACCAGCCAGCCAACTCCATTGAATCACAAAAAGTGATGCTTCTAATGGTGGGTTAGACAACTCTTCAAGGTAATCTTTGGAGGAGTCAACACCTTTTTGCCGGTCAACAAGAATAAGGTACAACCCTAACTTTTATGTTTAATCCTCGTATTTCTCC